AATAAGATATGTAAAGGTTAATAAGTTTACATTTGATACGATTTTAGCTAAGTTATAATGAGAGTTGCCGACTTCAGTCAAGTTGGGCGGGCGAAGCTTACAAGATAATATCATACGAAAGTTAGACTAAAATAATTATTTATTCAAAGTGAGTCACGGTGCTAAACTTCTTAGTACGATGAAAATTAAAATGGCAATAACAGCAAGCATTGTTATTTTATTTGCTTAATTGATTTCACCTAAAACACAAAGGCCTTAAGTTAAATTTCCATTTTATATTTATCTAGAACAAGAGACCTTATAATCGAGGTATGTCTTTCCTTACCAAGATGCTGCTGTTGATTTAATTTGTCAGTGTTTCTTTCTAAGAAAATTGTACGACCTAGTAAGTACCTAGATTTCATAATGGAAATTTACGACAATCTTATTTAGTTATTCACGAAAATGTTTTATTACGCATTTATTCAATGTTTTTAACATTAAAAGCTAATGCCAACACTCTCGGTTTCAAATAACGAAAGATTAAGAGAAAATGCGACATTAATCTTCTTCATCTAAGATTGCTATTACGCTTAGTCTTTTTATCTTTACAACTAGGTATAATAGATTGCTGATCTATATAATCTAAGTTTCCTCCGGCAGTTTTGCTACGGACTGAGGCAACAGGCACAATTGTTACGGGTTCAAAGCACGACAATGAATATTTCTTAAATTATCTTTTTAATTTCAATAACAGCCGGTATGTATTATTTGCGTATAAATGTACGAGTACAATAGCTTGTTTTTGTGAAATTTTAAACTCTACAGATGTCAAAATCTCTTCCTAATTGATTTAGGTTAAAATTATAGGATTAAATATAGTAAATATAAATAATTACCTAATTTAATTTTCAGATTAAACAAAACGGAAAAATCAAGAACTGAAAAAAGAATTTAAGTTAAATAAATACTCTAGACTGCAGGCTGCAGGTTAAGTAAGTGATGCGCATTAAAGTCTGTAACAATTCTTTCTGACAACAAAAAAAACATTTAAAGTCAGAATAAAAGAAAATTAGCCGTAATTAACCGACTTCCAAAAACGAGGAGGTTCTCAATTCGTCGCAATCTTTTTTTTATGTATGTTCACCGATTACTCGAAGACGCCTGAACCGATTTGGAAAATTTTTGTTTTGTTTAAAAGGGTTCGCAGGTGGTCCCATATAAATTTTATCGAAATCGGTCGAGCGGTTTTAAAAAAAATCAACAATAAATATATTTTTTAAACAATTTTTTTAATCGAATATGTTATTTAAAACTTTCTTCCTACAAATTACGTGCTTATTACGTCTACACTAAAAATATAAAAATAAAAACTTAAAAAAACTGACTTCCAGGCACTAAAAGGTAAAAAATAACTAAACGGGGGTTTTCATTTAGAATAGATACCTAATCAGATATTTTCGAAGTCGGTGCCAGCGAACAATATTTTAAGATATGGATATCTAATAGGTAAATATGTATTTTACGTATCACGTATTTTAGGTATCTATTCTAAATGAAAACCCCCGTTTAGTTATTTTTTACCTTTTAGTGCCTGGAAGTCGGGGTTTTTTTTAAGTTTTTATTTTCTTTCAATATTTTCGTTCGCGTTCCTATATTTTCTTAAGATTATGATAATGGCAACCAAACGTCGTATATTTTACGTACAATTAAATCAATGAATGTTTATTGAGATTTTAACTTTTTTAACTGTACAGTTAGTTTAGCAGTTTGTAAAAATAGTTTTTAGAGTTTAGACGGTGGTGGCCGGTGGATAGAGTGAGAAAGATTCAAATACTTATATTTTGTTAGTATATTGTAAAAGAGCTGAAAATGTATCACTAAAAAGAATTACAGAAACATCTTTTGAATAATTTTGTAACGTTTTAGTTACTATATAATTTTATTGATATTATAATTTGATTTTTATTATTTTATTGATGTTAACCTTTTTGATTATTGAAATAACGTCTTATCGATATCTGCTTCGGGTATTTGCATTATCACACTGGAATTGTAATAGTTTAAAATTCGAAAATCATTGAATGTATTATTTTTATTTGTATTACATAAAAGTTACTGCTCAATATGGACTTGATTTAAGTGAAATTCGGAAAAATATAGAAGTTACATTTTTCTTTTCTTAATCCTGGGATCTTTAATTAACTATTACGCGAGTGGAGCAGCCCGCAAAAACTAGTTTTTTATTTACAAAGCCAAGACCAAAAGAAAACCAAGACTTTTATAGCTTTATTTAAATTATAAAACAATAATTTATTTTGTACAACACAAAACGCCTTGGAAGATTTATATCTCTGATACTGCTTTCATTAATATACATAAACGTACCTTTTATAATATAAATATCCTCGTAAACAAGCATTTACGTCCATATTTCAACAAGAAACTCTGCATAAATTGTATTTAGGGCCCATGACTCGCATTACTGCTATACCACAGCCTAATTTATTGGAACAACGATCAAGCCCGAGGAAATTTTCCATCCAAAGAAATGTAGACAAGGCATTATTATATAGGCGATAAATTTTGAACAACTCGGTTTTGTAGAGTTCGTAAATTAGTGAAAGGATCTACTTTACATTTTAGTAGACATGAACTTAATTGAAAGCTTTAAAGCAGCGTCTTTTGTTTTAAAATATTAGATAAGTTTAATTAAACTTATTAAATAATAATTATCTATACATATAATAAATTAGTAACAAAGCAAAATCTGTATATTAAATATTTTTAAAAATAATGTTTTACGTATTGTGTACCTTCTACCTACAGAATATAGACAGCAAAACAATAGTTGTTGAATTATTTTTCTGTTTGTTTTCATATCTATTTTTTTTCACGCAAAAAGTAGGTACTAGACGAGTTTTAACAAAATTTTGTTGATAATTTATTACTCTGGACCGTATTTAAAATAGCCTTTAGTTTAGGAAAATCTCTCATTTTCACGAGAACACACAATATCTGTTCGGCCGAGTTTTCCTTCATACAAAAAGTTCATTATAATTATATATTATCATATTAGCGGCTCACCCTCGCTTCTCTCAGATTCGACCCTATGTACGTTTTAACCTCCGCTCGGTTGGGTAGTAGCATGATGATATATGTATAGAATATAGTATCCCTCAATAAACGGGCTTTCTTTAAAATGATATCCACATAGCCTTAGATATAAAGATTGTGATTTCGTCAATTTTGGTCGTCTTATTATGCAATAAATTGTATGCACAATTTCTTCAGTTTTTGGGTTTTGGGAACAAATGATATCCATTTTCTTCGCATCCTGGTACTGCACGATTTGACATTTTAATGAAATAATTTCAAATAAAATGAAAAAAAGCCATCCACGCTATAGAGCTTTATATACTGAGGACTATAGTAATCGTGACATCTAGCGGGAGAAAAAGGCAAAATTCTTCACCACTACAGCACATTATGCGGCATAATGCTTAACTTCGAATTTTTCAACTACTGCATCGGTCCGCAGAAATGAGCATTTTGAAAAGTACTGCTTTGGCGTGATGCGCGCAACGAATACTCGCTTAAATATTACCAGATTTCTACTATTTTCATTATGATACAGTTAATTTATACAAATAATTTTCAATATTTACAATATTTGTCACACTGTAAACATTATAGTCCGGGAGCCAGGTAAAAATTTCATCGATTATCCCGTATTATATAAATGTTGAATTTAAATTTTGAAATTAATAAATTCAAATTTTATTTTTTAACAAAATTTGATTATATACTTATTAGTTTTGAAGTATATTTATTTCGTTGAAGCGTAATGCCAAATAATTTAAAATACGTCATTTCCTCTCGTATGAAAATTTGTCAGGTGATTTTTCAATACACTGCTGTAATTAATAAAAAAAATCAGCCGACAGTAAGTTGAGGAAAACCTCGTCAGCTGATGCATTTAAATTGGCGATAGATGCTCCCGCCCAACTCCTGCGTTATGACTTAAAGTATCGGCTGACGGTCTTTCCAAGATACAGCCAGCTGACATATATATTTATCCATATTTGCATATAAGCTACCATCAGATAAAAATTCATTTGAGAGGAAATCATTGAAAGTCTAAATTTTTTTTCGTGTTCGAGTGACCAGCTGACGTATAATCCACCATGTTATAGTCAGCTGATTGTTTTCTTTCCTCGAGATATTGGGTTAGCAACAATTTAACAAATTTTCAGGTAAGAGGAAATGATTGAATTTATTTATTTTATTTTCGTGCGTGGGAGGCTACCACTGACATTCACGATGCTTTATGATACAACTCTCTGATGCATTCCACTAATTATCGCTTGAGAGGAAATAATCAACCAAATTTGTACCTGACTCCCGGACCATTAGAAACACTGGTTTGAGCGACAACTGTGCAGGTTACTGACAGTTTATTTTCATCTTCTGTTTATATTACATTTAAAATATGACCTGATTAAAATAATTTTTGGCATTTTTATCATTTTGACCTCTAATCCGATCATTTTTCATCGGTAGAAAACCAAATTTTATTATTTTATGTATTATTTAGTCATAATAATATTATTTATTACACAATTTACATCACAATGTTTTTCTTATTTAACACCAGGGCGCTCTACTTTCGATAAAAGTGCTGCCCTTTATAGTTCGCGCACACTGCATATAGAGCTTTACAATAACTGAGGTACATAGTGATCGCGACATCTGGCGGGAAAAATGGATTTTTTTCCCAAGGATTTTATATATTTCATAAACTAAAACGTTTCTTGATATCATCTGTAATATTATTTATTAAACTTCAAACTTCAAAGTCAAATTAGAAAGTAAAAACAAAGCCATGCTGATTTGTGTGTCAAAAATATACACTGTGTCGATGCTCGTTTTTGCGTATTGTTATTAAAATATAGTAAAATACTATTTTTTTATATATTTGATTTTATATACATTATAACATTTAGGAACAGTTTTACATAATGAAAATCTCCGAGGTACTTATTTATTTCTTACATTTGTCATAGATTGGAAAGACTAGGTCATGTCTAAAAAATAAACTTAATAATGTTTCAGCTGCCTGGAGATGAAGAATCCGGTTTAACATGCCGTACATATGTTTTCCAAAATGAAAGCCATACTTTGGGAAACGCTTTGAAGTGTATAATAAATAGATAGTGAGTTACACTTTCTGACAAAGTATAACAAACCACTACCCTGTTATTTTCTATTTTTATTCTTCTTTATATTTCTTTCAGTGAAGATGTGCAGTTTTGTGGCTACACTGTACCACATCCAGCTGAAGCTAAAATGCACTTCCGAATACAAACTCATGAAACACCAGCTCTTGATATATTAAAACGAGGCCTTAAGGATTTACAAAAAGTGTGCGACCATACCATAGATTTATTTGAAAAAGAAGTAAAAGATTATAGTAAAACTTACATCTCATTTTATTTTATCCTTTATCACCTCCAGGTACATTTCTAACAAATTAATTGATTTCTAAGAAATCTATTGTTAACTGTAACACACTACACCTGCATAAAAAAGTCTTACTATTACATTTTTTAAATATTTAGCATGTTTATTTCTGTTGTTCTACACAAACATTATTTTACATAAAAATATTATCAAATACTTTTATTACTTCGATTTTATTACAAACATGCAAAACTAAACATTAGTTTTAGTATTGGTAAATGATAGATTGTACTTACCTAGAAGATTCTCATATATGGAATATTATTATTACTTCACATAATCATTAAGAAACAAAATATCTGTATTAACTTGCAAACATACTAACAAACTACAGTTGACAATGGAATGGTGTTAGAGACATATGGTCATCTGCACTTATTTTTTCCAAACAACCAACTTACCGAAAGAGTTTATTACAGAATTATCTACTTTTAAATATCATTTCTATTGATATTTAAATACCCACTTTATTATAGCCAAAAAATGTATTTTATCTATATATGTATGTATATAAATCTTAGAAATAAAACTAGAGGAAAACTTCACAAATTACAACAGGTATGTATAGGTCACTTAAAAATAAGTATTTAGGTGACGATAATTCACAAGTAAGCATTAAACATTTTTTAAATTAAACTTTTAAGAATAGGCCCAGTTGTCTTAACTGCATAAAATTTGGGTTTATCTTTAACAGTTAGTTTCTAATAGATTGCAAAAATTTAAAATAGTAGTGGTTTATTATAATATTTTTAAATTTTATAATCACCTCCTCTATCTCTTTATTTTTGTATGTCCCTTTATCTATATGTTTGGAAGAAAAAAAATTCAATACGCATTACGCCTAAAATCCACCATTTTGAATTCTTATAATTTTAATTTAGGTTCCATACTCTACAATTTTTGTCATACAACTATTTATCAAACTCTGTTTAGACTTTGTAGGAAATTAGAGTTGGAAATACATATAGATCAAGTATTATTTTAGGATTAGCCAATCTAATAATAAAAGATAAAAACTGAGTTATGTACTACTGAACTATTAGAAATCATAAGCAAAGCAAAATATATTTAGAATTGCAATTTCAATAAATATATTTCAAATACTAAAAACAAGGTTAATGACACAGGCTTCATGTGACACAGGCTTATAGACATTAATAATAATTGTACATCTGATAGAATAAGTACTGACTACCTAATTTAGCTAGTTATATCTGCTTTTATGCATTTTTAATAGGGAACTATTTCTTATAAATTTTATGATAATTATTATTTCAATGGGTCTTACGAAATAAATGAATAAAAAGTATTTCAGTTGTCAAGGACATTTATTCATAATTGTTTTTAGACTTTGAATTCAGAGTAGGGTGACTTCGTCAATGGAATATCCCTCCATAAGTCAGGAGTAAGATAAGCATAAGTCTTGGCGATAGCTGCATATGTGGCCTTGGCAAAGTTACCAAGGGTTCCAGTTGAACCTCTTGCTGAAGTATAGCAGTCCTGTACTCCAGCCATTTGAAGAAGCTTCTTAGGAACTGGAGCTGACACAATACCAGTACCTCTGGGAGCTGGGATCAAGCGTACAGTTACAGAACCACACTTGCCAGTTACCTACAACAATACAAAATAATGCATCAGATCATTTTTATAATTTAACAGACTTTTTCTTAAAATTAATGGATTCAGACGCAACAGAGCTTCACTGGACTTGCCTCAAGAGGATACCACGAATGAAATGTTTGTTAATTCTCATCATAAAAATTTAACAATTATAATAAGGAATATCAGTATATTCAAATAATATTACCTTGCATGGTACAGTATGAGGCTTGCCGATCTTGTTACCCCAGTAACCTCTGCGTACTGGAAGTACAGAGAGCTTAGCCAAGATAATAGCACCACGAATAGCAGTTGCTACTTCCTTGCTGCACTTAACGCCAAGTCCAATATGACCATTATTATCTCCAATGGCTACGAAAGCCTTGAAACGGGTACGCTGACCAGCACGAGTCTGCTTCTGTACAGGCATGATCTTAAGCACTTCATCGTTCAATGAAGCGCCCAGGAAGAAGTCTATGATCTCAAACTCTTTGATGGGCAGAGAGAATAGATATATGCTCTCAAGTTTGTCGATCTTCCCTTCTCTTACGAGACGGCCCAGCTTGGTTACGGGTACCCATTCCTTTTGGTCTTCCTTTCCGCGTCCACGACCACGGCCGCGACCGCGTCCACGACCACGAGGACCTCCACGACCTCTATCTCCACCACGAGATCCAAAGCCACCGCGAAAACCGCCACGTCCACCGGCTGGAGCTGCGTCCGCCATTCTGAAAACGTGTAGATAAACATATTAGCTATTGAAGAAACTTACAAAATAATCATAATAATATAAATTAAATCAGACGCGTTATGGCCATCACTGTGTTACCACTATGGTAGATACCACGAATGAATTTGATTTAGGGTTTCATCATTGCAATATAATAGCACCACGTGGTGATAAGGTTAACGACTCAAGTTACTATTTATTACATATATATCTCACTCAATAAAGCAAAAACGTAAGTAATATATAACGACTTCATTACAAATACCACAAATTTACAAAAATAGATTGAATAAAACGCTATTTTGGACTTACGTTGAACCGTGTGCTTGAAGAGACGGTCAAATTCAAAATGGACGCTATGATTTATGAATCGGCTTGTAGAAAACGAAAAGAATGAAATAGGGAATTCATTCACATTAGAACGAATGAAATACTCTTAATAATGCAAAAGCTACAGAATATATAAAGTTATAGTTATATCGATATGCTATATATAAAATCGATTTTTAACTTGAAATTTATCGTAGAAAGAAAATAAAAATTGTCATCATTGATTGATTAATATCACCTCCAGGTAAACTTCTTACCTATTACGTATATATATATATATATATATATATATATATAACAATTCTATATATATATATATATATATATATATATATAAGAATTGCTCGTTTAAATATATTAGATATAAAGAATATTATGATTCCATCTAAACAGTGCAGTAGCAATGGAATAAGATAATAAGCTAAACAAGAGCACGTCTTTGTAATAATAGATTCTTACTCTCAGACCAATAAAATACTTTTTTATTGGGCTGAGTTCTTAAATAAATATTATTACAGTATTATTTCTGTAATAATATTTAAACATTCATATTTTATTTATAGGAATGATTATATTATTTCAGATTATAATGATTTAATAATTTAATATCAGACTAGTATTAAAAAGGCGAACATTTTGTTTGCGTGAGTTTGTTACTACTTCACGCCGAAACAAACAGCTGGATGGATTTGGTTAAAATTTAATACACAGGTAAACTACGATCTGTATTACCCTGTAGGCTACTGGCTACTGTTAACCATTCATGGAAGCAGCTGGAAGAGGGTAAGTAAGTATCACTAAGCATAAAATTGAATTAATAAAATAATTCACCATTTAAATATTGGGGTAGCAAAAATATCCGCTATTAATTTTGTTGTTTTCAGCAGTTTAAAAATATATAAAAATTTCGAGTTTTATATGCATGTTGGTAAAATAAGTCACAGTACGAAATATTAGGTAAATCCCTCATACCACTATGTTGTGAACCCATAAACGTTAAAAAAGGCGTACTATCCACAGTTCGTATTTTACAATCAATTATTATTTACAATTAAAGTTGATTAGTAAACTAAAATTCATTTTCGAGCTTGCGAAAATTGAAATCAAAAATGGCCAACAATTTAACTTTTTAATACTAATATTGATGGAAATACATTTATAAAATTATTGTATCAATTTTAGTGTTGCCTAATAAGCCATGATGCCATGAGTTGACTACAATTGGTTTACAAAGAGCTGGCCAAAACCACAATCTTTAGTTGACTATTTAAATCAAAGCTTTACAATAATAAGAGTGTAAACAAATAAACACTTTTTATTTAAAAAAAATATATTAACTTAAATAATTACTATTTTTATACTTTTCTTTATTTTAATGCAATGGCCATGAACAATTGACAGTTTCTATTTTATATTTTTTCATGGTAACATCTTGTACTACATAGGGAAATGGTTCATCTCCTAAGCCATGGCAGGCTGCTCCATAGGTTCCATCGATTTTCAAAGCTACAACTGCTCCCATAAAATCTGGATAATGTACTGCTATTCTATTTATCGCAAACCGCGCGGCTTGTGTAGGCGACGCTCCGCGGCGCATTTCTTCGACTGCCAGGAAACTGAGAAAAATAAAAATCATACTAAATAACAAAATAGAACATAAAGAAAAAAAATATATTTACTATAAAAAATACTTAATATTATATTTATCTCAAAAGTTTTGTGTTTACTGTTATACATGATATATTTATAACATACCTTGGCAAAAATCTAAGCATAATATCCCCATCTCCAGTAGCTGTGGCACCACCAACTGTGTTATCTGCATAAGCACCCGAACCTGGAATTGGAGAATCCCCAATTCGTCTGAAATAAAACAGTTTTTCAAATATATGTTTTGAATTCATAAAAAAATATTAAAATATAATAAAAACAAATCATTCATATATTACAATAATGTAAACAAACCCAGGAATTTTAAATTTTGCTCCATTTGTGGATGTTCCAGCAGCAACATCCCCTTTATTATCTATTGCCACCATTCCAATAGTATCATGATTAAATCTATTAACTTTTATAGGCATAAAGTTATAATTCCTTGTCGTAAATGCATCAAGTTTGTTGTATGGTCCACAAAACTTGCTGGGATCAGGTGTTACATCCTGTGATAAGATAAGATATTATTGAGACACTTGAGATATTTTCATGTAGTGATACATTAATAAGAACTTTTAAAAGATGTAATTTGATATAAATATATGTTTAATAAAAGTAACAAATATGGGAGTCAATCACAAATTTTTACCATCCAAAAATTTGGCTGACAATGATCGCGATAATACCATTTTAACCACATTCTCTTAGAATCTGGTGTAGTTAAAGTTTCTTCATGAAAGCCCATTTGTACTGCAAACTGGGTTGCTAATTCTCCAACAAGTATTGAATGCTTGGTATAATCTAAGACATTTCTTGCTACTGATGCTGCCTTCTTTATCCTTCGTAGAGCACCAACAGCACCAACATTCATTGTTCTCCTAAAAATGTAAAACATTAGCAAGTGTTAGTGTATAATTAAAATTCTTAGTCTTTTTATAGTTATGCTATTCTTAAATAATATCATAACTATAAAAAATTCAAAACAACACTTGTTTAAAATAATTGCACTAATAAATTATAATATAGATAAAATATAAATACCCATCCATTATAAAAGCATCTAAAGTGGTCTCTCCATCTTCATCTGGACTGCCACCATAACCTACTGTTCCATCACATTGTTGTTCTTCACATATGGAAGTTCCTTGTTCTATAGCATCAAGAGAATACCCGCCTTGTTTTAAAATATTCCAAGCTGTGTATAAAAAAATAACAAAAATATTAGTTGTGTCTAAATAAAGTACCTTCAATTTTAACATCATCTTTAAAATAAAAGCGAAATCTTTATTACCGGTAATAGTAGAGTTAACAAAATTCCATGTAGTTATAACCACTGGTGTATTTTGTTTACTTTGTACTATCAAAACAAATATAAATGACAATAAAACACATATTTTAGACATATTTAAAATAACCATGCAATATTTTTTCTAAAATTTATGGAATTTTTGAAGAAAATCTTTTAAATTCACATTTGACAGGACTATTGTTTTGTAGTTTGATAGGAAAACTATTAAATTAATTATTAAAGGAAACTGACGTAAACTGAATATTAAATATTTCATTCTTTTCATTCACTCTTTTATTCTGTGTAAAGGAGTAGATTTCACAGAATTTAATTTTTAATATTTTATAAAGTATATGGTGAATACTAATAATTCTTCAATTTAAAAATATAGTATTATAGTATATTATGTATTTAAATAATAATCCATTGCAATACATTTTTTATCTCGACATAGCTGAACATCTTTTAAAACAATACATTACAAAAGAATACAATATCTAGAATAATACTTCTCTTACTCTTATTTAGTAAATACTAATGGTACGATTAAACGAAAACATATAGACCAAATGCGAAGCAGAGTGGCTGATGGTAATAAAATTTCATATTATTTATCAAATGAAAGCCAAATTGAACCTACAGCCCAAGGAGATTCGTGCTCTCGTAACAACACATTTGATGTGAACCCTGTACCATCAACTTCATTTGAATCTGGACAGTCACTAGTTTGCCCCTCATTACCACCAAGAAAATCGGAGAGAAAGCGAAAGGCTCCAGAAAGATTTGGTTTTTAGTTTATTTTTATTTATTTTTTCAAATACTAAGTGGTATTGATGGAGTAGTCTGCTATCTTGACGATATTCTTATAACTGCAAACAATTTAACGGATCACATTAATAAGGTACGAACAGTCTTAAAAAAATTAAAGTCAGCGGATATTAAAAGTCAAATTTCAAAATGCTCATGGCTACAAGAAAGTGTAACATTTTTAGGACATAAGATAGATAAACATGGACTGCATCCAACAGAAGAACATGTTAAAGCCATAAAAGAAATGCTTATCCCATCCTCGTCGCCAAATATAGTATTATAGTATAATATGTATTTAAATAATAATCCATTGCAATACATGTTTTTATTTGACAGCCTTGTTGCTTAGTAACCCTACTACAAAAAACAAATGCATAAATTATAGTTAATAGTTACATATCCTTTTTTATCTCGACATAGCTTAACATCTTTTAAAACAATGTACATAAGAATAAATATCATAATAATCTTCTCTTATTTATTTTTAATAATGTTGATTTAATTCAAATCATAGATAAAAATTTTAATATATCAGTATCATAGATAAAAAAATATATTTGTTATCCATGGTTCAAATTTCAAATTCTATATTTTTTATTTGTCATCAAGTCAAAACTTCAAAAGTAAAAACAGAAGTTGCTGTTTTTATTGTTCCTGGCATCTTCATCATTTTATTTATCAATTGTCATCCATGGTTCCTGGTCTGTGGTTACTGTAAACTGTTACAATTATTATTATTATTTTTTCTAATGGACCTCGATACGTTTTGCCGTGAATTACCTAAAGTTGTAAGTACAACGTATACATTATAAAAATTATTAATGTTTATATTTGCTAAAAAAGCAACATTAAAAAAAATTCTAGGAGTTACATGCACATTTAAATGGGTCCTTAAGTCGCTCTACAATGCTACAGCTGCAACGACACCTCGCAGATTCAGGCATGAGAGATAAATCAAATGCCTTCTTAGATGAATTTCAAATTGGTTCCGGTGATACAAGAAATCTATCTGAGTAAGATTTATAAATACAAATGATCAAAAATATTCATTGAACCTTTTAGTTTTAATATTTTATATTAATTTTAGTTGTTTCCAAGTGTTTGGCATAGCACATGCATTAACAAGTACTCCTGAAACACTATCTATGGCTACATCTTTGACCCTTAGGGAGTTTGAAGATGATGGTTGTTGCTATATTGAGTTAAGGAGTACTCCAAAAGAAACCCCATATATGAGTATTAGACAATACATAGAAACTTTAATTCAGACCATCAAGTAAGTAAAATTATTTGTATATATACCCAAAAAAATAGTGAATATCCTAATTTAATCTAATATATAATAATGTATATGCATTTTACAGAAACACAAATTCGTCTCTAATAACTTGTCTCATAATATCAATAAATAGAAGTAGTACTCAAAAAGAAGCTGATATTATAGCAAATTTAGCAATAGAATATCACAAAAAATTCCCTGATTTGGTTGTGGGCATTGAATTAAGTGGTAATCCCACAGTTGGCATTTTTCAAGATTTTATTCCAGCATTAACAAGAGCTAGGGAAGCTGGTCTAAAAGTAATAATACTGTTTAACTATATTTGTTTTATTTACGCAAAAAAAATTTTTTACCTAATTTGGTAACACTATTTGTTACATTGTTATAGAAATAAAGTTAAATTAAAAATATTTTGATTTAAACATAATTATCCTGATTCCAGGTGACATTGCACTGTGGGGAGATATGCAACTCTCAAGAAGTATTAGAAATGCTAACATTTAGGCCAGATCGTATTGGTCATGGTGTCTGTATACACCAAAGATATGGCGGCAATGATACTACATGGGAACTGTTATGCAAATTACAAATTCCTGTTGGTAAGTTGCAGACTACTCGTGTTTGCATATCAGTAATTCTTTGTGCAATTTTCCTATGTATAATAATTTTTATAGCAATCTATTCCTAAGGTTTCTTCATTATTACTATAAATAACTATTTTGTTTATTACTATTTTAGAAGTTTGTTTGACTAGTAATGTAAATACAAAGTCCACTCCAGATTATAATTCACATCACTTTAAGGAGTTATATGATGCTAATATACCTATCATTCTATGTGTAAGTATAATAATGACACTTAATTTTTTTAATACTTCAGTCAATAAGTATAATATTATGAATTTAAAAAAATTATTATTTTTAATAATTTATGTTTAATCTTAACTATTTATTTTTAGACTGATGATAAAGGAGTCTTTGCAACCTCTTTGTCACAGGAATATCGCATATGTGCTGAAACTTTTGGCATTGAACCTTCAAAGCTTGCAAGACTAAGCCTCAAAGCATGTGATCACATATTTGCTGAAGACAAACGCAAGACTCTCAGAGATAAACTACGAAATTTTATTAATAAAAATGAATTATAAATATGTAGTTTTCTTATTCTAACATACTATTGTTTATAAATAACTAAATTTTTATTTAAATTTAAAGAATGTAATATGAACCGTAAAGTAAAGTACCGTAAAGTGAATAGTTCATAAATATTTTCAATAAGTTAAACTTAAAAAGAAAAAAATAATTATTTCATGTTTTAAGCTATTTAGGCAACACTAGATTCTACCACAGCTGGAAACACTGGTTTTTGTTGTGTTTAAATCAGCACTGCCAATTGGTGGTTAAATTACCCGAAAAGCGGGTAATTTTAGGCGATTTTTGATGGCGGGTATTTTAGTAGGAAGCAGCTATTTATTTTAGTTGGATTACTTTGATATTTTAAGTTTTATGTTTGATTTAATAATTTCAAACTGTTTAATTGAGAACTGAGTATAATGACATCTTTTTCTAACATTAGTGCTTAATTTTTTTCTATATAAAACATGAATAAATTACTTTAAAAAAACTATTTTCGGGTATTCTGCTCATGTTTGGCGCCGGCGGGATAAACCGGGTAAAATGAGGTTTATTGGTCGGGTAAATCAACGACTGTTATCTGGATTCTGGCAGCTCTGCTTAATTAATCCTTTCAATATTTAGTCTGTGGTTATGTCATAGATGATAGAGTTACGAGTTTTTGTGATCTTTAAATTCTGAAATTATAACCTATAAAGTCGACTAAAAGTAAAAATATATTACAATAAAAAATGAGCGAATTACCAGATTTTTCAAGTAGCAAACCGGCAGATTCAGAGCTCCAAGATTTTCTTTTAGCAGAAAAACAAAAAGCTCAATTTCATGCTCAAGTATAAACCTTATTTTATGTATTTTTGAAGAAGCTAGTAATATTTTGCATTATTGCAATAATTTTAATATCTATTATTATTAAATAATTATTTTCTGAAAACTTATAATTCATGTTGATACTATTTAAATATAATTTTGTCACTAAAAAGAAATTCAAGAAATATTTCTATTTTGTTACAGATACATGAATTTAACGACTTTTGCTGGGACAAATGTGTTGACAAGCCTGGATCCAAATTAGACTCCCGAACAGAAACTTGCATATCCAATTGCGTGGAAAGATTTATTGATGTATCATTATTGATCACCAATAGATTTGCACAGATGCTTGAAAAAGGTGGTGGCATGCACTAAGGAAAACTCAATCTTTGTTTATTATAGGTTTATGAATATTTGTGTAGTATAGAGAATTATTGGTTGTAATGTATGAGAAATAGCAGTCATACATTTTGAGAAAATTAATTGTTTCAATAGTTATATAATATGATGCAATATTGTGTTCATTTATGCATCCATTGTACATTACTGCCCACTGATACAAAATGCCAGTATGCATTATTTTAATGCATTTTGTTTGTTATAATTATCCTTGGAATAAATAAATAAAAATATTAAATATCATAATTTATTTTATTTCTCTCACAAATTATATATTAGTTGACAAAATACTTCCGTACATTATTTAGTTAAACACATGGGTTATATAATAGAGATTTTCTTTAAATCCAAAGAAATACAGATTATAAGCAAATTAAGTTTTTATTTTTTATTAAAATCCACTTTCTATGATTTTAAAATTTTCCTACTCTACCTAATTTTGTATCAGTTCGAGGGTCCGCAGTAACAGTCTGTACAGCAACTAAAGCCTCATTGATTTTCGTTTGCAATTCCCTAAGATCTTGAATAAAGAGAAGCTTCAAAACATCCACTGGTTGTTGCACCACATTCATATCATTTCTAGGATGGTCAGGATGTGGGGCAGTTTTTAATATCTTAGCAACAGCGGATAGGCGTACTTTAGGGTCTGGATGAGGACCAACTCCAGTCAATGTACACACCCTTTCCACTCCTGCTTTAAATGCTGGGCTGGAAACTATAATATAAACTTAGTAACAATTCTAATATGCTCTACAAAAGTAAATTATAGATGGAATTTATGATATTATTACTTACAGTCTAAATTATCTAGAGGATTTGATGAAACAACATTTGGAGTTGCCTGTTTAGGTTGCTCTACTTTTGCATCCTTATATTTTGTTACTAAAAAAAAACGAAAATATTAATCACAGTAACATTATTAACAATTTTATTTTTTTTTCCTATAAAAACTTATACTAACCATTATCTGCATATTCTAACCTTACAGCATATGAAAGCAGCCAATTCAGCTGTTCATTTGAAGTATTCTCTACTACAGGGCTGACTAAATCTCTTTGATATGTATTGTAAGCTTCAATCCAGGTGTCACTGTCAATATTTCTAAGACCTTCTCTTTCTTCAATTTTGTAATGCCTAATTTTCTGATCTTCTAACCAGAGGACGACACTTCTATATTCCTTTTCATCTAAAACATATAAATTAATATGTGACATGGTTGAGTAATATGCTTGAAATAAATACTAAAATAATCGTAAAATCTGCAAACCTTCACAACTAAAACCCTCGGGGTTTGGATGTCCAAGAGCAGTCAACTTTAATTTAAAAAGAGTACTCATTATGATTTATGATTAATATAATCAGTAATAGAAAAAAATGTAAACTATTTTAGATTTTAAAAGAAAAAAACCGGCTTAAATTATTAACTCGAGTTTTGACATCTGACAGATGAGCAGCATTGCCAATACCAATTTATTAAATTCCCCGATAAGACAATTCAAGTTCCTCAATTTGGGGAATCACACAAATTCCCCTCAAAACTATTCTAAGAAATAAGACAACTATTTAAAAAAAATATCTTTTTTTTTTGCAACAAGCATTTTGCTCGATGGGTTAAGCTCATAGACAGATAATTCTATTCTCTCATCTCTGTCTACGGTTAAACTTGACATTGCCGCCATATAAACTAATTGTGGCCGCCTTTGTTAGTTGTTGGTATTAATGATAGTACCTGGGCGACTTCCCGCCCCGATGTGCGTTCACCTTGTCGTGGTAGGGGGGATCAGTAGCTTCTGGCAATCCAACCGGGAGCGAAGTCAAGAAAAACACTGGGAGCTCACTTTGGTGGGCGGTGTACCGTGCGGGTTGCTCCTGGTACTGATAGCAAAATGGACCGTTGGCGCAGCCCTATATACACAAAAATTTGTCTAGCTTTAACATAAAAAATTAGAAATATATTTGTTTGATTTTTTGAAACCCATCCTCTATAGGGGTATAAGGGGGTAATAAAGTTTATATTGGCAAAGATCAAGACACGCGGTAGCGTGTCCACTGTCCAGCCAAGTTCAAGCCAAAGGAACTGGTGACGCAGCACCGTGTGTATATTTTACTATAATAACTCAAAATCTATTTAACATAAGCTCATAAAATTTGGTTCATTTATTAAATCGCCTTAGATTAACTTAGATTTTACATACAAGTTATCTTATATTCGGCTAACCACTTATATCTTCTTTATGCTTGCAAGTTACTGTTTTTTATATTGTAAGGTCAACATGTCTCACTCTACTAAAAACTTGCTTTACTGGTAGAAACTAGCCAAGTCAAATCTTGAACTTCAATTTATCCTAAGTTTTCCACTCTGTGTAAATAATTCGAATGTTCAAATTTATGAATTTCTATTTTTAAATAGCAAACACTTTTGTAGCAGAAAAAAACAAGTAACTAACTCAATTCTTTTGTCGGCGAAGTTATCAACCACGCATATTCTCAATATTAAACTTGGCTCCCATTTTCAAATTTATGTTTTTGATAGGATCAGAATTACTTGAACCTTGTAAATCTAAGAAAGTATTATTGAAACTTGGTATTAATGCTCTTCAAAACAGTTGATAAATACGTGTTATAACTTATAGCATTTATCGAAGTTCCTTAAGGGCATGAAAGTTGTATGAAACTCTGTAATTAATATGTAAAAAAGTACAAAAAATAAATAAAAATATTCACATGTAAACAATTTAAAAGTTTTAAAACCACTTTCTGTAAAATGATGACTGATGTCCACATAGCCTTAAATAAAAAGATTGTGATTTTGTTGTGATTTGTGTCACTTTACTGCTTTAGTCCACGATTTTTTCAGTTTTTGTCTTTTTAAAACAAATGATATCCATTTCTTTTGCATCCTGGCACTGCACAATTTGTAATTTTAATTAAATTTTAAATAAAATGAAAACAATTCCATCCATGCTATAGAGCTTTATAATATACTGAGGGCTATAGTGGTAGCGACAATGCAAAATTCTTACCCATTAATTTATAATGTTTGAAATACATGGCAAATGGCAATATATTTTAAACAGCTGATGATACAAAAAAATTAAATGACATTGTGATTGTGCCAGGGTAAGTCGAGAGTGGTATACTGGCACTTAGATAAAAACTTTTAAAAATTGTGTTAAACGTAGTAGGTAAACGGAGTAGTTAAATACTCTTTGATAGTGTTATTTAATGTGATATACTATAGTTGTTATTGTGTAAAATATTTATATTAAAATTATTACAAAACGATGTCGACTTGGGTAAAAGAAAATTGCGTGTCCTTCTTTCAACTATTTTGCATAAAGATAGTGAAGACTGGACGAGTTCCACAGCATATAGCATTTATAATGGATGGAAATCGACGATACGCTAAGAAATTCAGTGTAAATATTAGTGCTGGTCACAGCAAGGGATTCGATAAACTTTCAGAAACTCTAAAGGTAGTGTGTTAATTTTTAATAAAATACTCTACACTTATAAAGACAGATACTTGAAATATTAATAATCAAATTTACTTCAGTATTGGACCCGATAAATTTGTCATTTTCAGTGGTGCTTAGATCTTGGTATTCCTGAAGTAACAGTATATGCATTTAGTATAGAAAACTTTAAAAGAACTAAAGAAGAAGTTGATGCTTTGATGGATCTCTCGCGTGATAAATTTAACAAGCTTCTGGAAGAAATGTAAGGGTTTTTAATATTTATAAGTCTTTTTACGAATGATGTGTTTGCACAATTATGTAAATGTCTATTAAAATAATAAACTACCAAGTTAGAAAAGTTTATATTACTTATCTTAAAAATAACTTTTTTTTTAAACAGAGATCAAATAAATGAATGGGGAGTCAGGTTAAATGTTCCTGGTCGTCTATCCCTGCTACCTGAGGACATACAAATATTGGCATCCAAGGCTATGCTGGCTACACGACACAATAACAAACTTCGACTTAATATTGCATATGCTTATACAGGTAGTATATGATAATATCATTTATGATAATTTGGTATAAATTCATGAGGTGTCTTAAGAATACCCATTTTTTTTAATGAAATTTAAATGATTTTAATATATATATAAAGTACAAGTACTATAATATAATACTTTTTTGCATTGGATAGGTCGAGATGAAATAAGCAGAGCTGCATCAAATATTGTAGTTGGTGTTCAAAACAAAGAATTATCTCCAGATGACATAGATGAGGATCTTGTCTCGCAGACATTGGATTTAGGTGAACCCGAATTGCTCATACGAACATCAGGAGAAGTAAGACTGTCAGATTTTATGTTATGGCAGGTTGGTAATGTCATTGAAAATTTTGATGATTTTGTTATATTGAAAAGAATTGATATTTTCTTTTGCTTTTAATAGTCAAAACAAATTATAAATTTTGTTTTCTTTAACTACCATTAAATTCACATACTCATTTACTGTACTACTACTGTACTGTACAGTATTAAACATGAATATTTTTTACAGGTTTCCAACTCAGTTTTATATTTTTCTGATGTTTTGTGGCCAGAATTCTCGATATGGAATCTTTTGGCTGCTATTATACATTTTCAAAGAAATGCACCACCTCTGGTTCAAGAGAAAGAAAATAATCTACTTCAAGAAGAATTTTTAAAGAAATTGGAAATCAGAAGATGGGAAAAGTTAGAGAAGATTGTTGGTTGTTAAAAAATGTATTTATAATATATGTTTACTACTGCTTTCACATCTACATATATTAATTTAATAAATGATACATTTCCTGTATTGTAAGTACTGAAATTAATAAATAAGAAAAAAAAAGTAAGCGCGAGTCTGACTCGCGTACCGTGGGTTCCGTAGAATAGAACATTAAAATAGTTTATAATTGCAAAAAAAAACTTTTAGGTATAAGACATTGGTTCTTGATAAATTTAATTGTTGGGTTGTACCCCGTTTTATTTTGGTTTTTATTTCCTTGCGAGTGTCAAAATATGCAGCATAGACGTTGTAGATTGCAAAACTGAGTATTTGATATTAATTTCAACTCGTGACCTCTACGCATTCATGAGAAAAAAGAGTCTTGACAGACAGATGGATAACAAAGTGAGCCCTATAAGGGTACTTTTTCCTTTTTGAGATATGGAACACAAAAAATATATTTCTAACTGCATAGTTTAGTAAAAATATTATAATTTTGTCCTATGTATAAATACTTATTATTTATTTGTAGATTTTGTCACTGAAATATGCTGCTATTACATAAGTTGTCATTTAACTACTAAAATAGAACTTTACATTGGTTAATGTTATAAATATATAAAATATGTAGGTATACTATGCCTAAAAGTGTTCATATTTTTTACTACATTATAATGTAAAACTCCTATGAAAGAAATATTTTTACAATAAAATATAATATACATAACATTATTATATTTTTTAAACAATAAAAAACTATAAATTAATTCATTCCTGCACTTAAAAAATAACAAAATTTAATGTATACTTACTATTCTACACAGTTTAAAATAAACTACCTCTTTTCTTAAAAACCGTTGAATCTTTGATTTTCGTTGTATTATTCCCGGTAATCTCATTCTGTCATGAGAACATTGTATTTTAGATTATTAGCGAAAGTTTTTAACACACTGCAGGTAATGGGTCATAAAATGTGATATGGACAAATAATTTTTCGCCATTTTCAATATTTTGTAGTTTTAAAAATTATCTTTGTTTCTTAAAACGAAATACTTATAACGTTTAAAATATATTTTATATTTAGTTGCTGTTGTACGATGGTCATAAACATTTCAAACAATTATATGCAATATTTACAAAATTTTATATGTATAATTATAACTAGGGACTTAAATCCTCGCATCGCTCGGGTACCTCACTAGATACGTTTTAAATAGATAAAATAGTTATTGTAATTAAGAGTGTAGGCACCTATTTTTTTACGTTGGGAAATGCATTTAGGTTACCACCTGCATACATATAGGTATGGGACTCACTGGCAAAGCCAGTACAACCCACTAAAACCCAACGGAACCACCCCCGTCTTAACGGGGCGTCGCAGGATCGCTTACGAATTCAACAATGACGCCCCGACATGAGTGTTATACATCCTAAGGTATCTCATAGTTCATACACACATGCTATTGTGGACTTTTTCACAATACACGTAGAAATTGGACTCGCAGCTAGTATAAAACATGTACATATTAATGTCTCCGACTGTATAATACCTACTGATTCTTCTACTTGTTCTCATCTTTTTAGTTCGCGTTTTACGCAGTCGGGTGATTTTTATTTTTGTAAATTATTTTTTTATATTATGAATAGATATGACGATTTGCACTCGAACTAAATTTTGCATTTTCAAAATTGCAAATTATACCACAATAGATTGTTAAATATGGTAATGTTTAATAGTTAAATCATTGAATATTGTGTGGCTGTCCGATCCAATTATTGTTTTCCCGTAGGTGTGAGAGATTTTCCTGTAGTGATAGGTATCCTAAAGGTTGACCCGAGCAAGATGTTATGACTATACAAAATTTAATTGTAATCCGTTTAGGACATTTTGCGTATAAAGAAACAGATATACAGACAAACAGACATAAATTTCAACTACTATTGTTTTGGGGTCTATATTCTGAAAAGTGAAAACAATACGTAAAGAACGAGTCATAGTTTTTAAAAAATATTTCATGTACAGATTTCGCTTTGTTACTATTTTATTATATAATGAGTTGTAGGTATACATTTTATATATTCAAATTTTTAGAATTAATTTATTAAGATGTACCTAAAGTTAATTAACTCATTTTTGACGTACATATATGTTATAAAAATTGAAATGAATTAATTAAAAGATTAAAACTACTTAGCGGAAACACTGACTATCATAAAATAGTAATTAAATATATTAGAATAATTATTCTACGCTTTATTCTAACAACTACCTAATAAAAATTTAAAACACTCCTAATATTAACACGATGACTGCATATTACTTTCCCTACTATGTTTCTTCGTTAACTTGTTTCCCCCCCCCCCCCCTTTAAGTTCCCTTTTTGCGCAATAGATTTTTTATATATTTTTTTCTATGTTGACTGCGACGCCTTTAAGAAGGCTCTCGTAAGATTATATGAAAGTCCTATGTTCTTGCAACTAGGCAGGTATATAAACTGTCTCCTACTCTGACAACATTTCGACAAGACCGGTCAAGACTAGAGCAATTGCAGGCAACGGCGTGAAACAGTCAGTCCCGGACTGATTCTGAGAATTTCAATCACTGAATCAAAAGAGACAAAAAAACTCAATAACGAAACGGGAGTCGAACCCAGAATCTCCGTATGCAGTCGTATGTTAACCACAAGACCACAGAGGACAGAACAGCGTCCGTCGGGTCAGCTATGAGCTAGTATAGCTATAAAATAGGTTGTTTTCCAGTTATTATTCTTACATTTTTTTTAATTATTCATAACGTTCCGAATGCAAGTATAATTTGAAGGATATTAAAAAAAGAACATTATAATTGCTAAGTGATAAGAAAAAACTTAGGTATCTGATCTTCCTACATATATTTTTTACTAAACTTTAATTACGCTACCAATTGTGGTATTCTTAAGAATATTTATACTTTCAGAATAATAAATATGTTGGGACAAAATATCATACAGCACCATCTAGTTCCATGTTAAGCTACGAGGCTTGTGTTATGGATACCAGATAGTTGATACACTACATACTTTAAATACATACATGATATAAATATTAACACCCATGACTGGAGTACTAACATTCGTGCTCATGATTCAAATGAGTACCCCCAGCGGGACTCGAACCCGCAACCACTGCCAAACGTGTCGTCAATATTAAAACTTAAAATATATTAATCAATTTAACGAAGGGTACAACCTATCAGTAATAAATACGAGTATGTGTATGTAATCTATAGATGAATAATGCAAACGTAATAATTAAAGAATATTACGAAAATACAGAGGCATTATAAAAACTATTGAAAGTTTATGTCCTGTTTTTCTGCTAGTAGTAGAAATACAAAGATGAGTTACTTTTAATCGACTTCCAAAAAGTTTTGCTTTGTTTTTGAAGTTAATATATTACTTCTTTTGGACCGTTAGGGAAAAAATATGATCAGACATACATACGTACGTACATAATATGTACATATATAAGTGTACCTACAGGTCAACACATACATATCTTTAACAGGTGGAAATTAAGTATTAAACGACCTTTCATAACTTATGTAGTGGACAGTGGACTAGAGATTAAATGAGACTTTTGAGCCACAAGTGTACAGCTTATTACTTTCATTTCTGAGGATAAAATTCTTTACGACCATACTAATAGTGCCACAACCTAAACCACCACTGAAGTACTAGGCCAAGCAGTGAGACATGTTTCACAATCAATTTTACAATCGTGTTCAATTAAAAATAATAATTGGCAATAGGTAGTTATAAAATTTACATTAAAGTAACCCACACAGAGCACTATGCCAGTTTGCAGGTGGACTATAGCGTTAAAGGAAGGCTCGTGCCCAGCAGTGAATTTCAAATATCTGAATTATTATTATTTTGGCCACTTTGCTTTTTGCTTCAATCGGGTGCGTTGCTAGGTGCTCACAGTAGCCTAACCCTATTGAAAAACTCCAATAGGATCTCATCAAAAGCGACCAAAACCACATAGAAACAAATATTTAAATAAATAAATATCTATTTGGCTTTTGTCGCTTTTGATGAGTTCCTATTGGAGTTTTTAAATAGGATATGTACTCGTATGTACTCTAGGCACAGACTGACAGATTGGTCTATACTAGTACTCTAGGTCATGGTCTATATGTGAAATAAATTTTATCTAAATCCATTCAAACATAAGTAACAAACACACCCGCACGCCATACACAATCATACAAACGCATACTCACAAACACGAACATGCGCGCGAACACACGTAGAACGTGAAACACGTATAAACGTAGAACGATTATAACAATAGATAAGTATGTATAACAATGAAACTACAACCATACTTATACATAAAAAATTTATTCACTTTATAACATACTAGCGGCTCACCCTCGCTTCGCTCGGGTTCGTCGCTAGGTACGTTTTAAATAGATATAAAAAGAAAAAATCTTTCTTTCTCACATTTTAATTATATGTTTTAATACTTACCTATTCCGGACTAAGAGAAATCCAAAAATTAAAATATCATAAAAATTGGAACGCGGTCGAACGGGATAAAAAGTATCCTATGTCCTTCTCCTGGCTCTAAACTACCTCCCTGCCAATTTTCAGCTAAATCGGTTCAGCCGTTCTTGAGTTATAAGCGAAGTAACTAACACGACTTTCTTTTATATATATAGATTGGTGTATATTTTTATTGCATCATACTAACTCTGATTGGATATTACATTCTAAAATAAAAATTGAAATATAAAGTGTAAAAAAAGGTTCTTTATTGCCATATTTACTTATAGCTGATATATTATGTGCTTCGTAAAATAAGGTTTTTGTCATTTTGATAAAAATTGACTGTATAATAACTTAAGCTATCATTGCAAATACTTTATATAGCCAAATTTTTTCAGAATTTTAAATTCTATACATTGAGTCGCTCAGCAGAAGAGTGGCCTAATCCACAAATTTACAGAAACAGAGTTAAATAGATATTTGTATACTACACTATACATCTTTAAAACTAGGAGCCTAAAAATTAGTTTCGGTAGTGTTTGATAGATGGGGTTGATGAATGTTCTTATTCTATTTCAAATTTATGATTATTTTCATAGGAAAAGCGGCCTATTATTTGATAGGCTCTAACTTCTACACTTAATAGTTTTAGCACTATATGCCACTTTAGTTTTTAAAATATGGCCACACCAAAATAAAACGTCAATCACTTTCGCTAGCATCGTAAATGTTACATTGTGGTTTGTTTATTTCGCGGCTAAAACTGATAAAAAGCATTTTGTTTGTGAAATATGTCAGAAAATGTGATATCGGAATCTTTCGCGGAGCGACTCAATTCATTTTCATCATTGAATGTTCTACAAAATAATCGAAATTTTAGTTTTAAATAAACCAAACACGCTTTTCATACACCGGTCATGAATTTCAACATGAAAGAATAATAATTTCAATTCTCTGGAATCCTTCTCCAGATTTCTTCATTCTATCGTTTTACAATTTTAACTTATAAAGGTTTCAAATTAATATGATAGAAGTTTTAAATTAACGTTAAAGTTTTGGTTTCATAATTATTACAAGTGAACAAATAAATATGGGCCCTCCTCATTAGTTGGATTTCTTATGATATTGTTTATTATAGTCAATATTTTTTTTTTATTTGTGTCTGTTATTATTGTTTGTAAAAAGTTCAGGCCAATTATATTGATTCTATTATATGTCCAGAACAAAATTCTCAAGTACTTCATGTTTGTGAACACTTTCTTGGAACAATTCTGCTCAAATATCCATGAGTTTACAAATAGTAAATGTATCACTAGTTTTGTATAAGTTTACTTGAACATTATTTTCCTTTTACTGTATATTTAGAATAAGTCTTAGTTGGGTCATATGGTTCCCATCTTGATGCCGGGAATATATGCTTATTTCTTTCATACCAAGATCTGTAAAAAAATATAAAAATATGAATATAAAGAAGTTTATGATTCTAGTAATCCTCCATATCCTTTGTAAATGTTTACACTTAATTGTATTTATTTTTCATATTTCAAAAATATATGATTATGATTTTATAATTTTAGGAAATATATAATCTCATGATATTGATTTTTTTTAAATGAAAATACTTATACCTTAAAAGAACTTTTCCTGCGTGTGAGTCTTGTTTTTCTTGAGTAGCGTCATTAACTAATCTAATGTCATCTGATGCATCAAATTGGAATAAAGGTCCACTTTTACCTCTTGCCTGTGAAAAGAGAAACAAAAAGTGTTGTTACCGAGCTGATAGGTTTGAAAAATAATCATTTCTTTGTTTATCTATAAGCTATAAGTTACAGAACAATACTGCTCAATGGCTTTAAGTGAAAGGAAGGATACTGATAAGGTCTCATTTTCGCCAAAGGATAACAAAAATAAAATATGTCATATGATTTGATCTTTTCCTAACATATTCTGAAAATAGACTGTGAAAAAGAAAATATATTTATGAGAGAAAAGAACTACAATTAATACTTACTACTTGTGAGCCAAACTTTGGTCTAACCAGGATTTTTGTTTAAAATGAGAAATTTTCAGTAACATTTCAACTTTTTTAAAAATGGGCAAAAATAAGGCCTTATCTACACCTTTCCTTTGAAATCTGGGATCAAGAAACACTTTATCAATGTACAGTAGGATTAAAGTATTATTTAATGTAGTACAACTCTATTCTTTATTTTATTACACTAAATGAAAACAAATTTAAATAGCAATAAAATAATGTTATATTACCTTTGTGACAATAAAATCATAGAATGTATAATGGTGTGGCAATATTAAGTCCTCCTTAACATACATAAGTTGGTCGGCTGATACTGTTTTCAATTCACTGAACTCTGGTCTTAGTGTGTCTAAGCATCTTTGAAGGAATTGATATATAGAGTTACCTGAAATTTATGAAAAGTGATATTATATTCCAATGGAACTAATTGTTTATTAAATAAAATTTTAGTTTCAACATTAAATTACTAATAAAATGCAATGGAATTGTTTTTGTTAATAAGTTATTTATCTTTATCTAAATCATTACTTACCGTTGCTTCACATGATGCAGCCCTAGGTGCTTAAGAGTATCCTATTTGTGACTTGTCTCTTATCCAAGGTCTTAAACTATCAGTGTACTAAAATTCAATTGAATCCAAATGAAAACAAAAAAAATACCTTTTTTTAAAGTGACGTTTCGTCTATGGCCAGAACCATCCCAGTAACTGAATGTAACAGTAATTGGTTCGTCTTTTAAACTAGCTTGTGTCATCACCCATTCGAGTCTTAGTTCTTCTCTAAGTTTTAAGTCTGCTTCCTCTCTCTCTCTGTCTGGAAGAAATGATGTGTCTACATCTGGATTCTTTTTAATTTTTTTACATACCTGCAAATATTTTTACAGATACAAAAAGAATATTAAGAACATTATATGAGTTTTTAAATTAAAAAAAGATTTCTTGTAGTTATATAAAATGTCATACTGTCTCATTTTTGTCTCGCCAAGAAGTTTCCGACTTTTCTTCAGCATCATCTTCTTCCTCATCTTCATTTAAATCAAAGGAAAGAGCCTGAATCTGCAAGACAAAGATAAGATAAGGTTGATAATTTTAGGTGTGTTAGACTTTTTATTATTATTTAGATTACCTACCTGTCTTTTTTGTTTGTTCTTTTGAGCCTGTTTTGCCTCAATCTCTTTTTGTCGTTCTTTTTCTTTCTCTGCTTTTTTCTGTGCGAGTTTTTTTTCTCTTTCGCGAAGAATATGTTCCTGTTTTGCTTTCATTTCATCAAGGGTTACTAAACCTATAGTGGAGCTTTTTAGTTGTTGTTCCACAGCGTCATAATGAGTGGCAAATTTATTTTCAATATTTTCTATTTTAAGATCTCCTTCTATTTTCTTCTTTTGAAGTTCCATCTCTTGCTGAGCTTTCTCACGTTTTTTCATTAGATGCATGGCTCTGCCAGCTTCTGAAGCTGCACCCTTGTAATGAGCCATGTTTTGATTTTTTTATTCTCGTATTCTTACGATATAGGTAGCTATAATTTATATGGACAAAGATGTATATCTACAGTGATCTTAACAGAAAAATATTTACTATTAAAACAATATTTAATAAACACAAGTCGCAGATGATCACGGTACAATCATTATTTGTCATCCATGGGTACAATATTGACATTTGACGTTTGGATTTTGACAACTAACATGTTACATAGACTATCTAGAAGGATCTAGAGAGATAGTCAAAACCATGGATGACAGATAAAGTTAAAATCCCCTGTTTTCCAATTAGAGCACTAAAGCGCATACATTATACGGCATAATGCTAACTTCGGATGTTCCAACTACAGCAGCGTTCCGCTTAATCGAGCGTTTGAAAAGTACTGCTTTGGCAATGTTGTAAAAGTGAAAAATAAAAAATCGGTAGATCGACCAGCTAAAAAACGGGAGAAATCGGGAGATTTTTATTTGTGAAGTACATATCGGTATCGGTTTAGGTAGTTTTAAGACTAAAGGTATTCAAATAAAAAAATCTTAAATCGGTGGAGCTGATTTGGAGGAGTGCGATCACAAATACCGTGACACGAGATATCTATTGTATAATATTATAAAGAGGTAAAGTTTGTGAGTTTGTGAGCTTGTGAGCTTGTGACGTTGTAGCGGGTAATTTCCGGATGTACTGAAGTGATTTAGATGAAATTTGGTAAGAAGATAGTTTCAGACCTTAGGGACGACATAGGATAGTTTGTATCCCGGAAATTTAAGGAGGTGAAAATGGGGATGAAAATTTGTATTGGGAAGCAAGCTATTGACGAACCCGAGAGAACCGAGAGTAAGTCGCTAGTTTATTAAATAATTTATAATATCGACGATTTTTTTTCTTTCAGCACTGAACTTAGTGCCCTCTGCTGGTGCACGTGAAATCTAATTCATGTTCCAATTAAGCATTAGCATACTTCGCCATTGTGCGCCAAAGTACGGCATTATGCTCTGTAATTGGAAAACAGGGACCAATTATGGTAATAAAATAATATATGTATTTGTATAATGTCTTCCAATAACAGAGCATGATGCCGCACTTTGGCGCACAATCACGACCAACGCGAAAAAAGACTTCTTATAATTTCTTCTAAGAAGTCTCAACTCAGTAGATTGACCCAGTTTTCCAATTAGAGCACTAAAGCGCATTTACGGCATAATGCTAACTTCGAATGTTTCAACTACAGGCTCAACGCTCCGCTTAATCGAGCATTTTGAAAAGTACTGCTTATGCGTGATGCGCGCAAGGATACCAACTCAGTAGCAGAAAATATGAGAAGTGTTTTTTCTTTCAAGGCATTGATCAAAATTTTATTTACAATTTAAATTATTATCGTTAGTAATATTGATTATTGGTGAACTAATTCGTAAAGCTATCGACGCAGTTTGATAAAATATAAAAAAGTTAATTTATACTGTGTTCAAAAAAAATATAACTATGATTAAAGCTTCGAGGAGGCATTGATCAAATTTTATTTACATTAATATTAGTAATATTTGTTTATATTTTATTTATATAATTATGTATTAATTAGTTATATATTATTATACAATTTGTAACATCGACGACATGAATTATGATTTATTTTATATTATACTAGCGGACCCGACAGACGTTGTCCTGCCTACACGTCTTTAATTTGAAAATTTCAAACTTTTTTTAATAATTTTTTTGATGAAAATTATTATTCAAATTGTGAATCTAAACCATTCCCAGATCCCCTTGAACACACACAAAAAATTTCATCAAAATCGGTCCAGTCGTTTGAGAGAAGTTTAGTGACATACACACTCACAGAAGAATTATATATATAAAGATTACTAGTGCCCTCTGCTGGTGTACTTGAAAACTAATCACGCCAAAGTATTTGATTGTGTGAAGCGTTGCTTTAATTGAAAGATTTGAAGTTAAGTATTATATCGCATCGCATATATCATTTCCAACATGATTACCACTTGTCTTAACGGTGAAGCAAAACATCGTGAGGAAACCTGCATGTCTGAGATAACCTAGTAAGTTTTGTGAAGTCCGCCAACCCACACTTGGCCAGCGTGGTGGACTATGGCCCTGATCCCCGTCGTATTGCCCTATAAGGAAGGCCCGTGCCCTGCAATGGGACGTTAAAAAGGACTAAATACACCCAATTATGTCGCTTAATGCGCTTTAGGGGGAAGATTTCTCGAAAGAAGGTTGGTTTTTGGTCGTCATCTTATTGCTTTAGCCCGAAATTTCCTCAGAGTTTGTTTTTTGTGAACAAATGATATTTATTTTCTGTGCATCCTGGCACTGCACAATTTGTCATTTTAGCCCGAAATTTCCTCAGAGTTTGTTTTTTGTGAACAAATGATATTTATTTTCTGTGCATCCTGGCACTGCACAATTTGTCATTTTAATTATTTTAAATAAAGTAAAAAAAAAAACCATCCACGCTATAGAGCTTTACAATTTACTGAGGGTCATAGTGATCGTGATATCTGGCGGGAGAAAATGACAAAATTCATCCCCAATGGAAAACAGGGATCATTGACACTTTGAACAGCAGTTTCAACTTGTCACTTCGGATAATTGACAGTTGATAATTGACGTAAAATTTTTTAATAAACCTACTCACTTTATTTATGTAGCAATATACTCTATGCTACTCACGTCAAACGTGCCGGTGCGGTTTTTTAACGTTTATTCCATCGAAGTGCATGCTGACTTTGGAATAGAATAAATTTTACATAAACATGGATGAAACAGTAATATTTCCATCGCCTAATTGGTTTCAAGTATCTGGATTAGCAGTTTCTACAGACCATTGGTTGATATACGGTGGTCCTAGTAAGTCTCTTTGCATTTTGGAGCCGCTTAATTCACAATACGGAGGAGTCATCGAGGATAGTAAACGTTATAAAGCTCATGTTGTTAATAGAGCACATAGTGAGAAGTAAGTATATGTCTATAAGTGTATTTTTCTATAATGGCTTATAGTTGCGTTAACAGACGCAATCGTATTTTGTATTGTAAATTTACTTCATAATTTATTTCATTTGCCGTTCTCTAGGATTGTAAGTGTAGACATATCGAAAGAATGGCCAGAAAAAAGGTTTATATTAACGGGAAGTATTGATGGTACAGTAAAACAATGGAGTATTGAGAAATTGAACAACAACGTAAAAATAAAATCAACACAAAGCCATGATATTCATCAAACTGAAAAAGAGGTATTATTTTAAGAGTACTTTTCTATTAAAAATTATTCTTGATTCTATTTTCAAATATTAAATTTTAGAAATTATGTATTAGTATAAGTTGAATTTATAAAAGTTATATTGTGTATATCTTACTTGTATCTATAATAACTACCTCAAATATTTTTAATTTAAGTTTTATTACATACACTCAATTATCATCTCACCTTTTTTAAGTCAATAAAAAATGTGAATAATTTCTTTATTTCTTAGGAAGTGTCTGGTCTTGGGTACAGTAGTGATTCTTTTGCTATAACAGTTGGATGCTTTGGCAATGTTGTTAAATGGGATCTCAATTCAAATGTGGTTAATACTTATAAACAGTTCCTTAAAAGTTTCAAGCCCAATTGTGTAGCTTGTTCACACCATATTCCTCTCAATGTGGCTGTTGGTACTAGACAAGGCGTTGTTTTTGTATTGGACTTAAATGGTATGTATTATATATTTTTCTTTCTTGTAATGTTAATATTTTTTATAGTCAAAAATGTTTTCCTTTTAGTTGATTATTAACTTTAATTTTTAATTTGATATTTATAGGCAAGGGAAAAGTCATATATAAAGTAAGAGCTCAAGATGATGAAATTATTAATTTATCATGGTGTCCACAATATGATGTGCTTCTTAGGAAATCTCTCACAGAAATGGGGAAAAAGTCCCTTGCAACTGAAAGATTAGAAAAGATAAGATCAGAACCTGACGAAAGTGAAGAGACCTTAAATAAGTCAGCTGTAGCAAAAAGTCTACCAGATGACAGTTTTGAGGAATCAGTAGTTGAAGAAGATGACATGTTTGATATTTATAAGGACCATGAAGCAGATGAATTTGGTCATAAAAAATATGTACCCGAGGATATATTAATCAAAGTGAAAGAGCAGAAAGAGACAAATGACTTTTTAGCTGAATGTTTAAAATTGAAAGAGTTTATATTGAAGAAAAAAGATGAGGAATCTTCTATAGCTAATCTTGTGGATGCATTAAATAAAACTCATGTAGATAGTGACAATGGTGACTCAGAATCCAACAATAGTCCAGATAGTGACGAGACAAAGAGTATAATAAAAGACGATGGTATAACTAGTGCTCATATACATAAGCATCTACTTGCAACCATTGGTAAATTTGGGTAAGTTATTAAAATAGAAATAAATATGTTGATCAAAATAAATGTTTCATATTTTATTTTTTATAAATTTATGTTTATTTATGTTATATCAACAGTTAATTATGTAAAATAATCATTATTAAATATATAAGTGTATAATTTATGTGCATTATGGTATTAATAAAGCCCACTAGGGAACTTTAATACATATTAGTGACTCACCCTTGCTTTGCTTGGGTTCGTCCCAAGATATGTTTTAACTGCTATATATAGAATAGACTATTTTATATGTCCATGTATGGAAAAGTAGGTAAGTATTTTAAAAAATAAAAAAAATAAATCCCTTATTTAAGAAAATATTGATTCCCCATACAAACTTTCATCTCCCTTCTCACCCTCTTAAGGGATGGTTCCAGGGATAAAAACTATCCTATATCCTTCCAGGGTCTCTATCTCTATACCAAAATTTCATCTAAAGCGGTTTAGCAGATTAAATGTAAAACGGTAACAGACAGACAGGCAGAGTTACTTCTGCATTTATAATATTAGTATGGATATTAACTGAGTTAAAAAATACTATTATTCTTTGATTTTTACTGTGCTTTCTTGTAAATTTAAAAAATCTATGTAACTTAAGTAAAATTGCTTTTAACAGTATAATTCTTTTTCCAGTGCAGTGAAACTGTGGTCGAAGTCGGGAAAACTTGTGGCTAGTTGTAATGTGCCATATCTAATGAATAATAAAGGTCAAAGGAATAAAGGACCTAATTCGAATACACTTTTGTGGTACAAACCCAATGTTTTGCTGATTGCTGATGGAAGGGGTCAATTACTTGAGTGCAATCCTTTGAAAGTTGATTGGTAATTAAACCTATATGTATTTATTGTAAGGAATCTTTCATCTATTAATTAGAAAATAGTTCTACATATTATGCTATAATTTACATTTACGTATATGATGACCTCCTGCATGATTTCGGCCATGGTGGCCAATCTTACTGAGACTAGCCAACTAGTCTGCAGACACCAGTGCCTTTTCTACAACTTTTCAAAATTCGATGGTACGATACTGCGACACCACCGATAAGAGCTAAGTTGCAGGACCAATGGGTTTATATGTTCGAGACAGGGATGTGTAATACCACTAATTTCCCAATTCTGGACTGCTACTGCGAATTTTTTTATGGAAAAACTCAACTAAACTTGGCCTAACCCGGGATTTAAACCCAGCACCTCCAGATCTGCGGCCGTACACTCTAGTCATTAGACACCAAGGCATTTATATGTATTATTATAGATCATAGATTATCTAAATTTAATACGAAAAAATTAACATGCCTCACACATTCATTAAAAGGATTTTCTGTTTCACTCGCACACAAGTCAAGTCATGACTACATAACAGAGAGTGCTATTGTTTTGATTTTACTAAATTGTCTTTGTATGAGTACTGTGAATATGCCAGCTCTAGGTACCCGACCTGTACACTTTGTACATATGTATTTCAAAAATAAACGAGTCCTTTCAGTGAGAGTGTAGGATGCAGCATAGTCCTTCTCTTCTTTGTGACCAAGTACTATTAAGATACATATGTATATGATTAGTGGATTTGTTGTATATTTGTTTGCTCTTTACACACATTTGGACCTGTGACTTATGGCACAGTGGCAGTGCTAGTATGAAATTATAATTTTACATTATTAACTTATTTTTCCAGTAAAAACAAAATAGAATGGCGCATAGTGCATACACTTCATAAACGTGGTTTATACTGTATTGCATCAAATGCACCTCGAGTGCAGATCTCAGATCAATCTGAAGATATTTCTCCAGATGATTGGAAAATATATACAACTGCACAGGATCGCAATATTATATGTTATTCTTATGAAAAAAGGCAGAAAGAGGCTATTTTTAACACGTGTGGAGGATTTTTATACAACATACAATCTTGTCCATATGATGCTAAAAGGTATGTGTAATATATAATTTAAACACTACTATATATAATATTATAAAGAGGAAAAATTTGTATGTTTGTAACGAATAAACTCAAAAAGTACTGGACTGATTTAGATAAATAAGAATATAGTTTGAAACCCTGAGAAGAGCATAGGATATTTTTTATTTCGGAAATCATCCCTTAAGGGGGTGAAAATGGGGATGAAAATTTGTATGGGGAATCAACTAGGGACAAACCCGAGCTAAGCGAGGTTGCCTTGCTAGTTTATAATAGCTGGCTAAATTATTGGTAGATACGTCCTCTCGGTGGTTATTTATATAAACGACCATTTCACGGAAAGAGATTTCAATACAGAATTATTGACTTTTAAATGTAAATTCTAACGGTATTAAATACACATTTTACTTTAAAGAAGTCAAAATATGTATTTTAAAAGAAAACTTCTTTAGGCGCGTCATGAGACGGAAAAAGAATTGGCGTTACGATTTTGGTGACGGAAAACGTTACGCTTGGTTACGAAAGTGGATAATTAGTCAATTAAAAATAATTTAGGGTATTCTATTAATATTTCAAAGAATAAATCAGATAAAAATAGGTATTTATAAAAATCCTTCTTTCATTTATTTTTAAATGGGCGATGGACTCATATCAAATGGATATTGTTAAAAAATTATTTGCTTGAAATATTTTTTTATACATTATATAAATATATATTTTATTTACTACAAAATTTACATCCCTGTATTATTATTTAATTTATTAGAGTATATATAATTTATTGATTCGTTACAACATTTGATTGAAAATTAAATTTTATCTGAACACCATCTGTACTATGTGAATAATAAAATACTGTTTTCCCTTTTTAATTCGATAAATAAAAAAAAATTGTATCTCTCCTATATATCCTAATTGTATGTATGTATGTATTCAGCCCTTCTTAACGTCCTACTGCTGAGCACGGGCCTCCCTTCAATAGGAGGGGGGATCAGGCCATAGTCCACCACGCTGGCCAAGTGCGGGTTGGCAGACTTCACATGTCTTTCGAAAACTTGCTAGGTTCTCTCAGACATGCAGGTTTCCTCACGACGTTTTCCTTCACCGTAAGGCAAGTGGTAATCATGTTGAAAATGATTCGCCCATGAAAATATCAGAGGTGCGAGACCCGGGATTTGAACCCGCTTCACTCGGTTACCCAAGCAAGCGCGTCACCACTGGGCTACCACTGCCTTATTTAAAACATAAATTGAATTTCATAAAAAGTACTGATAACTTACTGAAGTCTCACTTCTTGTGCTTGTATACATTGATACACGAAGTCTATAATTTTTTGTTTGTCGATGTTTTTTTACTATTTTTTTTGTTTTTATTTTAATCGTATTCTTCTCAGCAAACCCGTTTATTTCATATTTATATCATGGGGGTGCATTAAAAAACAGTCTGCCATCTTTGAAAATCACAAATCATTTGTATTTTAAATAAAACTATCTTTCCAAATTTTATCGCAGTTTTATTTTGAGTTTTTGTTCCTGACGTTTCACTGGGAAGACTTTACACATGGAGAGTCTCCATTACCATATTTGATAAGATGGTTTCAGTTAAAGTATCATAATATAGTATGATTAGTATTTTAGTACTCTCAATATGCACTATCAATCCACAGGATAGCAATAAGCGTAGGAGACGGGGCGGTGCGTGTCTGGGAGGCAGATACGTTAGTGGATAATGAACAGAAGTTGTCTTTGGGTAATGTAACAACATTCTGGCAGAATGTACAAGGGAAAGTGTTGACTATTGCCTGGCATCCGACGAAGGAAAATCTCCTTGCATTTGGAACCGGTGAATCAAGGGTAATATTGTTATTTCTATATAGGTATTGATTTATAGAAATTATTTGTTAGATAATTCACCAATAAGACTAAATTTTAACACTGCTTTTTACATTTTATGTGCTTAGTTAAAAAGATAAATATAGAAAGAGAATAAACATCTCATTAAAGACTCGTACTTATATTATAAATGCGAAAGTTTCTGAGGATGCATGAAAGTCTGGATGTATAGATGTTTCTTACTCTTTCACGCAAAAACTATTGAATCGATTTTGATGACAATTTACAATAATATAGCTCATACATCAGAACAACATAGGCTACTATTATCCCGGATAAATGTAAGGTTTCCGTGTGATAGATATGTTTTTGTTTATATTTAAAATATATTTTACACAATTATATTAAGTTTATATCTCCCTTATTAAATGAAAAAAAAACAACTATTCTTTTTGACTAATTAAAAATATGGAGGAGGTACTTTCGGTCAATATATTATTTTTCATGTGTATGTTGCGACAACGTTTTAGCAAATTGGCAAACGATATTTAGGTTTTTTTATTGAATAGATTATTTTAAAACAAAAAATAGATTTTTATTACTAAATAATCTATTATATTACTATTACCTAAAATAATAATACAATTAATTAATTAATTTTTTAGATCGGTTTATTAGACACGAGTGGTAAATCCGAACGTCCAGCGAAGACCTTGCCGCCGGTGCTTCGTGGTGGAATATATTCCCTTTGTTGGGGGGAAAACTACGACCTGTACGCGTGTGCGGGCGGAGAGGTGGTGGTGTACCGCGCGGATAAACCCGAACAAGGTTTTTAGATACAAATAAATAATATATGTATGTATGTACTTCTGTGTGTAGGAATAAGTAGTTATAATGTCCTGTCTCTTGATCGTATTTGGCTACGGGAATTCTCACTGGAAAAGGTCTCTGGAGATATTATATAGAAACAGAAAATATTTCCTATTGTGATAAGCTTAGCGCCTCACAGATATGAGCAGCACTCATTGAGCACTAAATTAATGCTAAATTGATTTGACGCTGTGTTATGCGGTTAGCGTATTAAGCGGTAACACTGGTAGCTTACTTTTTAGCTAACAGTTTTCTAATTTTCTGCCAAAATATAAGAGCATCAAATTTTAGCTTTTGGCACTAAATTAGCACTAAATGAGCATTAATTTATGCAAATAATTTTAAGCGATTCTGCTCACTTTGCCTTTCTAGCTTTACATACGTATTTTATTATATGTATAAATAAAAGTGCTATAATTTTAGTAGGCCTTAAATACTGTAGTAGTCACAAGTTAGGATATATAATAAAGATTTTATTTTTCTGTAGTCTAGGTAAATATGTGTCATAGAAGTGTATGAAATAAATCTCACGACTGAGGTAATACAGTTAGTTTATGATATTGTAGCGATCGAGTATTGAACGATTTGTTGTATATAACAGTTTTTACTTTCTTATTTCTTCTACAGTATTTAACGTTTTACTAAGCCGGTTTTACTAATATACAGAGTTCGAAAAGATAAGAATTTTCATTTTTTCGCCGTAAACCCTCGTAATATTGTATTAGTTAACAAGAACCGATACAGTATAAAACAGCTCAGAAGGGTTTTCCAGGAAGACAAATATTTGGCAATTAACAATTATATTTCTCGCTTTTTCTGTATTCTCATTTTACATTTATTTTTTATATTCCTAACTCATATAATCCGAATCACCGACTGTCCACTTGACATATCAAAAAAAATCTATTGTCAAAATCTACAAACTGGCACATAAAATAATGAATGTTACAAGTATAAGTTCAAAAACATAAACACGTATATTTCCTATTGGTAGACCCGTGGCCGGTGCCGGTGTGCGTGGAGGGCGCGCCGTGGCTGGTGAGCGCGCTGTGCTGCGGCGCGCGCGCGCTGCTGTGCGGCGGCGACGCCGGCGCGCTGGCCGCGCTCGCGCACACCACCGGGAAAGTGCTCGCCGCCACCTTTGTCTTCAAGTTGGTATTTAAATACTATAAATTAAATTAAAACTATAAATATTAATCAATTTGACGTTATTTACTGTATAACATCTAACATAAGATGGTGTGAAAAATCGAATATATATATATATTAGTGTTAATTTTTAATATATATATATATTAGTGTTAATTTTAAAATTTGTTTAAAATACAATACCATATAATAATATAACTTATTATTACTTTTGCAGTAAAATGATACACAGTATAGAATGGCATCCACAACAAACGTCCAGCAGTAGCGAAGAGTCTCCATACAAAAACCTCATCGCAGTCTCATCTTTAGACAAATCATGCAATATTGCCATAGTGGAATTTGCTGAAAGAGAGGGTGAGTATTACATTAACATTACTAAGTAATATCATGGGTTCTTATCACGTACAAAGAAAAATTAGTTCAAATAAATGTCAACAGATGGCATTTTATTGTATCGATTTGATATCGATGTTGTATAAAATAAGCAAAAGATAAAAGATAGACCCCAATATATACTAATATTATAAAGAGAGTTTGTTTGAACGCGCTAACCTCATGAACTACTTATACGATTTGAAAAATTATTTTTACATTAGATAGCCCATTTATTGAGGAAGATTATAGGCTATACTATATCATATAACATTTAGTATATCTATTTAATAGCAACTGTTAAAACGTACCTAAGGACGAACCCTTTTTTTTTTAACGTTGGGAAATGCATTTACGCACGAGGTGTGGGATTCACCGGTAAAGCCAGTACTACCCACTAAAACCCAACAAAACCTTCCCCCGTCTTAATGGGGCGTCGCAGGATCGCTTACGCATTCAACTACGACGCCCCGACGGCAGGTCTGCCAAAGCAGACCACAACAACCATGGGGTTGCTCTAAGGTCCACTCTGTTATCAGAGAAGTACCAGGAGCAACCCGCATGGTACACCGCCCTCTGAAGAGGGCCGCCTCCCACCGCCCACCGAAGTGGGCCACCTCCCTGTGCGTTTCTTGGCTTCGCGCCCGGTTGGGTTGCCGGGCACTACTGAGCCCCCCCCACCACGACAAGGTGAACGCACGTTGGGGGGGACCTAAGGACGAACCCGAGCTAAGCGAAGGTGAGTCACTAGTGAGGTATATTTTGGTTTAAAATTTTTTTCTAAATGGACGAAAGCAAAAATATGCGTTTGTAAATAAAATTTTCCTAGTTTTACTGATTATTATTATTGAAAAATCTGCAATCAGATAAAGTCACTGTTTGCTTAATTAAATTCAGAATGAATTTTGCAATAGTTAACCTATTTTAGTTTTCATATATTATCTATACTAATATTATAAATAGGTAAAGTTTGTGAGATTGTGAGTTTGCGACGTTTTAGGGGGTAATCTATGGAACTACTTAACCGATTTAGACGAAATTTGGTAAGAAGATAGTTTGAGACCCTGGGAAGGACATAGAGTACTTTTTATTCCGGAAATCATCCCTTAAGGGGGTGAAAATGGAGATGAAATTTTGTATGGGGAATCATGCTAGGGAACCCGAGCGAAGCGAGTGTGAGTCGCTAGTGTAAAATAAACCAGTTCGCAAAATTGCGGATTAATGACGGATATTATCCATTCAAGTAAACAAAAATAGCCAAAATGAGCACTTTCCAATTTCTTTATCCGGGACTAGCGGACCCGACAGACGTTGTCCTGTCTACACGTCTTTAATTTGAAAATTTCAAACTTTTTTTAATAACCTAAAACATTCTGGACCATTTTGATGAAAATTATTATTCAAATTGTGAATCTAAACCATTCCCAGATCCCCTTGAACACACACAAAAAATTTCATCAAAATCGGTCCATTCGTTTGAGAGAAGTTCAGTGACATACACACTCACAGAAGAATTATATATATAAAGATGAGGCCTCTGTACCATGTAGTATTATGTGATCTGTGGTTATATCTTGTTTACGCTCTTCATCTGTATATAAATTGTGCGCTAAAATTTCGTTATTGTTTCCTAGAATGTGAATAATTCATGACGATTGATTGGTATTTTAATTGGAACTCTTTTCGGATTTTGTCGTGGTTTTTTAAATGTCTTAAAAGTTAAAAAGAAACTTATGTTAATTAATTTTATTTAGTATTGCTTTATTAATATATTCTCAGAAAAAACAGACAGATCAAAACAATGACTTTGCTTAATACTATGTATAGATGTAGTTATAGAAATTAAATTTAAAATATTGCCATACTTTTGTAAATTAAAAAAAATAACATTTGTATAGCTGTTCATTGAAATTTAAAATATTAAGCCTATTGATAAATTTAAACTTGAATTAGGTGGTACATATTATACACGCGATACCTTCGTCGATTGTGAATCGATTTTCATAATCTTTAAATTGACATTAAAAATGAATAATTAGTTACAATACAACTTCAAGGGGACCTAAATGCGTATGGGAGTTTTAATGGGACTAAAATTATTGTAAAATAAATATCACTTCTAAGAGTAGAAAAATGCTAAATAAGTAATATTGACGTTAACTAGCGGCTCACCGTTGCTTACAAACTCGGGTTCACCTCTAGAAAAACAAACAAAAACAAACCTATCCCACGGGAACCGTACATTTTTCCGGGATAAAAAGGTAGCCTATGTGTTATTCCAGACTATAATCTATCTCTGTGCCAAATTTCATCCAGATCCGTTCAGCTGTTCTGGCGTGAAAGAGTAACAAACATCCATACATACCACAAATGTTCACATTTATAAAATTAGTATGGATATAACTTTTATAGTTAATAAATAACTATTGTTTTAATCATAGAAGGAGTGAGGTTGAAGACATTGAAAGAACTTACGGGACACAAGGGGATAGTGTTGAATGTAGCGTGGAACCCACATAAGGATGGGATACTTTTGTCCACTTCCCAAGATGCCACTGTCAGGGTAAGTATGCGAACAATAATAGACCACAGTACTTTGTTCTAATATTTTTAGGGTTCTGTACCCCAAAAGGAAAAAAGAAACACTTTCACTTCACTTTGTTGTCTCTGTAAATGTTTGTTTATCCGTCTGTTTGCTTGTCTCTCCGTCAGTCTGTCTGTCCGTCTGTATGTCAAGACTGTTTTGCTCAGCAACGCGTGGAGGTATCAAGTTGAAAATAATGTTATTACTTAAATGACTTCTTTATGTATTAACAGATGCTTATGGCGTTTTATATGAAAGTTATATCTTGAATATAATTAAAAATTATTTATACTCAAAAAATAATTCAAAATCAGTTTTTCTCTTTGCAGGTTTTATTTATAGTTTTTATTTTGTCTTACAATTTATTAAATAAAACTATCTTTTCGGATTATTTCGCGGATTTATTTTGATTTTTGGTTCCCGACGTTTCGAATGCTTTACAGCATCCATGGTCACGGGAGAGACTGAGGTGTTACATGTCTTAAAGATATAGTTGTTACAGACAGCCTACCCACAATTAACAAAATGAAAATTGCACCAATTACATTACAATATTTTAACCTTAAACATTTTTATAATTTTAATTATAATTGAATAAGGAAAATTATTTATTTAATTTTTGCTATTATTTTTATAATTATTACAATTTTAAAAATATTAATTAGTAATCTATATTTAGTGTTGCCATTATTATATTTATAACCATAAAGAAAAATATAAAATATAGTATTAATTATTTAAGCCATATAATTGTTCAATGTGTAATTTAAAAAGTTAAAATTAATTAAGGATTATAATTTTAATTTAGTTTGCTATTATTTAAAAAACAACTTACTAAGCAACACTATTAATATATACTTTTACAAATGAAAAATGAAAAATATTAATCTGATAAGCTGTCATTTTGATCTACACAGTATGAACTTACTACATCTGCCTGTCTGTTATGTTTATATTTATTATTTGATTTTATTATATTAATAACAGGATCCCATGACGATGGTAGTATCCAGCCATCTTCCCTATTGAAATTTGGATGTTTTTTAATTTCTATGGCTTCTCGAATCATTCTAGGGCAATATCGGTTATTCGAAACGTCGGGAACCAAAAATCAAAATAAATCCGCGAAATAATCCGAAAAGATAGTTTTATTTAATAATGTCAAACATTCGCGTGAATCTAAGAAAGCCTTACAATTTAATTAATTTTACAGGTATGGGACATATCGCAAAGCACATGTATATCGATATTCGGTAACCATTCGCAGACGTCGATGGGTTGCACTTGGAGTGCGTTTCCACAACTTCATTCAGCCATTTTCTCTGGCGGAGCGGACTGCTGTTTGAGAGTTTGGAAATATGAAGATCATCCCCCTGAGAATTATATTGGTAATTGATTCCAATCTTTTTGAGACTTAAAAGTAATAAATTTAATTTTCAAATAACTTTTCCAAAGACATGTGAAGTCTGCCAACCGGCAATTGGCCAGCGTGGTGGACTATGGCCTGATCCCCCTCATATTGAAGGCCCATGCCCAGCAATGGGATGTTAAAAAGGGCAAAATACAATGTGCTAATTACATAGTAATTTTATTTTCTCTTTCGCGTAGTGGGTTCATCACCTCAAAGTTGAATATACTAGAAGATGAACTATCTTACTCTTATCCAATTCTGTTGAGCAGATATAATATAAAGAAGTAACAAACACACGCACTGTCAAACTTTTACATTTTTTTAGTATTACTTGGTCAATCATCAATCAACCAGAATAAAAATTATATTTTAAGTGTACTATTATAATTAATATAAACTTTCAATATTACTTTTATGAAATTAGTATACGTTTCCGTGGATACAATATATATAATTTTTTTGTTTTATATAGTGTTTTTATACACTATTCTCTAAATAAGCTAACATAATTGCTTTTTTTTAATTATTAAGATTATATTTTTTTTTATTATAATTATAATATAAACTTTATTATAATAATTGTTAAGATACCTTTACTTTATTGAAAAAAAAATATTGAATTAATGCTTTTTACAGAAATTAAACATGAAGTGGTACCACGGAGAGACAGAAAGAAGAATAGAGATAAAAAAGAAGAAAACAAAGCTGAAGAAGAGAATAGTGAAGTTGCAGCCATTAAAGATACAAACCTTGCTACAACTTTTGATACAAACGCTAAAAAGAAGTGTTACAAAAAATTCCTTTTACCTACTCTTTTGAAGAACATGATATGTTCCATACAAAAAGTTAGAAAAATGGCGCAAAAATATTTAGAAGAAAAAAGTGATGGTGATATAAAACAAGAAATAGTTAGTGATGTGAAAAAGGAAGAATTAGATAGTGTTGTCAAAGAAGAAGTAGTTAGTGAAGTGAAAGATGATTTAAGTAGTGATGTGAAAGGAGAAGAGAGTAACGATGTGAATAACAAAAATAGTGGTGAAGTAAAAGAAAGGGATATTAACGTAGTGGAAGAGGAAGAATGTTTCGAAATGGATTTTACAAAGATTTTTGGCACTACCAATGAATTTAATGAGATCTTAGATTTGGAGAGTAAGTATGCCTTATATATATATTTTTGTAAATTAGTTTTTGAAATGTAAGTGAGAAATTAATGAAGATGAAAACGGACTGAATAATTATTATTTTAATAATAGGTATATCAGGCCTAATAGCATTGAATTGTATCTATTTTCAATTGTTACTTATCGAAATTTAAAGTTTTGGGTTTTCGAGAAAAAAATCGAGATAGTTCGACAGTTTCTAAAGTTAAATATCGTATCAACTGTCGAAATTAGCATTAGAATTGTACCCAGTGATGTCATACGTGATACGGTTTGCTCGGGAACTGTTTTTCAGTATTACAATATTTTATAACTGTAAACATTTTTATAATTTTAATTAGTTTTATAATTGAATATGGAATATTATTTATTTAATTTTTGCTGTTATCATTATAATTATTACAATAAAATGTCAAATATTCGCGTAAATCTAAGAAAGAATTATCTAATTGGTTTTTTTATCTACACATATGAATATAATAAAATTCTAAGTCGAATTTGTACATAATATTTTATAATTTAAATAATGTTTTTTGGCAATTCTTATTGAAATAGTCATTATTATATATACAGAGGCAGAATTCATGGTTTTTAGAATTTTTGTCATTCTGTCTGTCTGAGATCGCATCACGGAAAACCACTGGAGGGATTTTGAATTTTGGTATGATGACAGGTATTTATCCGGGTCAACATATAGGATACTTTTTACTATGGGGAAATATCCCATGTCTGAGAATAAATGTATACTTAAAACGTATTCAATGTAACAGTGCACAAGCACCTGGAGTACAACCGGCTGGAGCCGTGGGTTATGCTGAGCGTGTTCCGCGGACACGTGGCCGCGCTCGTGCAGGAGGCGGCGCGCCGCGACGAGCTCTGCCCCTTCGTGCTCAGCCTCACGCCCTCTGTGTCCTTCAAGTAGGTTGTTTAAATAATTAAATATGTTGGGACATTACCACACAGCGCCATCTAGTTCCAACTTCCATGGTAAGCTACGAGGCTTATGTTATAGATCTATCTAGTACTATAACACAGGCCTCGTAGCTTACCATGGAACTAGATGGTGCTGTGTGTTTATGTCCCATACATATTTATTTATATAATTAATAAATACACATAATTATATATCTATGTATATTTTTAGGTACTGGAAAGACGTCACGCAAATGTACTTGGCGCAAATAGAGAGGTTAGATGCCAAGAATGAAACTGAAAAAATTTATGGTAAGTTCTTATTAATAATTAAAATATACCTATATGAAAAGTATAAACACCACTTCTAACCACATTCATAAAATGACGTTATCGATTCGGTTTCGATTGAAGAAATTAATTACTCAATATGTTTATTTTTTTAATATACAAAATTTCAGGGATAATATTCATTTTATTACTAGATAAACGGAAATGTACCTATGTCTATCCATACAGGAAAAAGCAATCGAAATTTTGTTGCGCTTGAATTTTATTATAACATATTTAAGGTAAAAAGAGGTTTTGTCACACCTTCTGCCTTCCAACTATCTCAATAAATACCAATAAACAAAAAATCAAACAAACACATAGTACTAGTGTGGAATCCATATAATAATAATATTTATAATATTTATTGCAAACGTATACACCCAATTTACAATATAATAACATATATAATATAAAATAGTGTAACATAGTGCTGTTATGGAAGAGAATCATAGTATTTCATTGCAAAACAAATGTTTAAATAATTTATTTATTTATTATTATTATTATGGTATTATTTATTCACCAAAAAGTCAAAATACATAGCTGTCACGATTTACTTTGGTATCCGTCACAACTTACCTCGGTATTAGGAGAGTTGTGACACGGAGGGAAAGTTTTTGTTTTTGTAGATTTTCTCAGAATTTATATTACTTATTATTAATTTTGATGATTGTTTCTTAAAGAGTAAATTTAAATGTACGATGGTCTTAAGTTTCCTCACATAAACTCTAAATTGGTCTGCTGTGGTTTTTTGGCAACGTCACAGGCTTCGCGGAGTGACCTCACTCTGAGGATTTCTTTGCGTTGGTGAGCCACTGTCTCGCATTCCAGAATTTATTTATTTATTACAATGATACACCATTGACTTATCATAATGATACTATCTAGTATCTATATATTAATACGTGAAGCAAAAACTTTGTACACCTTTGTACGAAAATTGCCCGGACGGACGAGTATGAAATTTCCCACACGTATATATAGTTTAAGAGAAGGAGTGCAAAATGCTAATAGTTTTTTTTTAAATTACGCAAAAAAAAACATTAAATCATTAAAAAAACATTACACACACAAGTGTGTTTGTCAAATACCATGTATTTGACAAACACTCTAACTCTTTTGTTTATTATTAAAGTGTATGATCAAATTGAGAATTATGTATAGTTTAATAGCTATTGACGCGATACTTTCTTATAATTTTTACTTTGACGAGATTTAGTTTTATAAATTAAAAAATATCAATAATAATTATGGTCGAAGTTCGACCACTCGGCGGACTATAGTAGGTATTATTGTAACGTATACGTGCAATTCGGTATGATTCGCCTTTACAGGCGTATACAGCATTCTACTTACAAATACAGGATTTCGTGGGTGACTGATTTTTCGGCACTGAAACTTCCTCTGCATAGATGATTCTCATTTGTATTCTTAAATTGTATGGCTTGAGCTACATTGACTTATAGAACTATATATGTATGTATGTATTTATGTATATATGCAATTGTGTGTAGTAAGTACACCGCCTACCATTTCATATAATTTCTCCTACGCCCTAAGGTTGCCTGGAAGAGATCGCTTATAGCGATAAGGCCGCCTGCTGTGCATCATCTATTGTTTATATCTTCTTTTTGTATATTTATTTGTGGTGTACAATAAAGCATCTGTCTATCTATCTATCTATCTAACTCTTATACATATATTAAATGTTCGTTTACTTGAGATATGTTAGTTGAAGTTAAAATTGTTACTTGTTTATTGTCTCAAATATATAAATACAGGTTTAATCTGTGGTATTTATTATACGATGTATTTTATTTTTTAAATGCAATGATATGTACAATAACATATCGATAAGCGTAATGTTTACTCTAAAAGACTTGCTACATTGTTTATGTATATATATTATATATACATATATGTTTAGTGTTTACAAACAATTCACGTCTTCATGCGCATTCATCGTCATAATAAATTCTCAGAAAACTTGACATGTTTCTTGGATCTCTTTACTACAAGATAAAAATTAATAACAGATTTGACATTTAACCTTCATTGGGTTTTCCATGTGTAGTAAATTCCAGTGTAAAACCCAGTTAAAGATAACCTTAAAATATCTCTATCGCATATTTTGCGTACGTTTTATCATATATCTAAGCAATTATAAATTTTGATATAATTTTAATAATATGGTTTATTTGATTACATTTGTTTACAATATTAACAAGGCAGTGGTAGCCCAGTGGTAACGCGCTCGCTTGGGAAATCGAATGAAGCGGGGTCAAATCCCGGCTCTCGCACCTCTGATATTTTCATATGCGAATCATTTCTAACATGATTATTACTTGTCTTACGGTAAAGGAAAATCATTGTGAGGAAACTTGCATGTCTGAGAAAATCTAGCAAGTTTACGAAAGACATGTGAAGTCCGCCAACCCGCACTTGGTCAGTGTGGTGGACTGGGCCCTGATCCCCTTCGTATTGAAGGGAGGCGCGTGCCCTGCAGTGGGGCGTTAAAAAAGGGCTGAATACATACAATATTAACAAGTAGAGGAAAGTCGTATAATGAGGCGTTTGGGTTGACGGGTATAAGTCTATCTTGCCACGAGATGGCGCTTTAACTTTCAACCGTTCGCCATGAAAATAGGTATTTTTGACAACCTTTGCATTTGACAATATTTCCGTTAAAATCAATGCCCAAAATGGCAGGCCATATAAGGCACAGAACAAAGAACATTGAACATTGTTAAAATCGATATGCTATCTCCTAGTGTATGGGTTTTTATACATTATGTTTTCAATAAAGAATCTTAGTTTCTGCGCGGAAAATCTCTCCATGTTTTCTTTAAAGCATTCGAAACGTAGTAGACCAAAAATCAAAATAAGTCCGTGAAATAATCCGAAAAGGTAGTAAAATGTCAAATATTCGTGTAAATCTAAGAAAGTATTATGCAATCCACGTGACATAATTCTTTACTAGTACAATAATGTATACGCAATATAATTAGGGCAGTGATAGCCTAGTGGTAACTCGCTTGGGTAACCAAGTGAAGCGGGTTCAAATCCCGGGTCTCGCACAGTTGATATTTTTAAGTGCGAATCATTTCTAATATGATTACCATCTGTCTTACGGTGAAGGAAAACGTCGTAAGGAAACCTGCGCGTCTTATAGAACCCAGCACTTTGAAAGAGATGCTCATTCGCCAACCCGCACTTGGCCACCTTGGTGAACTATAGCCAGACATCCGTATCGAATGGAGGCCCGCGCCCAACAGTGGGATGTTAAAAAAAGGCTTAATACATCTGTACATTATTTACACCACTACAACTGCACGATTTTAGCTCGCTTTACAATACAATTAATTAAAAACTATTTCTCACATAGCTTGACTGGAAGAGAACTCTTCTAGAGTTAGTTGTATAAGTTCACCTTTGGATCCCGCTGGGGGCATTAATTTGTGTGATGAGCACGAATGTTTGTACTCCAGTCATGGGTGTTTAATGTTCATATTTATAATACGTATATATTTAAAGTTATATATGTGTAGTGTACAACTATCTGGTCCATAACACAAGCCTCGTAGCTTACCATGGAAATAGATGGTGCTGTGTGTTAATATCCCGACATATTTATTATTATTTATTATGGTAAATTATCAGAGAACAAGCAGTACGGCGGGCCGGTGTACCGCAGGGTGGCGCTGCTCCTATCTCTGCACGACGTGAAGGGCGCCATCACCGCGCTGCTCGACGCGCGCCTCGTCAAGGAGGCCTACGTGCTCGCCAGAGCCAGGTGATGTCACATGCTTAAAGCAGGTAGTACCGATTAGCAGGGCGTAGAGAGAGTTTATTTTGTACTTAAACTTAAAATTAATATAAATAAAAATCGTTAAAATAATGTATTTTATTATAATACTAGCGTTGGTTGGTACGTTTTAAGGGTCAGTATAGATTTCTCAGAGATGAGATATTTTCCTGCAGTAAAAAGTATCCTAATGTCGATCCGGATGATCAGTTATCATCATGCCAATTTTATCCAAATTTATCCAATGGTTTTCTCGTGAAGCGGTCACAGACAGACAGACAAAAACTCTAAAAACTATAGATTCGGTCTCAATATCGATAATAATGACTATATCAATAAGATTTTTCGAAAAAAATTAATGTACAGATTCGACACATAATTTTATCATAATATTATGTATAGAAAAAAAATACAGGGTACATGAAAATAATTTATATAATCCGAATATCCGGGCTCATTAGAAGAAAGGGTGGGAAATCCTGCTATATAGCAATTTTTACCGAGCAACAATATTTCTTTTGTCAATCGACTTGTGGTAGTCACGATACAGGCTTTGCCTAGTGTGTGTACCATTAATTAGTAAATATATTGGAAGCTGTACTTTTTTTGGTAATGAGGATTATTATTATTATTGGCAAAAATTATATCATGACAGATATAAATGTATCTTTATAAATTTATATAGCACTGCGAGACCTAAACCAGTGTTAAACTTGATTAATATTTTTTTTTAAATGTGGTATTTAATAGTATCGGTTATTATATCACAATTTAAAAAATCTCTAATAATATTTTCAGACACATGGATAGTATAGCTCAAGATATACTGTGGAAGTGGGCCACGGAATGCAATAATTCAGGGTATCCCAAGATGGCCGCTATTTGGTAAGTTTTATATTACGTTAGATGCTCTTTCCAATATATTATATTATGAGTTCATCAACTCTGTATATACAGAATTCGTTTTCAAATCTAAGAATATATATTTTTTATATACGAATAGAATTGAAATTGGAAATTTGGTGTTATGATTTTTCCTAATTTATTGCTTATTTAAATAATACAAAAAAAACGTGTGTGTGTGTAGGTAGTTATGTTCGCACGTAAGAAGTTATACATCTTTGGCGTAACAGAACAAAAATAGCTAAAGATTTCATCCCGTATGTCAAAACTCTCTCTGTAAAAGGAATGCCGCTAACTTTGTCATGTCGCTTTTTGGCTGTCGGTTTGCGCGCGCATCGTAAAAATTTTACTCTCATATTTTTTTCCAAAAGTGCCAAATTCTCACATGCGAAACAAATATAACTAAAAAAATAAAATAAAAAAAAAAGTTTAAAGAATTAATATTTGTAACTGTAACTTATAATTTATATATGAAATTCAACTTTTCTTGCATTCGACTCCTTTACAGAATAAAATCAGCAGTTAATTTAATATTAATGTAATAAAAATTATAACAACATTTTTAATTTCCAGTTATCTTTCACTTGGCGATATCCACAAAGCTGTGGCGGCATTGGCCAAGTTGAATGAAGAAGAGTTTCTTTTGTTAGCGGCGGAACTGGCCAAGGTGGTCGGACAAACGACGTTTGCCAGTCACATAGAGGATAAAAGATCACAAATACAGATTGAAACTCCTGAAGTCGAGGAATTGAAGCCGTTACCTTCCAAAGTTGATCTCATGAAAGAAGAAATAACTGTGAATTGTCAAAGTGAAGACTGAATCTGTAGATCGGTGTTAATATTTCTTATCTCTTTACTACAAATTGTGTTTTTAAATGTTTAAATGTTTCAGCCGATATGAAAATATTGTTAATTTTTCTAAAAGTTATTCGAAGTAGCTAAGATACTATATGTTGTTGGACTTAGAAAATGTATTAATTGGAAGAAGGATTGATGGGAGAGTTTGGAGGAATATAATTAAACTTATCCTTGTTCTTTTATTGAAATTCTGAAATTTAAAAAAATAATTGACTTCAACACTAATTAAGGTAAATTGATTCAAAGTTAGTTGGGACATTTATGCCCGATTTCACCAACATCACTTAAGCTACCACCTACGTATGGGATCCCTAGCTTAAAAGTTCCCCTAAACTAGCCCCTAAATTAAATTTCGAATACCATCGTCAGAGCCCGTATTTCTAGTAGATAGGCCCGTATTTCTAGTATTTAGGTGGCATTTTAACATTTAGGTAACCCCTAACTGTCGGTAAACTGTCCCCTAACAGCCCCCTAAACATGCTTAGGGGATCCCTTAAACTTAGGTGACGTTGGTGAAATCTGCCATTAATGTTATAAAGTGATCATTTACGAATGTATGTTATGTTTATGTAAGAACTTAGTCTATCTACTTGATTTAGTATGTAGTATTATATAGTTATACATACTCTTTGCAATTAATTGCACAACTATACAGTTGATGTTTGGAATATGAACAATTTCCATGTAAAATTAAAACAATATTTTCTGTATTTTAAATTATGTACTAGTTATAAGCCAAAATTGGTGTAAACGTATTTTCTTTAATGTAATATTAACAATGAAGAATTTTCACCGAAGATCTGTGTTAGGTGCCATTTTGGCAAGTATTTAGTTTTAGGGTTTATGTAACGTAAAGATGAACTGACGGTGAAGTGTCAATTTATTATAATTACAAAAATAGACTTAAGAGGCTGACAAAAAACGTTTTATTGCGTGATTATGTTATCTTTGTTTATCGACTATTTATCGACTGCCTCGGTGGTGTAGTGGCTAGCATGTACGGCTGTACACCCGGAGGTCCTGGGTTCGAGTCCCGGGTCGGGCCAAGTTTAGTTATTGAATCTTCCTGTATAGTAAGTCTCAGTAACAGCCCGGAGTTGGGAAGTTGGCGGTGTTTCACCCCCGTGCCTCGGAGAGCACGTAAAGCCGTCGGTCCTGCGCCGACACTCTCACCGGTCGTGTCGAGTGGTCGTCCCACCGGAGTATGAGAGTGACAGGAATAGAGAGTGCACTTGTGTCTGCGCGTACACTTGAGCACTATAATATCTCCTGCGCAGTTGGCTATTCTCATTGAGATTGGCCGCCGTGGCCGGAATCGGCTAGGAGAACATCATCATGTTATCTTTGTTTACTGTTATTTTGAAGTATATAGCATCATGTAGAATTATTTAATACTTAAAAAAATCACGGGTTTAGCCAACACAAGTGACCTAATAAAAGATTTGATTATTTAGCCAATTTGATAAGAAAATGCCTACATTTTGTTGTATATTTTAAGCGTAATTATTATGTAATAAAATTTAATCATCGATATATGAGATATTATAATAATGTTGACGCTTCACTGTCGACTGCCGATTTGTGATATACATTTTAAATAATAAAAATTATTTCTTTATTATGTATAGTAGACATAAAAATTAAAACATTAGTTGTTGTTGCAGTTTGTTCCTATTTTAGTGTACACGAAGATACGATTTTATTGAATACTTAGCAGTACCCGCAGTTTCGCCCGCTTTCAAACTTTCGATCGCTACCGAAGTTTAGTATCCAGCATCACCCACCTTTCTAATCTGAAGTTTGCCTCAAAATCTCATCAAAATAGTTTCGGCCGATTTAGAGTCCGTAGGGAATGTACATTGTATACATCGATTTTTAAATATACAGATTTAAATAATATATTTGGCAGTTAAATGTTAGTAGTATACCTGTTTCGACAACAGATTTATCATTGGTTAATTAAATAATAACTAAATTAAATTAAAAATTTAAAAAGAAAGACTCAACCATCTAGGACCGATTTTCATCAAACAATAGCTACTGATTCACCTTTCAAACAAAAAAAGAAACGAAATCAAAATCGGTTCATCCGTTCGGGAGCTACGATGCCACAGACAGACACACACACAGACACCTCAAACTTATAACACCCCGTCGTTTTTGCATCGGGGGTTAAAAAAAACAAAGTTTTTTTATGGCTGATTCTAAATTCAAACGTCAAAATTTTTGTTCTGTTCAAAGAATTCGTATCATCTGAGAACATCTTATTCATTTAATGGTATCAGTTAATGTATTGATCTATGTTACAACAAGTTAGCTTTATAATCAAGTTACTTCGAATGTAGATGTGATATTGTCTCCTACTGTTTGTTCTATGCATGACCTGTTTTTATTACCTTTGGCCTTTAAATGTTGTCTCAAATAAATAAAATTATTTGCCCATTTCACCTGGTTTTATTTATTAAAATATTGATTTGTGAATTTGGAATGGAATGGAAAAAATGCTACAAAAATAATGAGGTATTATTTTTTAAGCGCAAGAGGTTCTGGATACATTAGTGAATGCGCTTGTGGCAATAAAGATATAAGAAAAACTAACTTTTACAGGCTATTTTCTTGTTTTTAGCGGATTAAAATAAAGAATTGTTAATTTTTTTTTTAATTATTTATTATTTATATTATTTTATTTATTTCATTTTAATTATGTATACTACCACGTATTACGAAATTATGTATACAATATTTCGTGTCTGGCGTTGACTGCTGAAATCTCACACCCTGGGTGCAGCACCCAGGTGCTGGAGATCTTTAGAAACGGTTATTATAATTGTAATTGAATGCAATATAAAATTTTGTGTCTATTGTTGACCGTTGAGAAGTTCTTCTGCATCTAGATTCTAGAGCCAATCCTAGATGGAGAATCTGGTCATCATGATCATAAAGTCATTTCGATAGAATCCGATAGGATTTATATGTAAAACAAATTATTTGATTCTATGTTGTTATTCTGATATAAAATACTTATTAGAATTTTCTTAATTTTTTCTCTTGGGGGAAAAAAGGCGGGTAAAGCGTTGTTGTTTGTTTTATGAATTAATGCAATACATCATCCCTTATCGTAATGTTTGAGGCGTTACTCTTACTCTGTATAAAATAATACACACTGTGCCGCTGAAGCGAGGGTGAGTCTCTAGTATTATAATAATTTTACAGATGCCATTTAGGTATAAAGAAACTTTTTTTTAACGTTGGGAAATGCTTTTACGCATACCACCTGCATACGTACAGGTGGTTATCTCGGACTCTGGCTACAAAAACCAGTACTACCCACTAAAAACCACGGGACTTTCTCTGTTTTAATGACATGGGAGGTTCCGTGGCATGACACTCAACGACACCCCGAACGGCAGATCTGACGAAGCAGACTACAACAACCAATGAGTTGTTCCTACGGTTCAATCTGCTACCAAAGATTACCGCCCACAGAGGTGGGCTGGATATGGAGTAAAAATAATTATATAATTGTAAAAAAAACAAATAGAATACATATAACGCCATTTATTGAAATTTATTTTAACTATCTTTATATTGTTTTTGGGAAAAGCTGATTTATATTATACCCGGACCGTAGTTAGAAAACTAGTCCCGAATTAACAAGTAAATAATAAAATATTAAAAAAAATCAATGAAAAGTTATAATTAGAGAAAGAAATTCCCAATAGAGGTATGTAATATCAATATCAATGCAGTAATTTATTATAAGGTAGGGTCATGTAATTATTCATACTTACATATTCCGAGTCGTTTATCTCGTTTCCGAGCGGTCATTGGTCCAAAATATATTCGCAAGCATAAAATGTTGATATTTTGTTAAGAAATAAGAAAATAATGAGGAGATAGTACAATTGTAATTTAAATGTTAATATTTATTTTATTATGTTAAGAATACAATAATAATATAGTTATTATTACTACATAAATTGCAATACATAAATGTACCAATATTGTACGAGTTACTTATATGCAATTAGCCAAATAATTTATTTATATGATTTTTGTAAATATTTTATGTATAAAACTATGAGCTTGTGAATGAAGTAGACATTATCTTGTCTTTCATTAAAAACACCCTAATTAATTTACGTAGTTAATACGTAATATATCCTACTAGCATTGCCCGCGGCTCCGCCCGCGTTCAGATGACCAAAAACCAAATTCTTAGGTTTTACATATTAGTATACTCTTACATTGCAGTTTTTGTATTTTTTCTCAGAAATGGAACATTTTCCCGTGGTAAAAGTATCCTATTGTTGACCCGGATAACAAGCTATCACCATACCAAATTTCATCAAAATCCCTTCAGTAGTTTTTCTGTGATGCGGTAATAGACAGTCAAAAATTCTACAAACTATAGATTCGGCCTCTGTATCGATAATAATATTTATTTCAATTAGAATTTCTAAAAACTATTTTATGTACAGATTCGGCTTAGTTACAATTTTATTATTTATGTACATATAAATTAGATATTATACATAAAATTGTTGCGGCGAAGACCAAAGGAGAGTTATGTGTTTGACCTGTATGTATATATGTTAGATCCTGAATTCTGACGTAAATATTATCCCTATATATGAAATGGTTCCTGTATGACTAGTAAAATATTTTTACCTTTTTGTAAACACTTTCTTACTGTTGCGAGGTAACTATGAAAATACAGGTTAATGTCCTTTAATTAAAACTTATAAAATATTATTACGGTGAGAAATTAAATGATTACATTGGAGTTTCAACATATGCTATTATCAGTGTAACCTTTATCCTTCCGTAGCATAAAAAGACGTTGTAATCTGTATGCTCCATCATTTCTTGACGACTTCTCGCCAAACGTTGAAGAATATTTTGTAATGAAAATATCGTGGCTCATAGCGCTCTGCGCTATTGCCTCGTTTACAGTAATCGAGGCAATACCTTGGTACGTATTTTTATTCTTAACAAAAATTTGTAATAAACAAACAAAAAAATTGTTTCAGATTCATGTTTTTTTTTCGTGTAAAATAATCTGTGTAATATTATAAAATTATGGGAAGTCTGTGTTAGTTTATCTGTGTATTGTTTATGTGTATGATTGTTACTCCTTAACGCTGAAACTGCTGGACTAATTCGGATGAAATTTAGTACACAGATAGTCTATGATCTGGAGTAACACATAGGCTGTGAGGCATGTAGTCACTCTAATATATTTTTTTAATATTCTAGGTGCACTACGTGTGAAGACGAAGGCAGTGGCTATGAAGAAGATAGGTAATAAATTTCAACTTTTTGCTAAATATTGAAAATATCGTATTACATTCTTTAAAGTGTCAATTATTTCATAATCATTTAAAAGATAACCTTTTATGTATTTTTGTTTGATACAGTAACGATGGTAACGATGGGATGTATGCAGGAGTGCAAATTGAACCGATTGACCGGTTAAGTGGTGGAAGGTAAGAACAGTATTTTTTATTCACCATTATTTTTTGAACTCTACCCTATTTATTGAGGGGAGGAAGGACGCTTTTACTCCAGACAGATTAAAAAGACTTAGATAATTTTTTATATATACATTCATATACATACATTTTTATATACATACATGTATATGTACTTGCGGCGCAGTTCAAATGTCTTAGGGAACTGTATCAGATTGAAAAAATTCTGACTACTCGCAAGTAAAGTAGCGTGAAGTTAAGTAAGAGAATCGCTGTGTCATATATTTTATTTTCAACACTATACGGCTAATTTTATACAATTACAGAGGTGGGCAAGGTGGCAGCTATGGCCATCGCGGCTATGGTGGTAGTGGTTATGGCAATGGTGGCTATGGTGGTGGTGGCAATGGAGGCTATGGTGGTGGTGGCAATGGAGGAAACGGTATTGGCGGAGACGGCTATGGCAGTGACGGCAATCGCGGTAACGGTATAGGCGGAGATGGCTATGGTGGCATAAATGGCGGTGACGGTAGAGGCGGAAACGGCTACGGCGGAGACGGCAATGGCGGAGACGGCTATGGCGGAGACGGTTATGGCGGTGGCGGCAGAGGTGGTGGTAATCACGGTGGCGGCTATGGAGGCGGTGGTAATAGCGGTGGCGGCTATGGTGGTGGTGGCAATGGTGGTAACGGTATGGGCGGAGATGGCTATGGTGGCATGAATGGCGGTGACGGCAATGGTGGAGACGGCTACGGCGGAGACGGCAATGGTGGAAATGGCTACGGCGGAGATGGTTATGGCGGAGACGGTTACGGCGGTGGGGTTAGAGGCGGTGGGGGCAGAGGCGGTGGGGGCAGAGGCGGTGGGGGCAGAGGCGGTGGGGGCACAGGCGGTGGGGGCAGAGGCGGTGGGGGCAGAGGCGGTGGGGGTAGAGGCGGTGGGGGCAGAGGTGGTGGTGGCGGCAGTGGTGGTAACGGTATAGGCGGAGATGGCTATGGTGGCATGAATGGCGGTGACGGTAGAGGCGGAAACGGCTACGGCGGAGACGGCAATGGCGGAGACGGCTACGGCGGAGACGGTTATGGCGGTGGCGGCAGAGGCGGTGACGGCAGAGGTGGTGGTAATCACGGTGGCGGCTATGGCGGCGGTGGCAATGGCGGTGGCGGCTATGGCGGTGGCGGTAATGGCGGTGACGGCAGAGGCGGTGGTGGCTACAAAGGTGGCAACCGTGGAAGTGGCAGCTATGGAAGTGGCAACCCTGGGGGTCGTGGTGGCTATGGAGGGTAAGATTGCATATTAAAATTATGCCAAATTTTGCCAAAGCCTTTTTTGTTTTAAAACTCTACTGATATCGTAAACGCGAAAGTTTATGAGGATGTGTGCTTGTTACTTTTTCACGCAAAAACTACTTACTGGACGAATTTTGATGGAATTTTAGTTATATACCTTAGTCCTTATACATCATAATATGATTCTTATAAATATAGTGATACGTAATTGAACTAGAACTTAAAAAGCTATCTGTATTACGAATAAACAAAGTCAAATTAACAAATAATAAACTCGCACACAATAAACACAATATTTTGCATTTATAAATATTAGCGTGCTTTAATTTCTTTTCATTTCCAGATCGGCTGATTACACTGTGTATATTGGTGTTCCAAGAAGTCCAACAATACCATGCTAACGTTTACAATACAATATATACCTATGCAGATGGACAAAACTCAAACCACATAACAAGAATAAGGATCTATACAATGTATTATCTCTTCGCAATGACTGATAACTAATTATTGTATGAAGCCAATCAAATAAGTTTTTTATATGAGTAACATTTTGTCAAATTTTGCTATCGTTACATATATACAGTAGATATTACTTTAGAAATTAATAAAATCTGATGTTTTATATTTTATGAACGCTATATGTCAATTATGTATTTATTATTTACTTTTCATATGTATATGATAACGTAGATTGTACACTTACTAACTCTCTCGTCAACTCGTCTCTCAATATATCAACTCGTCAACTCACTTTAACTTAACTCAGTTTGTATTAGTTTTTTTGTAATATTATTAATGCTATGGAAATTGTAGTAGTTAACAGTGTGACTTCACCGCGGAGATTAATTATTATAATTTATGTAATTTTAACAGTATTTCAGTAGAAATAAAACCTCATTAACAAAAATTTGCCTTTATTTCCAACCACTGTCTATTCGAATCTCGCACATATTAAAAGCTTTTTCAATATATTGCTTTTAAAGTTAGGTACATTAATTTAAAAGAATTAATAATTATTAGAAGTATTAAAAGAATTACTAATTAATGGGATTTAAAAGAAAATTTCTTATATTAACGAGATATTTTAAGCTAAAAAGATTATGGAAAAGAGAATGGTAGGTACATTTCTTACATTATTCATTTTCTAAAATAGATTAGGTACCTACTCGTATTACAAATTCACAATTTTAAGTGATTTCTAGTATCATAAATAAAACTATCTTTTCTGATTACTTTGCGGATTTATTTTGATTTTTTGTTCCCGACGTTTAGAATGCTTTACAGCAATCGTGGTCACAGGGAAAACAAAGGTTTTAGACATCTCAAAGGCGTTTTATACTTGATAGAGACAGTGCATACCGACAATTTTACAAAAATGATTTCAAAAATTCATTGCATACAATATTTGTTTATTTTAATTCTAATTTTTTTAAATAAATATTATAATTAAATACAGTAATATTATTTATTTAATTTCTAAAGAACTTCATTAATTAATAATAAATAATATTATTTAGTGTTGCTATTAGTTTTATATGTAACTAGCGGCTCACCCTCGCTTTGCTCAGGTTCGCCTCTAGAAAAACACTAATAGAGATCTATTAGTTCCCACGGAAACTGTTCATTTTTCCGGGATGAAAAGTAACCTGTTGTTTGACCGGCAATATAAGGTATCAGCATGCCAAATTACACTAAATTAGGTGCATAAGTTGTTGTGTACTAAGCTGTATATGTTACTATAGTTTTTTAACTATTCCACGGGAACTATTTAATTTTCCGAAATTGTGGGATATAAGGTACCACCATACAAAATTTCATTTAAATCGGTCAAATAGTTTCGGAGATTAGCCCCTACAAACAGACAAACAGACAGAGAAACAAAAAGAACTGAAAGAAATCTGGATTAGTTCTATTTTTCTTCTTACGGGATGTAAGTAGATAACTGACTCGGTTTTTAGCATTTTTTTCTATGTACAGACATTCGACCTCTACAGTTTTATTATATTTATGGATAGAATAAATAACGTATAATAAAACAGTAATATATAATAATAAAAATAGTTATAGCGAGTGTACCTTAGGAGATAGACATATACTATGCAGAACTTTTCTATAGACCTTTTTAAGACTTACAATTTTCTTGTACAATGTTTTGATCTATCTCTTAAGGTTGAGCCAGCGTTAGCCATATAAATTTCTAAGGACAATTCGATAGAACCAGTTATTGTGTTTTCCCGTGGGAATAAATAATTTGCCTGTCGTAAAGGTATCCTAAATGTTGACCCGAGTACTAAGTTATCACTATACAAAATTTAGTTAAAATCGGTTCAATACTTTTTGCGTAAAACGCGCACATCGATTTGACTAAGTTAGTTTTATTATAGGTATAGATAAGAATAGATATTGCTTAGGAGATACACATATACTACTCAGAACTTTCCTGTAGGACTTTTCAAGACCTAAAATTTTTTAATATATTGTTTTTATGTATGTATGTCTTAAGGTTTAGCCATAGGAAGGTTTCTAGGGAGGACTCGATAAATCCAGTTATTGTATCTTCCCGTGAGAAAGAAAGATTTTCTTGAAGTAAAAAGTATAGTAAATCGAGTAATAAGTTATCACTTCATCAAATTTCGTTGAAATCGGTTCATTACTTTTCGCGTGAAACGCGCATACAAAAACAGACAAATAGACATACAGGCAAACAGACAAACAGACAATTTTTTTAATAACTATTGTTTTGGGGTGTATGTTGTGTACATAATACGTTACAAATAAACGAAAACATCTATCCCACGGGACCCATACAATTTTCCGGGATAAAAAGTAGCCTATTTGTTATTCTGATGTATGACATATATTATTATTGTAAAGTTTCATCAAAATCCAATCAGTAGTTTTTGTGTACTAAGCTGTATAAGTTACTATAGTTTTTTGACTGTCCCACGGAAACCCTTTAGTTTTCCGGGATGAAAAGTAGCCGATTTATTGTCATGTATGAACTAAGTATATTATTGTAAAGATTTATTAAAATCCAATCAGTAGTTTTTGTGTACTAAGCTGTATAAGTTATTATAGTTTTTTAACTATTCAACGGGAACTCTTTAATTTTCCGGGATAAAAAGTTTCTAAGATGTTGCCCGGATATATAAGGTACCACCATGCAAAATTTCATTTAAATCTGTCCAGTGGTTTTTTCGTGATGCTGTAACAGACAGACAGACAGACAGACAGAAATTCTAAAAACAATAGATTCAGCCTCGGCATTGATAATAATGATTATTTCAATAAGATTTTCCAAAAAATATTTAATGTACAGAATCGACTTAGATAGAATTTTATTATATGTATAGATAATAAAAAAATATGATTTAATCCTCTTTTTGAGTTGTATGTGTGTAATTGTACATATTTTGGGATTAGTTTGAAAGTAATTAATATATCATGAAATTAAAATATTTAAAATATATACTTGAACCACTTAGTTTTACTATCTAATATGTATTATGAGATGCACATACATTTTAAATATTACAACAATATCTAAAACAAGACTTATGGCCGATTTCACCAACGTCACCTAAGCTTAAGTGATCCCCTAAGCATAGTTAGGGGGCTGTTAGGGGACAGTTTCTGTTTCACCGATAGTTAGGGGTCACCTAAATGTTAAAATACCACCTAAATATAGGTATTAGAAATACGGGCTCTGAGGATGGTAAAACGAAATTTAATTTAGGGGCTAGTTTAGGGAAACTTTTAAGCTAGGTATCCCATACGTAGGTGTTAGCTTATAGGATGTTGGTGAAATCGGACATTACTGTGTTTGGTGATTAAAGAAAGAAACAAAATTGAATGAAACATAAAATTTTGTATCCAAAAGTTTTATAATCTGTAAAAGTACCTCGGACGTTTATAATACATCTGTAAGGATTATTCATGCTCAAAATGAGGTTATCATTACCTCCTTGTAGGATAAGGTCCCAGATTCGACGAATATGCATGAAAAATTCATTGTCAATCACCATATTTTTGGGAAGAATACGTAAAGCCCTTCGTTGAAGCATATCCCACGCATGCTCGATCGGATTTAAATCTGTGGACTGCGCGGGAGAGTCCAGGGCTGCCACATTGTGTTGATCTAGCTACTGAATTACCACTCGAGCCGTATGTGGGCGGGAATTATCATGCATAAGCATAAAATCTTGACCCATTTGCAGCCGATGTGGTCGAACTGCAGGTGCCAGCACCTCACTCCGATATTTTGCATCAGTTAAGTTGCAAAGTCCCTAAGCGAGGTCAGTTCTCCCGCGCAAGCGTATTCCCACCCATACCATGATAGTGTCACCTTGATATGGATGGATTTCCTGAAGATTTTACATAGGTGGCTCTCACATCTAGGTCTTCGCCAAACACATATTCCTGAATCCGAACCGGTATTCTCCTCCTGACTGTTTGATCGCTAACCAGGACCTGGTGTTCCGACTATAACTTTAAAACCAATTGCCCAGCCGTAACGTTAGGTTATCTTTTCACTGTAATTTGTAAAAATCGGTCTTGTCTTGCGGTGGTTACCCAACTATTCCCAGCGTGTTCCGATTACGAGACCACAATCTTGATATGACGCTTTGACTGGTGCCAATGGCATCAGCAACACTGCATTGACTCGCGCCCGCTTCCAGAATACCTATTGCTCTCAACATCTCTTCTCTGACTAAATGTTAGCATTTCATGGTATAAAAAAAATCACTAGTATTAATTTAATTATTAAATGTGCGAATAAATTAAAATTTTGTTTAAAAATAGTTAAATCTTTAACACTCACAAGGAAGAAAATGTATAAAATAAAAACGTGTAAAATGTATTTATGTTACGTTATAAAGTTAATAAAAATTTCTGCGCTTTTGTCATTCTGTTTTTTTTTATGTAAATTTAGAATACAGAATATAAATGTGCCCGGAATAAATTGACGTTGAAATCTTATTTGGTTATTTTTAGTATTTGTTGTTACAGCGGCAATAGAAATACATACTCTGTGAAAATTTCAACTCTCTACCTATTACGGTTCACGAGATACAGCCCTCTGACAGATGGACGGACGTACAGACAGCGGAGGTTTAGTAATAGGGTTCCGTTGGCACCCTTCGGGTATGGAACCCTAAAAATAAATACTAAAAATGAATAATCAGGATTATACTTTACAATTTAGAAATAATAATAAATATATTCTTTACCAGTTTTAGACGTTTATTCTCTTTTGTATGTGCGTCCTCTGCGAGTCGGGAATTGCCGTCCTTTTCCACTTGGTAGCTCAGTAAATCTGTAAAACAATACAAATGTATATTGAAATATCAATGAAAGTAATTCCTTTTTGATTTTTGTTTAAATTATTATATATAATTGTTACGGCGAAGACCAAAGGAGAGTTATGTGTTTGACGTGTAATATGTATGTATGTAGATCTTTGGTTCCCTCATAAATATTATCCTTATATGCATGTTTTTGTATTTTTTATCAGAAATATGATATTTTCCTGCGGTAAAAAGTATCCTATATGTTGACCCGGATAACCAGCTATGACCATACCAAATTTCATTAAAATCCCTCCAGTAGTTTTTCTGTGATGCGGTAACAGACAGACAGACAGACAAAAATTCTAAAAACTATAGATTTGGCCTCTGCATCGATAATAATGTATTTCAATAAGATCTTCCAAAAAATATTTAATGTTCAGATCCGTCTTAGTTAGAATTTTATTATATGTATAGATAGATTGCTGCAGCGAAGACTAAAGGAGAGTAAAGTGTTTGATCTATATGTATGTTAGATCCTCAGTTCCCTCGTAAATATTATCCCTATATATGAACAAGTTCCTGTATGATAATAGTCTATGTATGTATATTAAAAATGCGTATGACTAGTAAAATATTTATATCATTTTGAAAACACCTTCGTACTGTTGATGGGTCACTAGTGAAAATACACATTTCATCATACACAGCTTTTAATTAAAACGTATAAAATATTAATACGGTGGGAAATTTTGATTACATTGGGTTATTAACATATACTATTATCAGTGTGACCTTTATCCTTTCGCAGCATAAAAAGACGTTGCAATCTGTATGCTCCATCATTTCTTGACGATCTCTCGCCAATTGTTGAACAAAAATTTGAAATGAAAGTATCCGTGCTCGTCGCGCTCTGCGCTATTGCCTTGTTTACAATAACCGAGGCAAAACCGTGGTACGTATTTTTATTCAAAACTAAAAACCATATTCAGTAATTAACAAAAAAAATAATTGTAAAATTGTTTCGCATTTCATGTTATATTTTTTTCCATGTAGAATAATCTGCGTAATATTATAAATGCGAACTTTGTGTAAGTTTGTGTGTCTGTGGGTATTATTGTTACCTACTCCTTAACGCTGAAACTGCTGGACTGATTCGGATGAAATTTAGTACACAGGGACTATAACCTGGAGTAACACAGGGGCTACTGTGAGGTACCTAGGAAGTAGGCATTCTATTTTTTTTATTATTTCAGGTCCACTCCATGTGACGACGATACGAGTAGTTGCAATGAAGAAAGGTAATAATAATTTTTAACTTTAGCTACTAAATATTGAAAATATCGTATTAATTTTTTTTGTGTCAATATTATTTTATAATTATTTAAAAGTTATTTTTTTTTGATACAGTACTACCGATGGTACGGATCAAATTGATGTTGATGATGAGGTAGAACTTGAAGACCGTTTTGGTGGTGGAAGGTAAGACTAGTATTTTTATTCACCTTTATTTTTTCAACTCCACCCTATTTATTGCGGGTAGGAGGCTCTTACGGCAGTGGCATTACGCTTTGCTTTTATTAAACAGAGCGAACTTTCAGAGCGATTGAAAAGATTTACTATATTTTTTATATATACAATATATGTATACCTAACATATGCTCTTGCGGGGTAGTTCGAATGTCTTATTAATCTGTAACAGACTGAAAAAATTACCCGCAAGGAATATAGCGTGAAGTTAAAAGTCATATAATTTATTTTCAACACTAATAGGGCTACAATATATAATATTTTTATACAATTATAGAGGTAGACGTGGCGGTAGGCGTGGCGGTAGGCGTGGCTTTAGACCCGGGAGCGGCTACGGCGGAGACGGCCATGGCGGCTTTGGCGGTGACGGTATTGGCGGAAACGGTTATGGCGGCTTTGGCGGTGACGGTATTGGCGGAAACGGTTATGGCGGTTTTGGCGGTGTCGGCAGAGGCGGAGACGGCTATGGCGGTGGCGCCTTTGGCTTTCCGTGCTAACGTTTACAATACATTATAGGTATATGCAATTGGCCAAAACTTAAACAAAATAACGAGAACAAGGATCTAGATACAATGTATTATCTCTTCGCAATGACAGATATAATAATAATTAATGTATGTATAAAGCCAATTAAATAAGCTTTTTATATGAATAGACTGTATTATAAAACTTTTCACAATATTTGTCACATTTTGCTATCGTTACATGTAAATATTACATACTTACGAAATTAAAAAGAAATCCGAGTTTTCATATTAAATGAACGCTACAATAAAACTATTTACTTTTTATAGGTACATGATAACGTACATGAATTGTAAACTTATAATATGGATAAACTCTGAAGTGTTGTATGCAGTAGCGATATACATATAATAGAAAAGATTTAACTATAATACCTAACTCACTTTATATTTTTCTTTGTAATATTATTGTTATAGAAATTGTAGAAGGTAGATTGCAGAGATTAATTATATGATTTATGTAATTTTAACAGTATTTCATGAGAAATAAAACCTTTTAAAATGTTTATTATAACAAATTTGCTTTTATTTCCTATCACTGTCTACTCAAATATCTGCTCGCACATATGAAAAGCTCTTTCAATATATTGTTTTTAAATTTACATTAACTTAAAGAATGAAAAATATGTGTTCTTTAAAGAAAATTTATATAATATCATATCATTATCGAGATATTTTAAACTATAATGATTATGGAAAAGAGAACGCTACATTTCTTACATTATTTATTTTCCAAAATAAATCTATTACAAATGCACTATTTGAAGCGATTTCTAGTAGCTAGTTAGTTCATAAATCCTATTGATATAGTAAAGTGTATAAGTATTTATATAATAATTACAGGTCAAGTAATACAAGGATTTGTACTCTGAATGAAAGGAAAACTATGTACAGAAATAGTCGAGTGCTATCAGGCTCCTCGGAACCCAGCTATAATGAATAGATTTGGCTGATATTGGATTTTTTGAATTTCTTCTACTAAAAACTAAAAATTTTACCTTTGAAATTTTCCGCTAATGTTTATTTAAGGGTTGTCTGTTGTGTCATGAAAAGTACATTCATTGTATTCATTTTTATTCATATATTCATTTTGAATTAGATTTACACAAACACACTGAATTGTTAATTTAACGATAGTCAGTGTAGTTGGTCCTTGAGGAAGCTACCTTGGCTCGGAAGGCAGTTCTGCTGAGAGGAGCATCGACGGGATAAGCTCAACGAGTGCTCTTTTTACAAATCAAATATACTATTTACTAGTATTTAATACATTATAGCTATACTGCAAATGATTTAATTTATCTTAATTCCACACATTTTTATCAATAAAAAATAAAATAAGAAACTCTTGAACAGAGTAGTTTACTTTATATTGTTGAAAAGGTTGTCTGTGGAACTAAAAAATAAAAAATATAAAAGCATACAGATTTTGTAGAGTACATATAGATTTCATTTCTGCGGCACTGCCCCAAAGAATTATCCCACAAGATAAAATACTATGATAATAACTAAAATACTACCAGTCAGCCAGTGTGGTTGTCCGTTAGGCTACTAACTTTTCCTATTGCAAAGAGTGGAGCTGAGTTAATTCGCTTGTGTCAAGAAATGAGGGTTCCACTGGAGCTTTGAATCTATAAATGTCATGCCTAAAAATACTGCTCATTCAGTTATTTTCAGTGTTTCATTATTCAGAACTAGATGCAAATTTTGTTTTTGTTAGGTTAGGCAAGGTAAATTCGACCATTTTTTTTGGCTTTACTTTTAGGTTTAGCGTTTTTTTACTAACTTAGAATAAATTCAACTCTAAACTAGCGAAGTATGTGTGACAATGCCTTGATTACTTCGTCAGAATTTGGTGTACGACGTTCGACTTAACGAAACATCATCATATCACTTCTTTACAAAGATGCTTGTGGAACACCCATCCTTAAAGGAGATCTAGAAGATTTCACATTATTTATTTTAAACCTCTGGATTCTCTGATTGAGGAAGGGAGCACCAAGGTCAAATGCAGCGTCCTGTATGCCGTAGTGATTCAGTTCAAGCAATAAGGTTTGATGATCAACATAATCAAAGGTTTTAAGGTAAATGATAAAAACCCCTATAGGATTCCGCGATTATCATCATACCCATTCATCGTATCATTTACCTTTGGGAAAGTTATGCTGTTCACTATGCTTAATTTTGTCACAATAAAGAAGCAAGAGAATAAAAAAAACTACGTTTAAAAAACCGACTTCAAAAACTAAAAAGTATATAATAACTTAATAAAGATTTAACTTAATACACCTCTTGTACTTATACCTAATATCTTTAATATTCAGAAAAAGAAAACAATAAATTTAACTCTATAATCGATAGAAAACTAATAAAATATCGATAAATTCGAAAAAATAATAACATAAATAGATTCTATGGCAAAAAAAAACAAAAGCTGTGGTAAACTTAACGTGAATTCCAACTTTTATTATTTTTTCACGACTCGTCAAATTGCAAAGTTGAAAAGTTTACGGCGACATTGCATAAATAATAAGCGTTAAATCAAAAACTTAAGGCCTCCTTTTTTTCGTTTTTTCTCGAAAAATACATTGGTGTAACCAGTTTATAAAAATTTGCTCAATAGAGTTCACTTCTTCAATGATCATTGAAAAAAATGTAGTTTACAAAGTAAAAATCGATTTCTCTAATTTTTCAAATGTTAAACGTCCACTTGAAGTTGGGGGTGATTTTCAGCCTCTTGAGACCATAAAACATACTTTCCTCGGAAATAGCAAAACTTTTCAATTTCATTTTTTTTATTTATTATATGTATTTTGAAAATTACATTCCCTTAGTTTCATGAAAATCAAAAGATTATTGTAGAAATTAAAAATAAAAAACCAAGAAAAAGTTAAAAACCGACTTTTTTGCAAATATCTCGAAAACTTTGAGAAAGTTGTAGATTTTTACTAAACCTATAACTTACAAAATATTATTTGATAGAACGTCACAGTAAGCCGGATAAAAAACTATTTTTCAACGTTTTGCGTCCCCATTTCTTGGGGGTAGCTGGGTATCGGGGGCATCTTACAAATTTCTATTCCTTATATATCTGCTAACATTTTAATATCATAAAAGTTCAGGTTTTCAATATTTTGTCTTCAAACCAGATTCCGATTGGACTATATCGCCATTTAATATTAGAATTTATATTTAAATTATTATATATGTATATAATAAAAAGAGAGTTGGTTGTGTTTGACCTGTATGTATGTTACTTGTAGATCCTTAGTTCCCTCGTAAATATCATCCCTATATATGAACTGGTTTTTATTAAGAATGCGTATGACTAGTAAGTCATTTTTACCTTTTTAACCCCCGACACGAAAAGAGGGGTGTTATTAGTTTAACGTCGATGTCCGTCTGTCTGTGTGTGTGTTTGTCTGTGGCATCGTAGGTCTCAAGCGATTGATGAAGCTATGTTTGGTTAATATCGATCCAGCAGTGTAAGAGTATCAGCTTTTTAAGAGTAAGGCATTTTGGCGTATGATTACTCGATTAAGTGCTTCACGCGTGTCAGTGTAATCGTTAAATGGCAATTAATTTGCGTACCACTTTCTTACTGTTGCGGGGTCACTATTGAAAATAATAAAATATTAATAATAAAATAAATATATTAATACGGTGGGAAATTTGAAAGATTACATTGGGTTTTTAGCATATGCTGATATCAGTGTGACCTTTATCCTTTCGCAGCATAAAAAGATGTTGTAATCTATATGCTCCATCACTTCTTGAGGATCTCTCCCCAATTGTTGAAGAAGAATTTGAAATGAAAACATTATGGTTCGTCGCGCTCTGCGCTATTGCCTTGTTTACAATAATCGAGGCAAAACCTTGGTACGTATTTTTATTCGAAACTATAAAAGTTACATTTAGTAATTAATAAAATATAATTGTAGAATGGTTTCAATTTTTATGTTAATTTTTTTCCGTGTAAAATAATCTATGTAATATTATAAGTGCGAATTTTGTGTGTGTGATTATTACTCCTTAACGCTGACACTGCTGGACTAATTGAGATGAAATTTAGTACACAGATAAACTACGACATGTAGTAACACACAGGCAACTGTGAGACATCTAGGCACTTCTATTAAATTTTTGATGTGCAACATCTTTCCTCTCGCTTTCCTGTAATCTGTGGGAGTGATTTCGTGAAAAGGGATGAAAGTGTGTAACAACAAGAATCCGGCGAAGCGTGTGTTATTTGATTTGATCAATGAGCGCGCGCGGTAATAGAGTTGGCCATCAGATGGTAGAAAGTCTAAATTCAATATGGCGGACTCCCAATGATGTTGGAATGTTTTTTAATACACCCCCATTATATGGATATCAAATAAAAGGTTTTGATGAGAATACGAGAAAAAAAGTAAAAGCATTAAAAAAAAGTTTAAAAATTAAAAAAAACAAGCTTTTATTTAAATACTCGAAAAAAAAGTATAACTTCTTGCGTGCGTACATAGGTACACACACACTTTTTTCTTCCTTGTTGTTGCTCTGTTGAGAGCTGGAGTCCTGACTGATACAATTGTATGCGCCCCTGAACCTTATTATTTTTATCACAGGTATTCCCTTTTGTATCCCTTTCTTATATACAACAACAATATTTTATATAACTACAATACCTAAAAAGTTTGTAGAATACTTAATAAGTACATACTTAAACTTTAAATAATACAGGTTTTCACGTTTCTGTTCTACAATTTAGCACTTCTAAACGGGTTATCCGATTTTCATAATTTCATATTAATTCTAGACGTAAGCCTATCTTTTGAGATTAAAATTATTGAAATATCTCTAACAAATAAAAATTCTCAGTTTCAACATTAACGTAATTGTACAGAAATTCTGACAACATTCAAAATTCTTTTCAAACTTACTTTATTTAGTCTAATTATGTTACAATAGGAAATCCAATAGCAAATTTAAGGAAAATAGTCTAATTAGAGTAAAATAAACATAATAAATAAGGTGTCAGAAGTTACACGTCCCATGCGACTACTGTAAGGCTCACTCGTTTTTTTATCATTTTAGGTACACTTCGTGTGACGGAGACGACTGCTATGCAGAAAGGTAATAATAACTTTAGCTAAATATTGAAAATATCGTATTAATTTTATTAAAGTGTTAATTATTTAGTAATTACTTACAAGATAGCCTTATATATGTATGTTTTTTTTGGTACAGTAATGATGGCATGGACCAAGGGGTGGAATTTGAAGACCGTTTTGGTGGTGGAATGTAAGACCAGTATTTTTTTATACACCATTATTTTTTTAACTTTACCTTATTATTATTTTATTGGGGGAGGAAGGACGCTTTTACTCCAAACTGATTGAAAAGATGTAAGACATTTTTGTATACATACATATGTACTTGCGAGGGAGTTCGAATCTTATTGATCTGTATCAGGCTGACAAAATTCTGACTAGCTACTCGCAAGTAGATATATCGCAATATAGCTTGAAGTTAACTAAGAGATTCACAATGTCATATTTTATGTTGTTTTCAACACTAATAAGGACTATAATAATATATAATATCATTTTTTGATACAATTATAGATACAATTATAGAGGTGGCAGCTATGGCGATCGCGGCTATGACGATAGTGGTTACGGCGATAGTGCTTATGGCGATAGTGGTGGCGGTTATGGCAATGGTGGTGGCGGTTATGGCGATGGTGCTGGCGGCTATGGTGTAGATACCAATGGAGGAAACGGTATTGATGGAAATGGCTATGGCGGATACGGTTATCGCCAAGACGGCTATACCGGAGATGGCTATGACGGAGACGGCTATGGTGGTGACGACATAGTCGGAGACAGCTACGATAGAGACGGCTACGGTGGAGAAAGCTATATAAGTGCTGGTAATTTCCCTGACGTCTATGGATTAAGTGGTAATCGCGGAAGCGTATATAAAGACGGTCGTGGTGGCGGTGGTGGCGGCGGCCGCGGAGGTGGCGGCCGTAGAGGTCATGATGTCTTTGAAAGGTAAGATTGCATATTAAAATTATGCCAAATTTTTATCAAAGTCTTTTCTGTTCTAAAAAGAAATTTATGAGGATGTATGTTTGTTACACTTTCACGCAAAAACTAGTGGACGGATTTTGATGGAACGTTAGTTATATAGCATATATACCTATTATACATCATAATATAACTCATATAAATATAGTGCATTCTTTTCGGATTTTTTCGCGCATTTATTTTGATTTTTGGTACCCGACGTTTCACATGCTTTATTGCAATCATGGTCACAGGAGAGACAAACGTTTTAGACGTCTCAAAGGCATTATATGGTTGTTACAGACAGCCTACCCATGAAATAACAAATTGAATTAAAAAATATAATTGTATTAATTTTAATTTTCTAACATTTTTATAATTTTAATTTGAATATAGAATATTATTTGTCTAATTTTAGCTGTTATTATTATTCTTTTTATTTCCAGATCCTACCCCACCATCAATATTAATATTTATAGACATCGACCACGGTAACGTTTACAATACATTATACCTACTAGTACATAAATTGGAAAAACGTAAAGCTCATAACAAGAACCAGAATCTATAGAAGGTGTTCGCAATCACTGAAATGTTAATAATTAACTATTATGATGTATGTGTAAAACCAATAAATAAGATTTTTATATGAATAGACTGTTTTTACTAATCTTACCACAATATTTGTACGTATGTAAAGCTAAAAAGTCAAAGTGAGCAGAATCACTTAAAACTGTGTACATAAATTAATGCTCATTTAGTGCTAATTTAGTGCCAAAAGCTAAAATTTGATGCTCTTATATTTTGGCAGAAAATAAGAAAACTGCGAGCTTTTAGTTAAGCTACCAGTGTTACCGCCTAATAAGCTAACCGCATAACACAGCGTCAAATCAATTTAGCATTAGTTTAGTGTTTAATTAGTGCTGGCCATCCATGAAGACAAATATAAAAATTTATAGCTTTTTTTTATATATAACAAAACTTGCTAATTTAACAGTATAAGCAGAGATGCTAGAAAAAAAGTCTAGAAAAAAAATGATATTGATAAATCATTTAGTGCTCAAATAGTGCTGGTCATACGTATATTGAGACGAAATCATGAAATATTTTTTTTTTTTTCAACTAACAAAACTTGCTGATTTAACAGTATGAGCAAAGAATCTAGTAAAAAGTAAAACCTAAGAGAGTTACTATCTGATGATCTTGATTAATAATATAATGCTCAATTAGCGCTGTACATTGAGGTAAAATCATACAATTTTTTTTTCTTTTGAAATAACAAAACTTGCTGAGTTAATAGTATAAGCAGAAGCCTAGTAAAAAGTGAAATCTAAGATAGTTATCGCCTCATGATATTAATTAATAATTTTGTGCTCAATGAGTGCTGGCTATAAATTAAAACAAATATATAAAACTAGCGACTCACATTCGCTCCCCTCGGTTTCGTCCCTACTTACATTTTTACGTTTAGTATACATTTCTCGGAGATGAGATATTTTTCTGGAGTAAAAAGTATCCTACATGTTGACCCGTATAACCAGCTATTATCATATCAAATTTCATCAAAATCCCTCCAGTGGTTTTCCGTGATGCAGTAACAGACAGACAGACAGACTGACAAAAATTCTTAAAACTGTAGATTTGGCCTCTGTAACGATAATAATGACTATTTCAATAAGATTTTGCAAAGAATATTAAATGTACAGATTCGGCTCAGTTAAAATATTATTATATGTATATGTCGGAGGAAGCTATGAGTCGGGTTAATTGTTGTTTGCATGATGAATAACGCACAATATTATTTGTTTACATTTTAATTACTTTTAAAATTCTTAATTTGACTTAGAAGTCACGTTTTTCTAGTGTCCCTGCTCATACTGTTAAATTAGCAAGTTTTGTTATATATAAAATAAAAACCGACTTCAAACAAAAGCACTAAAAAGTAAAAAATAACTGATTGGTACTTTTCATTTACTATACATACCTAATCAAATATTTTCGAAGTCGGTGTGCTTTGCTTTATATGCGCTGGCACCGATTTCGAAAATATTTGATTAGATATGTATTTAATAGGTAGGCTTTAATTACTTAGCCAAAGCACACCGACTTCGAAAATATTTGATTAGGTATGTATAGTAAATGAAAACTACCAATCAGTTATTTTTTACTTTTTAGTGCTTTTGTTTGAAGTCGGTTTTTATTTTTTTGTTAAAAAGTTTTTATTTTTCCCTTTTTAGTGTCGACAGTAGTAGCAAAGTAAGAATTCTAACGTGTTAGGCTTGTCAAATCAAACAAAACAAGCCCAAACTCAAAGTATCTACTATTAGCCGTTGAAGAGTTCCACCTATCCACCTTCTGGCCTTGCCATCAGATCAGGTCAACAATACCGAACCACTGTACTATCAACGGAAATAGAAACACTTGTAAAGTTTCAAGTCAATATGACAATTAGAAGTAGGTTAAATTCATCATTAGCTATTTTTTTGAAATTTAAATGGGACCAATCTGGAAGTATACACTTTCAAACAACACAAAAATTGTCCAAATCGGTTAATAAATGACGGAGTTCTGAGGTAACAAACATAAAAAAAAAATTGTCTTCATGGATGGCCAGCACTAATTGAGCACTAAATTAATGCTAAATTGATTTGACGCTGTGTAATGCGATTAGCGTATTAAGCGGTAACACTGGTAGCTTAACTAAAAGCTAGCAGTTTTCTAATTTTCTGCCAAAATATAAGAGCATCATTTTTTTTTTGCTTTTGGCACTAAATTAGCACTAAATGAGCACTAATTAATGCACATAATTTTAAGCGATTCTGCTCACGTTGCCTTTCTAGCTTTACATACGTAATATTTGTCACATTTTGCCAACGTTACATGTAAAAGACTTTTCGTAATGAAAAAAATCTGATGTTTTATATTTTATGAATGCTGTACAGCAATTATTTACTTTTTATACATGATAATAGAAAAGATTTAACTATAATAACTTACTTTGTAATTTTTTGTAATATTGTTGTTATTTGAGTATTGTATTGTTTTTAGCATCTGTATCTATATAATCAAGTATATTTTATTTTTATAATATTTTTTTTATTTCAACCTTGTTATTTTTGGTCAGTATAACATTTGAACTTTTATTTAACAATTTCTTATCGCAAATTACTTTTAAACGTATGAGTTATATGTACGTTTATGATAAGCCTCTTAAAAACCTTCATTTAGAAACCCCAATTAAACTCGATTGGTTTGAAAGATTTTTTAACTAGCAACTCACCCTTGCTCTGTTCGGGTTCGTCCCTAGTTACGATTTAACGTTTAGCATAGACTAGCAGAACCCGGCTTCGTCCGCGATCAAATTACAGAAAAAATAAACTTTTTCGCTACACATAGGTACTTTATTATTAGCAATAATAAGTTCGTGTCATTTTTATTATTTCTTAAAAATACGTGGAAAACAAGTTTAATTTTAGCGTTCGCAACTCAAAATATCCAATATTTTATAAGATGTTAAACATAGCTTTTATTAGGTATTCTGTAAATAAATTCTCATTTTAGGTATTTAGTAAGCGCCACTACCTGTATTTTTTACATATTTTTCTACTCCATCTTTTCAAAGTTAGAGGGTTCGAGTACAATGATACAATCACATACCTACAATGTATACGAATTTAGAATCATGTAACTCGGCTAATATGGGACTAACATACTAACAGGCTAACATCTATGTTATTTTTGTTTATTTATTTGGAAGACAATCAGTATTTCGTTACATATAAACAAAAGAAATAAAAAAAACATATACCAATTACATCTTCACTGTTTACAAATTTTTAAGGTAGTTAATTATCCCAATATATGAACTGGTTCCTGCGTGATAATATGCTATATATATATATATATATATATATATATATATATATATATATATATAATTTAATTCTGATAATATTTTGGGGGATTGATACTGTACCTATGCCGTAATACAGGTCTCCTAGTACGGCAGCAGAGACAACCGTATTATTTGTATTGATAGTCTAAATTGTTTGTTTCAAAATGTACTGTTCAATATGCTTTTCAACTACAATATGTATGTATTTTTGTGAAATAAAGTATTATTATTATTAAAAATGCGTATGACTAGTAAAATGTTTATATTATTTTGAAAACACCTTGTTCCTGTTGCTGGGAGTAAAAATACACCTTTCATCGCAATCTTTAAAACGTATAAAATATTAATAAATATAATAAACGTATATAATATACGGTGGGAAATTTTTAATTGTTACATTGGGTTTTATCATAATATGCTATTATCAGTGTAACCTTTATCCTTATGCAGAATAAAAAGACTTTGTAATCTGTATGCTCCATCATTTCTTGACGATTTCTCGCCAAACGTTGAAGAAGAATTTGAAATGAAAATATCATGGCTCGTTGCGCTCTGCGCTATTGCCTTGTTTACAATAATCGAGGCAAAACCTAGGTACGTATTTTTATTCGATATTATAAAAAATTTAGTAATTAATATAGAAAATGTTGTTTTCGATTTCGTGTTATAATTCTTTCCATGCAATATAAAATCTTTTCGGATTATTTCGCGGATTTATTTTGATTTTTGGGTCCCGACGTTTTGAATGCTTTACAGCAATATCATAGGAGAGACTAAGGGTTTAGACGCCTCAAAGGGGTTACATACGAAATAATCAGAAAATATAGTTTTATTTAAAATGTCAAATATTCGCGTACATCTAAAAAATACTGTGTAATTCTTATCATATTAATAATATAAATGTGAAAGTTTAGTGATGTAAATGTGTTTTACTCAATCACGCCAGAACGGCTGAACGGATCTGGATGAAATTTGGCACAGAGATTGATAATAGTCTGGAATAGCACATAGACTACTTTTTATTCCTGATAAACGTACGGTTCCCGTGGGATAGATTTGTTTTTGGTTTCTAGAGGCAAGCCCGAGCGAAGCAAGGATGAGCAGCTAGTATTATAAATGCGAAGTTTGTGTATATGATTGAAACTGCTGGACTGATTCGGATGAAATTTAGTACACACAGGCTACTGTGAGGCACTTAGAGACTCTATTTATTTTTTTATTATTATTTTAGGTGCACTACGTGTGACGAAGACAGTGGCTTTGAAGAAAGGTAATAAATTTTTGCTAAACTGTCAATTATTCCGTATTTATTTAAAAGGTAGCCTTTTATGTATTCTTTTCAACCGACTTCAAAAAGGAGGAGGTTCTCAATTTGACTGTATGTTTTTTTTTTATGTTTGTTACCTCAGAACTCCGTCATTTATTAACCGATTTGGACAATTTTTGTTTTGTTTGAAAGGGTATACTTCCAGATTGGTCCCATTTAAATTTCAAAAAAAAAATACCACCCCTAAGGGTGGAAAAACAACTAATGATGAATTTAACCTACTTCTAATTGTCATATTGAGTTGAAACTTTGCAAGTATTTCTATTTCCGTTGATAGTACAGTGGTTCGGTGTTGTTGACCTGATCTGATGGAAAGGCCAGAAGGTGGATAGGTGGAACTCTTCAACGGCTAATAGTAGATACTTTGAGTTTGGGCTTATTTTGTTTGATTTGACAAGCCTAACACGTTAGAATCCTTACTATGCTACTACTGTCTACACTAAAAAGGGAAAAATAAAAACTTTTTAACAAAAAAATAAAAACCGACTTCAAACAAAAGCACTAAAAAGTAAAAAATAACTGATTGGTAGTTTTCATTTACTATACATACCTAATCAAATATTTTCGAAGTCGGTGTGCTTTGGCTAAGTAATTAAAGCTTACCGATTAAATACATACTTAATCAAATATTTTCGAAATCGGTGCCAGCCCATACAAAGCAAAGCACGCCGACTTCGAAAATATTTGATTAAGTATGTATAGTAAATGAAAACTACCAATCAGTTATTTTTTACTTTTTAGTGCTTTTGTTTGAAGTCGGTTTTTATTTAAATAAAATAATGATGGCATGGATCAAGGAGTGGAAATTTGGTGGTGGAAGGTAAGACCGGCTTCTTCACTATTTATTGCGGGGAGGAAGAACGCTTTTACTCTAGTCTAGACCGATTAAATTTTCAACATTAATAGGGCTATTTTTATACAATTCCAGAGGTAGGCAAGGTGGCAGCTTTGGCGATCGCGGCTATGGTGGTAGTGGTTATGGCAATGGCGGCTATGGTGGTGGCGGATATGGCGGTGGTGACAATGGTGGAAATGGTATTGGCGGAGATGGCTATGGCAGTGATGGCAACGGCGGTAACGGTATAGGCGGAGATGGCTATGGTGGCATTAATGGTGGTGACGGTAGAGGAGGAAACGGCTACGGCGGAGACGGTTATGGTGGAATTGGCTACGGCGGAGACGGCTATGGCGGCGATGGCTATGGCGGTGACGGCAGAGGCGGTAACGGCAGAGGTGGTGGCAATGGAGGTGGTGGCTATGGAGGTGGTGGCTATGGAGGTGGTGGTTATGGAGGTGGTGGCTATGGAGGTGGTGGCTATGGAGGTGGTAGTAATGGCGGTGGCGGCAATGGAGGTGGCGGCTATGACTCTCCGTGCTAACGTTTACAATACATTATATATGCAATTGGCCAAAACGTAAATCACATAACAAGAATAAGGATCTATACAACGCATTATCTCTCCGAAATGACTGATATAATAATAATTAATTATCTAGTGTTTGTATAAAGCCAATCAAATAAGCTTTTTATATGAAGACTGTATCTATGAAACTTTCCATAATATTTGTCACATTTTGCTATAGTTACATGTAAACAGTACTTACGAAATAAAAAAAATATGTTTTATATTTTATGAACGCTATGTACCAATTATTATTTACTATAAAATATATGAATGATAAATTCAGAAGTAGCGATATATAATAGAAAAGATTTAAGTATAATAACTCACCTTGTATTTTATTGTAAAGAGTGCTTCGTAGTGTGGCTTCACCGGAGAGATTAATTATTATTTATAGAAATAAAACCTCTTAAAATTTTATTTACACAAATTTGCTTCCTATCTACTCGAATACCTGCTTGTACTTACATATGAAAATCTCTTTCAATATACTGCTTTTAAAGTTACATTAACTTAAAGAATGAGTATTGTGTTCTGTAAAGAAAAACCATTTATAATGTCTTATATTATCAAGACATTTTAAGCTAAAATGATTATGTAACGCTACATTTCTTACATTATTAATTTTCTAAAATAGAGAGTATCACAAATGAACTATTTTAAGTGATTTCTAGTATTTCTTAGATTTACGCGAATATTTGAAATTTTTAAATAAAACTATATTTTCGGTTTATTTCGCGGATTTATTTAGATTTTTGGTTCCCGACGCGACGTTTCGAATGCTTTACAGCAGTTATGGTCACTGGGAAAACTGAGGTTTTAGACGTCTCAAAGGCATTATCGTCTCAAAGAATGTTTCAGACATGAGAAGCATTCGAAATGTCGTGTCGGGAATGAAAAATCAAAATAAATCCGCGAAATAATCTGAAAAGATAGTTTTATTTCTAGTAGTTACTTCATGAATCCTATTGATATAGAATAGTGTATTTATTTATTTATTTATTTGGTAATCTTACAGCATTACAAAAATAATAAAATACAGTTTGAGCACAAAGTTATTTACAAATATGGCCAAAAATAGATTGCTGTATTATGATTTTTACTAATGTTAAATAAGAGTGGCAAAGGATATAAAAATACCCATAATAATAGTCTACTAGTGTAGATGCCTCCTCCCATACAAAGAAATAAGACAGCGCCAATTCGGGCTATTCTTCGGGTTATTTTTGTCTCTTTGCATAGATAATAGATGTCGTTGATTCGCAAATGGTTAAACAGTTTTATTTTATAAATATATGCAAACATAATATATGGTATATGGTAGGTAAATATTATAATCCTGCATTCCAATAAAAAAACTGTGATTTTAATAATTTTTACTGGATTCTTTCATCTATCGCATGTATGTATATATATCTATATATATCTATATATATATATATCTATATATATATATATATCTATATATATATATCTATAAAATATATATATCTATCCATCTTTGGGTCGAACCCGTGCGAAGCGAGGATGAGCCGCTAGTTATAAATATTTTGCATATTTGAAAATGAATTAGTAAAAATAGTAATCTTTGAAGATAGTCTGTGGTGTTTGTCTACGCAGGTGCCAGGCAGGCAAGACAAGTATGACGACGAATATATTGATTGACGTTTGGGCGGGACGGATGATTTTCTGTTGTGTATACTCGTATATTTTTTTATTAATTACTATCAATATAACGATTATAACAGGAAAAGTGTTTCATTATTTCACATAATATTTGTTAGAAGTTAACTATCAAATTGTGGCCACACCACTTAAACGTCTCTATGACATCGAATTATCTTTTGTGGAAAAATTGTATGAAAAAAAATTAGTTTAGTAGTCATTCAATCAATTTATTCATCCATTTAAAATTATATTATTAATAAAAATACAATATACATGTGCTTATTCGTATTTTGGCAATTTTCTGTTTAATAAATGTTGATTTTTACTAAAAAAGGCCCTTTTTTTACGTTTCACCAGAAATTAACTCAATTAAAATTCTTAAAAAAAGGCTTGCTTAAAAGTTTCGAAGTCCCGGGAATTCCCGAGACTTTGATTGTAGGCTGCCTCGTGTCCCGGGACTTTGAAATTGTCGGGAATTCCCGAACCCTAACACTATGTCAACATTCGTTCATCGAACTTGTTAAAATTGGCAATATCGCTCTGTGGCGGCTTACTTACTGTATCTACCTACTTTGACATAAATAGGCCACATATCAACGACTACTTAGCCCGATAGACACCTCACGCAAGGCGAACACTTTCAGTCAACACGTTAGACAAATACGTCTGACTTGAGAAAACGATCGCGCGATTTACTTCAGTAGCGACCACATCCGTGACCCGCGAACACATTGCTTGAGACTCGTGAATTTCCGACACAAAAAATACAACAGACGCGCAACATGGCTCCGTGTACAATAAAATGTTGTGGAAATAGTAGCCAAACATATAATTTCAAAAGAAATTGCAAAAAAAATCAGCTACAATGGACCAAAACTGGTCGACGTAGCTAGGGCCGACCTCGGCACCACACCCAACATAAATAATAATAGGTAAATGAATTTTAATTTCCAAATTCATTAAATGTAATTAAATCAGAGCTCAAGTTATATTAGTCGCAACATAACTCGCGTTGATGTATTCGGACTTTCTCGGACATTCTCGGACTATGCATCCCTTTAGTTTAGTTAATGTAAATAAGTAGTAGTTTAGTTATACAGAGTGTAAGGGACAGTTTTCTGAAAACTTTAACCATGGATATACCTGTAAATAAACCTTGAATAAACCTGTATAAATAATATTAAGTATTCTATTATTATTTCATTATAGTAAAGAAAACTTGTCTTAATTAAAAATATTCATTAAAATAGAAAATTATTTTACTAAATACGATACCTACCTACGATACGATATAAAACTTCTGGTTCCCATCACTATTAGCAAGTGTCGCAACCTTGAATTAACCAATCAGCGTGCATTTCAAGCCACCTCCCCCGTAACGCTTACCTCAAACTTTTGACTGAAAGGTTTGGGTGCAGATGTATATGAATTAGGCGTCTATCGGGCTAAGTAATCGTTGCCACATATATAACCCCACAGAGGGATAAATACTTCATACATCCGTGTAACGATATATTCACCACTACCTTAGATGATAATATAACAGTTAGTACAGATGCCGTGGAGCAACCCCATGGTTGTTGTGGTCTGCTTCGGCAGACCTGCCGTCGGGGCGTCGTAGTTGAATGCGTAAGCGATCCTGCGACGCCCCATTAAGACGGGGGAAGGTTTTGTTGGGTTTTAGTGGGTAGTACTGGCTTCGCCGGTGAGTCCCACACTTCGTGCGTAAATGCATTTCCCAACGTTAAAAAAAAAAGATGTCTGATATATAGAAAAGTTAAAAAAGCCAGTACAACCCATAAAACCCAACAGAACCTCCCCCGTATTAATAAGACTCAACCATGACGCTCCGCGACGGCAGGTTTGTGAATTGTGGGAGCGGAGCACAACAACCAAGGCTTCTTAATTACTTACTTATTTAAGTCGTTAATACGTTATATCCTATTTTACCAAATGAGCGGAGCTGCGGGCGAAAGCTAGTACCTATTATATTAATCACATTCACCTGAACGATCGCACTTCCCGTAGCGACGTACAGCGGTGTAGCTGTAGATGAGGCCATTAGCTGGTGTTCTAATGCTGACTTTTGTTGTGTCAACCTTTCTATGACCTGTATAAAGTTAAAAAATAATACTAAAAATGAATAATTAGGACTATACGTTACAATTTAGAAATAATAATAAATATATTCTTTACCAGTTTTAAACGTTTATTCTCTTTTGTTTTCTGTGAGTCGGGAATTGTCGTCCTTTTCCACTTGGTAGCTCAGTAAATCTGTAAAACAATACTATATATATTGAAATATCAATGAAAGTAATCCCATCCCCATTTGGTATTAGAATTTATATTTAAATTATTACATATAATTGCTGCAGGGACCAAAAGAGAGTGTGGTTGGCCTGTATGTATGTATGTTAGATCCTTAGTTCCTTCGTAAATATTATTCCTACAGATGAACTGGTTTCTGTATGATAACAATCTATATTAAAAATGCGTATAACTAGTAAAGTATTTTTACCTTGTTATAAACACTTTCTTACTGTTGCGGGGTCACTAATGAAAATACACGTTATTGTCTATATTTAAAACGTATAATATATTAATGCGGTGGGAAATTTTAATGATTACATTGGGATTTTTAATAGATGCTATTATCAATGTGACCTTTATCCTTCCGCAGCATAAAAAGACGTTGTAATCTGTATGCTCCATCACTTCTTGACGATTTCTCGCCAAACGTTGAAGAAGAATTTGAAATGAAAATATCGTGTGTCATAGCGCTCTGCGCTATTGCCTTGTTTACAATAATCGAGGCAAAACCTTGGTACGTACATATTTTTATTCGAAACCATAAAAACATTTAGTAATTAATAAAAAATAATTGTAAAATTGTTTCAAATTTCATGTTATATTTTTTCCGTGTAAAATAATTTGTGTAATATTATAAATGCGAAGTTTGTGTCTATGATTGTAACTCCTTAACGCTAAAACTGCTAACAATTTGGATGAAATTTAGTACACAGACTACGACCTGGCTAACACACAGGCTACTGTAAGGCACCTAGGCACTTCTATTTAATTTTTGATGTGTAACATCTTTCCTCTCGCTTTCCTGTAATCCTAATCTGTGGGAGTGATTTCGTGATAAAGGACGGAAGGTGTGTAACAAGAAGTGGGGGAAGCGCGTGCTATTTGATTTAACTAATGAGCGAGCGCGGTGGTAGAGTTGGCCAGCAGATAGTAAAATGTAATGTAATGTAAATGTTTTTTTAAGCTCCCCCATGATATGGATATAAAATGAATGAGTTTGCTAAGAATACGACAAAAAAGTAAAAAAAAACATTAAAAAAAGTTTAAACATGTAAAAAAACAAGGTTTTATTTAAATAATCTAAAAAAACAAAGAAGTATAACTTCTTACGTGCGTACTTAAGTACACACACACACTTTTTTTATTCCTTGTTGTTGCTCTGCTGAGAGCTGGAGCTGACCGATACAATTGTACCGCTAAATCTTATTATTTTTTTCATGGGTATTTCTTTATGTATCTTTCTATAAAACAACAATATTTTGTATAACTACCATAACTAAAAAAAATCTAGAATATAAACTTTAAATAATACAGGTTTTTACATTTCTCTTGTACAATTTTGTTCATATCTTTTAAGCGGGTTATCCGATTTTCATAATTTCATATTAGTTCTAGAACTAAGCCTATCTTTTGAGACTCAAATTATTGAAATATCTCTTCAAACAAAAATTCTCACTTAAACTTTTTTGTACAAAAATTCTAACATTCAAAATTCTCTTTAAATTTACTTTATTCAGACGAATTAGATAACAATAAGAAATCTAATAGCAAAATTAAGTGAAGTTGTCTAATTGGAGTAAAAAAACATAACAATACAGTAACAATAAGGTGAGATGTTAGACGTTACTCACCATATGCGTCATATACTGTATGGCTCGCTCGTTTTTTTTTCATTTCAGGTCGTCTTCGTGTTACGGAGACAGTTGCCGTGATGAAAGGTAATAAATTTTAACCTTAGCTAATTATTTAAAATAACCTATTATTTTTTTTAAATGTCAATTATAATACTTTCTTAGATTTACGCGAATATTTAACATTTTAAATAAAACTATTTTTTCGGATTATTTCGCGAATTTATTTTCAATTTTGGTTTCCGACACTAAGAATGCTTTACAGCAATCATGCTCACGGAAGAGATTAGTCACTATGGTGTTAGAAGTCTCAATAGCTGTCTATACTTGTAACAGATAGTGCCTACCCACAATTTTACAAATATGATTTAATCGAAGTACCTTCCAATATTTGTTGATTTTAATTCTAAACCTTTCAATTTTTTTCATAAGTATTATAATTAAATATAGCAACATTATTTATGTAATTTTAGCTGTCATTATTAGTACCTGGGCTACCGAGCTCGCTCGGAGTTTTTGGCTTAAAGTACAATTTTCTTTTTCTTTAAAAGAACAAAAAACTTCAATAAATATTAAACAAACTTTGCATACGACCGAGATTCGAACCTGGACAGCTGTGATTGTTGATCTTGCACCTTGGCCGCTTGACCACGATGCTTATGCCCGAGCGTGCAAATTACCGACCATATTTTGCGTGGAATAATGCAAAAGAAAACTGCATGAAAACTCGTAAACACGCTTTTTCTCAGACATAAGACGATCTAGATCGATTTATCGCCCCCGAAACCCCTTGTATACTAAATGTCATGAAAATCGTTGAAGCCGTTTCTGAGATTCAGATTATATATATATATATATATACATTTTCTACGGAAGAGCGGGACATCCTGGCACAGGTATATATTTTCTTTAAAAGATGTCTCAACAACGGACTTAATGTATTTAAAAACTCTTTTTATTAATAAATCATTTTTAATTTTTTTATATATATACCTCTCTCTCTCTCTCTCTCTCTCTCTATATATATATATATATATATATATATATATATATATATATATACAAGAATTGCTCGTTTAAATATATTAGATAGATAAATATTACATTTTTTTTTAAAACTTTATTAATCGATAATATTATTTAGTGTTGATAATATTATTATATGTATAACCACAAAGGAAATTAAAATTATTATTTATTTGTTGAAGCAATATTATTATTTTATAAATATTAATCTGAATTGCTGCTATTGCGACCTACTCAGTATGAACTAAGTACTTACATCTAAATGGTCTGTTATGTTTACGTTTGTTGTAACAAGCTATGGCAATGGTGGCATGAATGGCGGTGACGGTGGCGGCGGAAACGACTACGGCGGTGACGGCAATGGTGAGGACGACTACGGAGGTGGTGGTCGTGGTGATCGTGCTTATGGAGGCCGTGGCGGTGGCGGCCGTGGAGGTGGCGGTCGTGGAGGTCGTGTTGGAAATGAAGGGTAATATTGCAATTCAAATTATGCCTTTATGTTAAAGCCTTTTTTGTTTTAAAATAAAACTTATGAGGATGAATGTTTGTTACTCAAAAACTACTGGACGGAATTTGATGGAACTTAGTTAACACATAGCTAATTCATATAAATATAGTGATACATAATTAATTGAACTAGAACTTAGAATGTTATCTCTATTACGAATAAACAAAGTCAAATTTAAAAATAATAAACTCACACACAAACTTTTGCATTTATAAATATTAGCGTGCTTTAATTTCTTTTCATTTTAAATAAAACTATCTTTTCGAATTCTTTCGCGGATTTTTTTTTATTTCCCGACGACGCGGTTTCGAATGCTTTACAGCAATCATATATATATATATATATATATATATATATATATACAAGAATTGCTCGTTTAAATATATTAGATAGATAAATATTACATTTTTTTTAAAAACTTTATAAATCGACAATATTATTTAGTGTTGATATTATTATTATATGTATAACCACAAAGGAAATTAAAATTAAAAATATTAATTATTTATTGAAGCAATATTATTATTTTATAAATATTAATCTGAATTGCTGCTATTGCGACCTATTCAGTATGAACTAAGTACATCTCAATGGTCTGTTATGTTTACGTTTGTTGTAACAAGCTATGGCAATGGTGGCGTGAATGGCGGTGACGTTGGCGGCGGATACGACAACGGCGGAAACGATTATGGCGGAGACGGCAACGGTGGAGACGACTACGGCGGTGACGGCAACGGTGAAGACGACTACGGAGGTGGTGGTCGTGGTGATCGTGCTTATGGAGGCCGTGGCGGTGGCGGCCGTGGAGGTGGCGGTCGTGGAGGCGGCGGCCCTGGAGGTCGTGTAGGAGGAGGGTAATGTTGCAATTCAAATTATGCCTTTATGTCAAAGCCTTTTTTGTTTTAAAATAAAACTTATGGGGATGAATGTTTGTTACTCAAAAACTACTGGACGGAATTTGATGGCACTTTAGTTATACACATAGCTTAAATATAATACTATAATTCATATAAATATAGTGATATATAATTAATTCAACTAGAACTTAGAATGTTATCTCTATTACGAATAAACAAAGTCAAATTTAAAAATAATAAACTCACACAAACTTTTGCATTAATAAATATTAGCGTGCTTTAATTTCTTTTCATTTTAAATAAAACTATCTTTTCGAATTCCTTTGCGGATTTTTTTTAATTTCCCGACGACGCGGTTTCGTATGCTTTACGCAATCATGTTCACAGGAGGGACTAAGGTTTTAGACGGCTTAAAGGCATTATAAAGTTGTTACAGACAGCCTATCCACAGAATAACAAAATGAATTCAAAATATTCAAAAATGGCACCAAAGTGCTAATAATTAATGTTTGTTAATTTTAATATTAAACAGTATTATAATTAAAAAAAAATAGCATTTTAAATAATTCAGTTTTGTATATGTCCTAATCTAAGACGCCTTAAAAACATTCTGGTAAAAAAGTTTTTACATAATAATGGCAAGTGCCATTGTTGTTAAATATAATTGAACATGTAATATTATTTATTTAATTTTAGCTGTTATTATTATGGCCTAAGAGCCTGTGAACGCCAGACCTTCGTCATTTTATAAAGGCTGAAAGTTTGTCAGCGCATGCTCCCAACACAGATAAGAACGATGGACCATTATGAAGTCAGGCTATGGTGGCTTTGGCAGATACACGGTACTAAAGGCGTGTAAAATACCGATCTAAATTCGTCAAATAATAAAGTGTGATTTTTCGGTATTACCTTCAGAATATTATTAAAAATCACGTCATTCAATGCCAGACACTTAACATCGTGGCAACCATCAAAAATAAAGTCAATTCTTAGTGCTTCAAATTTGGTGACCATTTGCAACATGTTCTTAGAAATGCCTCCCAACTTGTTTGGAACATTTTTCATGGTGTGTAATTAATGCTATGCTAGCAGTCTTATAAATCATCTAATTATTACCCAAGTATTATATATAAAAATCAGCTTTTATACTATAACGTAAGTAGAATTATGATTTCATGAAAATGGTGTCTGGTAAGGGTTTGCCACGATGTTAAGTGTCTGGCATTGAATGACGTGATTTTTAATAATATTCTGAAGGTAATACCAAAAAATCACACTTTATTATTTGACGAATTTAGATCGGTATTTTACACGCCTTTAGTACCGTGTATCTGCCAAAGCCACCATAGCCTGACTTCATAATGGTCCATCGTTCTTATCTGTGTTGGGAGCATGCGCTGACAAACTTTCAGCCTTTATAAAATGACGAAGGTCTGGCGTTCACGGGCGCTTGCTCTATTATTATTTTTATTTCTATTCATTTTCAGAACCGACGCCGGTCAAACGATCAATGTTAATATTTATAGACATCGACGACTACGGTAACGTTTACAATATATTATACCTATATGAAATTGGAGAAAACTTAAGGCACATAACAAGAACAAGGATCTATACAATGTATTATGTCTTCGCAATCACTGAAATGTTATTAATTAACTATTAAACATATGTATGTGTAAAGCCAATAAAAAAGTTTTTTATATGAATAGACTGTTTCTACTAATCTTTCCACAATATTTGTCAGATTTTGTCAACGTTACCTGTAAAAAACTTTTCGAAATTAAAAAAATCTGATGTTTTATATTTTATCAATGTGTATTCAGCCCTTTTTTTTTAATGTCCCACTGCTGGGCACGGGCCTCCCTTCAATATGTGGGGGGATCAGGCCATAGTCCACCACGCTGGCCAAGTGCGGGTTGGCGAACTTCACATGTCTTTCGAAAACTTGCTAGGTTCTCTCAGACATGCAGGTTTCCTCACGATGTTTTCCTTCACCGTAAGGCAAGTGGTAATCATGTTAGAAATGATTCGCACATGAAAATATCAGAGGTGCGAGACCCGGGATTTGAACCCGCTTCACTCGGTGTCCCAAGCGAGCGTGTTACCACTGGGCTACCACTGCCTAAATTTTATCAATGCTATACAGCAATTATTTACTTTTTATAAATGATAATAGAAAAGATTTAAATACAATAACTTACTTTTTTTTGTAATATTATTAATGTTATGAAAATTGTAGAAGATTGTACTTTAAAGAGATTGATTATTGTTTATGTAATTTTAACATTTCATAAGAAATAAAACCTAAAATTTCGAAGTCGCGTCACAAAAATCCGTCACGGTAGCCATAGTAACCATTGCTATTGTCTGAAAAGTGATATAACGAATTAGCTCGTTCATGTGATGAATATACGCCATGAACGTATAAATGTAACAAAAAAAAACTTTAATGACCAGCATCCCCCTTTGCGGCCACTTTTACATAAGCAGACGTAGTTTGTCAGGTAAAAAAATAGCTTTAATTTGATATATAAATAATGCAATGATGATGTTCTTCTGACCGATTCCGGCCATGGCGGCCAATCTCATTAGACTAGCTAACTGCGCAGGTGATATTATAGTTCATAAGTGTACGCGCAGAAACAAGGGCACTCTATTCCTGTCACTCTCATAGTCTGGTGGGACGACTACTCGACACGACCAGTAAGAGTCAAGGCGCAGGACCGACGGCTTTACGTGCTCTCCGAGGCACGGGGGTGAAACATCGCCAACTTCCCACGTTCGGGCTGTTACTGAGGCTTACTATACAGTAAGACTCAATAACTAAACTTGGCCCGACCCGGGACTCGAACCCAGGACCTCCGGGTGTGCAGCCGTACATGCTAGGCACTACACCGCCGAGGCAGTTAACGCCATGAACGTATAAATGTAACATAAAAACTTTTTAACAAAAAAATAAAAACCGACTTCAAACAAAAGCACTAAAAAGTAAAAAATAACTGATTGGTAGTTTTCATTCACTATACATACCTAATCAAATATTTTCGAAGTCGGTGTGCTTTGCTTTGTATGGGCTGGCACCGATTTCGAAAATATTTGATTATGTATGTATTTAATTGGTAGGCTTTAATTACTTAGCCAAAGCACACCGACTTCGAAAATATTTGATTATGTATGTATAGTAAATGAAAACTACCAATCAGTTATTTTTTACTTTTTAGTGCTTTTGTTTGAAGTCGGTTTTTATTTTTTTGTTAAAAAGTTTTTATTTTTCCCTTTTTAGTGTAGACAGTAGTAGCAAAGTAAGGATTCTAACGTGTTAGGCTTGTCAAATCAAACAAAATAAGCCCAAACTCAAAGTATCTACTATTAGCTGTTGAAGAGTTCCACCTATCCACCTTCTGGCCTTGCTATCAGATCAGGTTAACAACACCGAACCACTGTACTATCAACGGAAATAGAAATACTTGCAAAATTTCAAGTCAATATGACAATTAGAAGTAGGTTAAATTCATCATTAGTTGTTTTTCCACCCTTAGGGGTGGTTTATTTTTTTAAATTTAAATGGGATCAATCTGGAAGTATACCCTTTCAAACAAAACAAAAATTGTCCAAATCGGTTAATAAATGACGGAGTTCTGAGGTAACAAACATAAAAAAAAACACAGTCGAATTGAGAACCTCCTCCTTTTTGAAGTCGGTTGAAAATATGACCTGCTTACACCTGGCTGCGAAAAGGTTGTGGCCAAGTGCGCAACGGCAGTTATCACTTTTCAAGATCTCTACGTATATTTCTGTGAAGTGGAGTATAATTCATTTTAATAACAAGTGCATCGATTTTGTTCCAAAAAGTCAATTATTATTTATCTAATTAAACATAACATACTAGCAGGCACATTTTAATAGGCACCCCGTTCCAAACATGTTGTCCATTTTATTATTATTTTGATTAAATTCGCTATGAACGTAGCAATCTTGCAGCCGGGTCTTGATCCATCACAGCTTATTACCAAAGGGCACCAGCACTACTGCGGGTGTGTACTATGAGGAACTGGACACAACAGACGGTCTCTAAGCTAAAAGAGCTAGTGTTATACTAAAAATAATATAAATTATTAATTATATAAAATAGGACTTATATGTATTATTGTAGATTCATTATTTTATTCTTTATGTTGTCATTCTGATATAAAATACTTCTTTAAGTTATCTGACGTTGTCATCTTGAGTGGAAGAAGGGCGGGAGCAGCGTTGTATTTTGTTTCTTGACTTTTAAAATAATGCGTGATGCGTCACATTCCTTTTTGTTATGTCGTGTGAGGCGTTACTTTGACTCTGTATAAATAATAAAACTGTGTGTTGTTACACTGAATTTTACTTGGCCTACCTGACCTACTTCTGAGATAGACTCGTAATATTTCAGAAGTGGGATCCGGTATTGAGATGTAGATATGGGCCATAGATTGATGGTTGAGGCAACTGAGTGAGAAAAGTGAAAATAGCTAAAGCCCACAAGTTTTAACATCGAGATAAATACTCCGGAAGGAAGCGAACTATAGCTTGTAGTGCAACTGAGGTTAAGTACGGTGCTACAAGGAATTAGTTGGTGAAAATGTTGCAAAGAGTATAGATATACTGAAATGTTGGCTCGAACGAAACTGTATACTTTCCCAGTTTATAACTATACTCTTTGCTGTATACTAAGAAAACAACTAAGTACAACGCTGCTCCCGCCCTTTTTCCACTCAAGATGACAACGTCAGATAACTTAAAAAAGTATTTTATGTCAGAATGACAACATAAAGAATAAAATAATGAATCTACAACAATATATATGAGTCCTATTTTATATAATTAATAATTTATATTATTTTTAGTATAACACTAGGTTTGGAAGTTCGTTTCGACAACCTTGGCGGCTTGGAAAAAAATTCAATACCCGAGAGGCAGTATAAGGGGCTTTGAAGAGTTTGTTGTCTCCCGTACACCAGGCTCCTTCAAGGGCATTGAAAAATTACCACTGCGCTGGCAGTGCATCGCCAGCATGGGGGCATTATGATTGATAGAAATAAAAAGTATGTTACGCGCCGCTAGTTTATTTGAAGACATCAAGTACGCCTTCATACAACCTCTGTGGTGTTCGTCTACGCAGGTGTCAGGCAGGCAGGAAAAGTATGACGACGAAGATATTGACTGACGTTTGGGCGGGACGTATGATTTTCTGTTGCGTATATAAATTTTACTAATTACTGTCAATATAACGATTATATCAGGAAAAGTGTTTCATTGTTTTACAAGTATTTATAGTATAACTTTCTGTATATTAAACGGCAATTTCATAGGTGAAGACCTAATAATTGTTAGAAGTAAACTATCAAATTGTGGCCACACCGCTTAAACGTCTCTATGACATCGAATTATCTTTTATGGAAAAATTGTACGGAAAAAAAAATAGTTTAGTAGTCATTCAATCAATTTATTCATCCATTTAAAATCATATTATTAATAAAAATGCAATATACATGTCCTTATCCGTATTTTGGCATTATTTTGTGCATAATTAGTAACATACATATATTATCGTTTTCGAAGCAAGACAAGTATACATAAACTTTGACGCCAAATAATGAAAGCTATACTATATACACGTATTAATTTATACAAAATATTTGCAGAGATATAAAACTTAATACTCTTAAAGAGGCAGTATGGATTAAGTACGCTATCAATACTATAACAAAAACAGTATTTACTAATGGCACCACAGACTAATGGAAAGACACAATATCGCAGTCATTTAAAATTATTTTATATATTAATAATAATACACATTCTTTCACATTGTATGTAGTAACTAGTAATTTATAGAATATAATAATAAAAAATACGATTTAGTCCTCTGTTTCACGTGTTTAACTTGTGTCAAACACGTGAGTTGTATGTACGTGTAATTGTACATATTTTGACATTAGTGTTTGAAAGTAATCAATATGTCATGGAATCAAAATATTTAAAATATATATTTGTACCACTTAGTTTTACTATCTAATATTATGAGACGCACATACATTTTAAATATTAAAACAATATCTATAAATGCTTATGGAATGTCATCAATGTAATTCAATAATAATCAGTCTTCATCGATCAGAAATTTGGTATGGAAACATCAAACATTTATTATTAATTGTTAAAAAAAAGTAAAAAATTGCCAATTGAAAAATAAACTTAAAACAAAAACGTCCTGCTTCTTGAATTAAATTTAACAATTTCAGCATAATTATTTATCATTATTATGATCTATTTATTTGTTCCGCGGGATCTTCATTTTCCCGGTTAGCGTCTATGTGAGACTTGCCGCGCTTGTGACATATTGCTATAAGTTTCGCGTTCATTTTTTTCAATTTCTGGTTTTCCTTCATAACAGTTGTGAGTTGTTGGTTCTGAAATGAAGAAGAAATATTATAATATACTTAAGGCGATTAGGGACCCCGATGGCCTTGAGTGTTTGGGCGGGTCTCAGCACGCTGCACGCGGACACAACGCAAGAAAGCATCAAACAATCCACGCACTATTCTGCCAGAACACCGATCAAAGAATACGCCACAAAGACGCGCGGCAAAGTTTACTATCTACGAGCGATACTATCTGAAAAGTGTCAAAGAGATGCAATGCTAGAATTATAGTACTATATAATATAATTAATTATAATCCTACTAATAGTCTAAAATACGTGAATGATTGTAAGTTTGTTTGTTAATCACGCGTAAAATAAATGGCTAAGCCGATTTTCATGAAATTTGGTAAATATAATAATAAATAAATATCATTGTAGGTATGCCAGGCATGCTTTATAATTGTATCTTTATATCCCATTAAAATCATATCAATCTTAATACTAAACTATTATTATAATACAAACGTGTGTTAGTTTTTAACCAACTTCAAAAAAAGGAGGTTATCAATTCGACACGTATTTATATTACTAGCATTGCCCGCGGCTCCGCCCGCGTTTAGATGTCCAAAAATCAAATTCTTAGGTTTTATATATTAGTATACTCTTACATACATATAATAATTTCATTTCGCATTGCGTGGTTGTTAAATAATGGCATTGATTTCCCCTTTATGTTGAGCCGGATAACCAGCTATTACCATATCAAATTTCTTCAAAATCCCTCAAAAAAGTGGTTTTTCCGTGATGCGGTAACAGACAGCCAGACAGACAAAAATTCTAAAAACTATCCTCTGTATCGATAATAAGGACTATTTCAATAAGATTTTCCAAAAAATATTTAATGTACAGATTCAGCTTAGTTACAATTTTATTATACATAATATATTAGATAAAGATATTCCTTTGCCAACTTGTTTTTATCTTTTTATTTAGCTTTTAGGCAGTCGGGTTTTTTATTTTTATAATATTTTTTTTGTATCAATATAAAATACGCGTTATGTATATAGAAATGTCGGAATATATAAATATCTTGAATCACACTAATAAAAGGGTTCAACGACTAACTTCATATGTAATCTAAATCGCTCTGTCATCACTTTTTTCCTAACGCGCCAAAAGAACTATAATCTCAAAAATGCCCTACTTTATTTTAGCCTTTAATTTAATACCTTATATTCTATTTCACCAAACGAGCGGAGCCGCGGGCGAAAGCAAGTATTATATTAATCACATTCACCTGAACGATCGCACTTCCCGTAGCGACGTACAACGGTGTAGCTGTAGATGAGGCCATTAGCTGGTGTTCTAATGCTGACTTTTGTTGCGTCAACCTTTCTATGACCTGTATACAGTAAAAAAATAATACTAAAAAATGAATAATTAGGATTACGCTTTATCTATATTAATATTATAAAGCAGTAAAGTTTGTGATATCGTGAGTTTGTGATGTTGTAGTGGGGTAATCTCTGGATGTACTGAACCGATTTTCAAAATTCTTTTACCAATAGAAAGCCACGTTCTTTCTGAGTGTCATAGGCTACATATTAACCCGTAGAATGAAAAGACTTTTTCATGGTAGTCGGATTTGCAAAGTAAGTCGGAGAAAAAATGGTCGTACGAAAACGTTTCTTACGAACGCTGCCTTAACGATGAGAGTTATATGATTATGTTCTAGAGAAAAGTTGTAGAGCTTAATAATGCCTACAAAAAAAGTCAACGACAGCATATTATGTCTAACGTTTATATTTAAGTCACAAAAAGTAGTTTTTTTATATTAAAAAATAATTTAAATCGGTAGGTCATATTTATTGGTCATATTATCAACAATTATGAATTCTTATCAAAATAAGTAAATTTATCGTCTAAAATGTTTAAAACAAAAAGCTTTTCCCTTTTACTGCATATAATTTGGACAAATAGTTAAAGAGATAATACGACATACACGTAGGTATGGAACCGCGACCCCGTCGTAACCTATTGAGTGATATTTCTATAAGATGGTTTTTTTCGTATATAATACTTTAATTTATTTATTTATTTATTTATTTATTTAGGTTTACCAACAATTGTTTACACGGTTTATATAATTAGTATACAATCTTAGATGTTCTTGTAATAGTGTAACAATTACTTAAAGGTAAACTCCACATGCAAATTGATTATAATGATAACAAAGAAGTCAGTAAAAATAATGCCTAACTTTCACAAAAATTAACTTAACCATACCATACCAAGAAACGCAACATTAGATTGTTATTCTTTTATATAATTAACAACAGATTTGTAAAATTTAGCAGCGGAATCATGATATAGATCGATGCTACCGCTACAAATGTTAATAATTTCACATAATCTTGCATAGGGGGAGTTGGAACCTAAAATGGTTCTACTTAGGGGTGGGCAAAGTGGCGTAATGGGTTGACGAGGAATTCTAGATGGGACTCTTAACTTAAAAAACTGTAACAAGTGTGGAGAATCGATATGATTGTTTATAATCTTATATACAAACATTGCATCAGTTATTGTTCTACGCGTTGATAGGGAGACCATGTTAAAATGATCTAAACGACTTTTATATGATTTTACTCTTTTATGTATGCCTACAGAATATGATAAATGCCAGAGAAAACGTTTCTGTATGCGTTCAAGACGGAGTGTGTGTGTAGCATAGTGAGGACGCCAAACTACACTACAATATTCTAAAATACTTCTAATTAAAGTGTTATAAAGTAATATTTTTGTTTTTATGTGTTTAAAAGATTTGCAGTTCCTTAAAACAAATCCTAGCATTCTAGAGGCTCTTTGAATTATATCATCTATATGCGTACTAAAATTTAATTTCTGATCATATAGTACACCAAGATCACGCATACTAGTCGTTTCTTCAATTTTTACATTTTTAATATAGTATTCCGATACAATGTTATTATATTTCCTACTAAATTTCATATACAGACATTTCTTAGGGTTCAGGTGCATTTTATTATCATCGCACCATCTAACTAGTGCGTCTAGGTCCCTCTGCAAAAGCCTAGTATCATCAACAGATCGGATTACTCTAACAAACTTCAAATCATCGGCATACATGAAAACCTCAGAAAAAAGGAAACAATCAGGAATATCATTAATAAAATAATTAAATAGTAATGGACCCAAATGTGATCCTTGGGGAACACCAGAAGAAATTTCATGAGTAGAAGATTGATATCCATTCACTGCAACATAAAAAGACCTGTCTTTTAGATATGACTGTAGCCATTTCAATAAAGATCCTGATATTCCGTAGGCTCGTAACTTATAAAGAAGAATTTCATGGGAAACTTTATCAAAGGCCTTGCTGAAATCAGTATAGAGTACATCGGCCTCAAAGCCAGAATCAACTGCTCTAACCAATAACTCAGTAAAGGGGACCAAATTAGATTCTGTAGACCGATATTTAACAAAACCATGCTGACGATCACTCAGATATAGTTTTAGATGTTTATAAAAGTATGTATAAATTAATGATTCAAATATTTTTGCAAAAGCTGACAAAATAGAAATGGGTCTATAGTTACAGACGTTTTCGTTGTTCGAAGACTTGTGAACCGGTACTACCTTAGCACTTTTCCATATCAACGGAAAAACACCAGAAGCCAAAGAGTTATTGTAAATTAATTTTAGTGGATAGACCAGTTCAGAGGCACATGAAGCAATAAAGATAGGCGGTATTAAGTCAGGCCCTGCCCCCTTTTTGCAGTTTAAATGCTTTAATTTATCCAATAATTCATTTTGACCTATTTCTGATACAACAAGATTGTGACTATTTTGCTCTATGGATTTCAAGTACTTGTATTCATATCCTGCATATTTACTATCATCCTTGGAGAATACCGATGAGAAGTATTTAGCAAACAATTCGCAAATTTGGGCACCGTCCGAGGTAGACGTAACCCCGTCCGAAATCCTATGAGGATAGGTACTAGTTCCGTTGCGTTTTACTTTAAGATAGGTCCAAAACGAATCTGGATCTTTTAAAATGTTTTCTTCAATATTACTTATGTACTTGTGATAACAATCTACTGCTAACCTATCACAACGTTTACGAAGTAAGTTTAGTTCAATACGGTCACGCGGGTTTTGGTATATATTATAGCGCATACGGATCTTATTCTTTTCTTTTAACGCCTTAGTAAGCTTATAAGTAAACCACGGTGGGTGTTTTTGATTCTTAGGTCTGCATAATGGTACGTATTTTGTAATCGCTTCACGTAGCTTATTGTAAAAAATCTCTAGCATATCATTTACTTCACTAATTCCGGAAAATAAATCCTCCCAATTTAGATCTCCCAAATATTCACGAATCAACACATAATTAGCTTTATAGAAGTTATGTCTTTGTACAGTGTTATAAGATAACTTTAATTCACTATCCAAACATATTGTAATATCTAACGGTGGGTGTAATATATCAACGATACTAAAAGGATTTATACTTTCTTTAACATTACATGATTTATTGGACAATACTAGGTCTAGTGTCCTGCCAGCGGAGTTAGTGATGTCATTGTATTGATTTAGATTATTAATATTTGTAAAATCAATCATAGTTTTACTAGTGTTTTTAGAAGCTCGAGTATTGCTTGTTACATTTAATGACTTCCAATCAAGTGTTCCTAAATTAAAATCACCGATTATACATACATTCATATCCAAGTTTTTTTCAAAGACAGCATTACAATTATCTAAAAAATAATCCAAAGTTGAAGGACTAACAGGTGGTGGTAGATAAATTGCACAAAGAACAATTTTAAAAATACCATGCATAACTGGGATATCTATCATCACCCATAGATTCTCGCAATCGCTTTCCCATTCCATTAGACGCCTAGAATTAAACTTCTTATTAACAGCTATCAATACTCCACCGCCTTCTCTGCCACGCCCATATAATACACTTTCTCTATCTCTTCTATAAACAACGTACCTATCATCGAATAGTTCACTATTAAGCACTGAGTTATTAAGCCACGTTTCGCATATAACAATAACATCATAATTATGACAGCAAACGTTACGGTAAAAGTCGAGTGTTTTCGTTTTTAAGCCTCGACTATTTTGATAATATAACTGGAGACAATTGAATTTGAATAAAAATAGTGACTATGACATGCATTATAAACTTAAAAATAATGAAGACAACATAGGAAATGCAAATTTTAGGCTAATTTTTTTAAGGTATCCAAATTTCTAATAAGAATATGTTCAGTGTCGGTATTCTTTCTGACAAAAATTCTGCCGTTTCTCACCCAAGTAAAACTATATCCTTTTTCTTTGGCCTTTTGTCTTGTTGCGGCATGTAGAGCTTTAATTGTTGGAGACAGATGTTCTGTGACATAGACTGGACTGTTATTGCCAAGAAATCCCAGATGGCTTGCGTTAAGCTTACTATTAGCATGTATTTTATTAAATTTAATAACTGATGCGAGGAGATCATCACGTACCCTGGGAGAAGCCAGTTGAATGACAATAGATCTAGGACGAGTGCTGGATTTATTAAGTTTGGCTATACGGGTGCAATGCAGTATATCTTTTTCCTTTATTTCATGTCCGACAGCTGTACATAAGGCCTTCGCGATAGTGTATAGGTTTTCGCTTTTCTTTTCAGGGACGCATTGGATTTCAATGTTGTTTGAACGAGACTGCTGTTCCAAGTAATTCAGACGTTGTGTTAAATCTGCCACTGTGCTTTCCAACTTTTTGTTATCTTCCTGTATATTTTTTAGGAGTTTATTCGCGTTTAATTGGTCGGCTTCGATCAATTCGAATTTGCTGTTGATAAAAGTCATAGACTCGTTCATATCCCTTATTTCTTTTTTAATTGGTGTCAATTCCTTATTTATTATGTCGAGCATACTGCACTTTAGCTTTTCCATCATAGCACTCAACTCAGTCTTTACTACGTCTTCAACAATAGCACGTACTCTGTCACTGGTTAAGCTGTGTTCTTCTGGTGGTGAGTTCAGTGCAGGCCTCTTGTTGCCTCGTGTTGTGGAGATATTACGAACAGGGGTAGAATCCTTTTTAGACGTTTTAGGCATCCGATTCAAACACGAAGGACATTTCCATTTATTATAAATGTCTGTATTTGATTGTATTTCTGGTATCGACAAACACAAAAAGTGAAAGGATTTTTGCAGCTGTTACAAGTTATGAATCTTTCGTTATCATCTTTGTCTTCTTGAGAACAACATCCCCAATTTACTAATTTTAAGGACATATTTATTTATTCAATTTATGTTACTAATCAATTAATTATTTTTTATTTTCTGTACTTTAATTATTGTTTTAGGGGCGTTATCAATCCGAGATCCCAGGTTACTATTATTAATAATATTTTAAATTTTAATCTCTTTACAGCCCAAAAGGTAAAAATCACAATAGATTGTTTCCAACGATTTAGCGATTATTATAAAACTTTGCACGGTAGGCCACTGTAGTTCGTTCCGTCGCGTCGATGAGGACTGCACTCGCGAGAAAAATGTCGTAAGCGCCGTGCAGAACGCGTCGCTTACGCGTTACGAACAACAGGTTTGTAAAAACTTAAGTTGACAGTGAACAGATTTAATTATTTAGTTATTTATGATATAAAACACACAATTAACACATTAAAAGTTGCTAACAGATTATATAGTCCTTTAAGCATGTCCAGAAAAGTAAACAAACTTTAATACACTCAAGTTAAACACAGTTTTACGTCTAATAATCATAATCTATCTATACTAATATTATAAAGAGGTAAAGTTTATGACATTGTGAGTTTGTGACGTTGTAGGGGGTCATCTCTAGATCTACTAAACCGATTTAGATGAAATTTGGTAAGAATATAGTTTGAGACCTTGGGAAGGACATAGGATACTTTTTATCCCGGAAATTATCCCTTAAGGGGGTGAGAATGGGGATGAAAAGTTTGTATGCAGAAGCAAGCTAGGGACGAACCCGAGCGAAGCGAGGGTGAGTCGCTAGTAATTTATAAATAACTAGCATTGCCCGCGTTCAGATGGCCAAAAACCAAATTCTTAGGTTTTACATATTAGTATACTCTTACATTGCAGTATTTGTATTTTTTCTCAGAAATGCGATATTTTCCCGCGGTAAAAAGTATCCTATATGTAGACCCGGATAAAAAGCTATCACCATACATCAAAATCCCTCTAGTGGGTTTTCTATGATGCGGTAACAGACAGACAGACAGACAGACAAAAATTCTAAAAATTATAGATTCGGCTTCTGTATCGATAACAAAGTATATATCAATAAGATTTTCAAAACAATAATGTACAGATTCGGCTTAGTTACGATTTTATTATATGTATACACACAGATCATATAGTGTATAGATAATAAATGTATTCTTTACCAGTTTTAGACGTTTATTCTCTTTTGTATGTGCGTCCTCTGCGAGTCGGTAATTTCCGTCCTTTTCCACTTGGTAGCTCAGTAAATCTGTAAAACAATACAAATGTATATTGAAATACCAATGAAAGTAATCCCCATTAGGTATTAGAATTTATGTTTAAATCTATACATATAATAAAATTCTATCTAAGTAGAATCTGGGACGAAACGGAAAAATATCTCATCTCTGAGAAATCGATACTAAACTTTAAAACTCAAATAAGGACGAATCCGAGCGAAGCGAGGGTGAGTCGCTACTTATATATAATAACTAGCATTGCCCGCGGCTCCGCCCGCGTTCAGATGACCAAAAACGAAATTCTTAGGTTTTAAATATTAGTATATTGTTACAATGCAGTTTTTGTATTTTTTCTCAGAAATGAGATATTTTCCTGCGGTAAAAAGTATCCTATATGTTGACCCAATAACCAGCTATGACCATACCAAATTTCATTAAAATCCTTCCAGTAGTTTTTCTGTGATGCGGTAACAGACAGACAGACAAAAATTCTAAAAACTATAGATTCGGCCTCTGCATCGATAATAATGTCTATTTCAATAAGATTTTTCAAAAAATATTTAATGTACAGATTCGACTTAGTTAGAATTTTATTATATGTATATCTATAGATTGCTGCAGCGAAGACTAAAGGAGAGTGTTTGATCTATATGTATGTTAGATCCTCAGTTCCCTCGTAAATATTATCCCCATATATGAACTGGTTCCTGTGTGATAATATGCTATGTATGCATTATTATTATAAATGCGTATAACTAATAAAATATTTAAATCATTTTGAAAACACCTTACTGTTGCTGGGTCACTAGTGAAAATACACAGTTCACTATACAGTCTTTAATTAAAACGTATAAAATATTTAATACGGTGGGAAATTTTAATGATTACATTGGTTTTAACACATGCTGTTATCAGTGTGACCTTTATCCTTTCGCAGCATAAAAAGACGTTGTAATCTGTATGTTCCATCATTTCTTGACAATCTTTCGCCAATCGTTGACGTAGAATTTGAAATGAAAATATCATGGCTCGTTGCGCTCTGCGCAATTGCCTTGTTTACAATAATCGAGGCAAAACCTTGGTACGTATTTTTATTCGATACTATGTATAAAAAATTTAGTAATTAATAAAAAAAAATGTTGTTTCCGATTTCATGTTATAATTTTTTCCGTGTATTGTTAATTTATGTCAATCTGTGGCAGTGGTAGCTCAGCGCTAACGCGCTCGCTTGGGAAACCGAGTGAAACGGGTTCAAATCCCGGATCTCGCACCTTTGATATTTTCATGTGCGAATCATTTCTAACATGATTACCACTTGCCTTACGGTGAAGGAAAACATCGTGAGGAAACTTGCATGTCTGAGAAAACCTAGTAAGTTTTCGAAAGACGTGTAAAGTCGCCAACCCACATTTGGCCAGCGTAACTAAGCCGAATCTGTACATTACATATTTTTTGGTAAATCTTATTGAAATAAACAGTATTATCAATACAGAAGCCGAATCTATAGTTTTTAGAATTTTTAACTGCAAAAAAAAATGCAAAAACTGCATTGTAAGAGTATACGAATATGTAATAAAATCTAAGAATTCGGTTTTCGGTCATCAGAACGCGGGCGGAACCGCGGGCAATGCTAGTACAATATAATCTGTGTAATCTTATTAATATTATAAATGTGAAAATTTAGATGGATGTTTGTTACTCAATCACGCCAGAACGGCAGCGGATTTGGATGAAATTTCGCACATAGATAATAGTCTGGAATAGTACAAAGGCTACTTTATCCCGAAAAAACGTACGGTTTGTCTGTTTCTGTACATGCGAAGTTTGTGTGTATGATTGTTATTCCATAACGCTGAAACTGCTAGACTGATTCAGAGGAAATTTAGTATGTACGCAGATAGACTACGACCTGGAGTAACACGTAGGCTACTGTGAGGCACCTAGACACTCAATTTTTTTATTATTTTAGGTGCACTACGTGTGACGAAGAAGACAGTGGCTATGAAGAAGAAAGGTAATAAATTTTAACTTTAGCTAAGTATGGAAAATATCACTGCCTCCGTGGTGTACTGGATGGCATGTACATTGATTTGTTACTAATTTTGAATTACAAAGCTGAATTGGTATAGTGTACCTTTCAATGAGAATTATGCACTTATGAAGTTTAATTTCATATAATAAATAAAAACACTACAGTTCATCTATTTTATTATATTTCCCAAAATAGGGTAGTCATTATTCATTCTGACCGGTCATTATTGATAGCGACGGAACTTTTTAAGTTGCCCGTAACATGTATGTACATACACACATACATACATATGTATGTACTTGCGGGGTAGTTCAAATGTCTCAGTAGCAGACCACAAACGCCATTCTGAGACAGATATAAGAATGGCAAAATTTTAAAACTACTCGCAAAAAATATAGCGTGAAGTTAAGTAAGAAAGTCGCTGTGTCATATATTTTATTTTCAACACTATACGGCTAATTTTATACAATTACAGAGGTGGGCAAGGTGTCAGCTATGGCCATCGCGGCTATGGTGGTAGTGGTTATGGCAATGGTGGCTATGGTGGTGGCGGCTATGGTGGTGGTGGCAATGGTGGAAACGGTATTGGCGGAGACGGCTATGGCAGTGATGGCAATGGCGGTAACGGTTTTGGCGGCGACGGCTATGGCGGTAACGGTATAGGCGGCGACGGCTATGGCGGAAACGGTATAGGCGGCGACGGCTATGGCGGAAACGGTATAGGCGGCGACGGCTATGGCGGAAACGGTATAGGCGGCGACGGCTATGGCGGAAACGGTATAGGCGGCGACGGCTATGGCGGAAACGGCTACGGTGGAGACGGCTATGGCGGAAACGGCTACGGCGGAAACGGCTACGGCGGAGACGGCTATGGAGGTGGTGGCTACGGAGGTGGTGGCTACGGAGGTGGTGGCTACGGAGGTGGTGCCTTCGGAGGTGGTGGCTATGGAGGTGGTGGCTACGAAGGTGGTGGCTATGGAGGTGGTAACTATGGTGGTGGCGGCTATGGCGGTGGTGGCTACGGAGGTGGCGGCTATGACCCTCCATGCTAACGTTTACAATACATTATATACGCAATTGGCCAAAAGGTAAACCACATAACAATAATAATATCTATACAATGTATTATCTCTTCGCAATGACTGATATAGTAATAAAAATAATTAACTATATTGTATGTATAAAGCCAATCAAGTAAGATTTTTATATAGATTGTATCTATAAAACTTTCCACAATATTTGTCACATTTTGCTATAGTTACATGTAAACAGTACTTACGAAATAATAAAGAAGTTATGTTTTATATTTTATGAACGCTATGTACAAAATATATACATATGATAAATTCAGAAGTGTTGTGTATAGTAGCGATATATAATAGGAAAGATTAACTATAATAACTCACTTTGTATTATTTTCTTTGCAATACATCTGTTAATGTTATGGAAATTGTAGAAAGTGCTTCGCAGTGTGACTTTACCAGAGAGATTATTATTAATTATTATTTTTGTCATTTTTAACAGTATTTTATGAGTTACCTACCTACTATTTTATGAGAACCTATTTTAAAATCTTATTTATAAAAAATATTTTCATTTCCTATCACTGTCTCTCGCACACAAGAAAAGCTCTTTCAATATATTGCTTTTTAAGTTATATTAACTTAAAAAATGAGAAATATGTTTTTTTATTGAAATATAATATATTTTTTATTTTAACGACATATTTTAAGCTAAAATGATTATGGAATAGAGAATGCTATATTTCATACATTATTCATTTTCTAAAATATAGAGTACCTATTACAAAAGCACTATTTTACGTGATTTCTTGTGCTTATTTCATAAATCATATTGATATAGAATACTACAGTACAGGTAATTATATATTATAGATCAAGTAAGTACCTAATACAATACGATTTATAATCTGAATGAAATTTGTCAAAAAAAAGAATAGGTATCCCTTAAGAAAATATTTTTGGAAATTCATTACCTGCATTTTGGATGGTTTGTTTGTATGAAAATTCGTTAATTTCAAAGGTTCAAATCTCGAATTGATCAAAATTGGAAAAAAAATCTGATTAAAAATCGTAACCAATCTAATTTAAAGTTTTATTCAGTAAGTACAAACTCTGGAAGAAGAAGAGGATATGATGAGAAATTGGAGATTATATCCGATATTCATTACATAATTTGAAAATAGATTGACATACAGTGTATCATTTTTTTTCGTTATTCGGAATTACCCTTTCTTTACGCGTCACAAGTTATTAGAGAGTAGAAAAATCTTTTTTTTCAACATTTTGTTTCCTTTTGTTGAACAAATAATATTTTTGTTTATTACAAGAATTTAGAGAGACTATGACAGAGAGTAAAGAAAAGTGAAGTCGTATGTATCGTGATGTTAGATCAAGTGTATAATGCAGTAAAAGTTATGTTTTATGAGCTTGTGTTTTATATACAAGACTAGCGACTCACCCTCGCTTCGGTCGATTTCCTCTCTAGGTACGTTTAACTAACCTACTTACTAAACAACTAACCGGTTAGTATGACATACAAACCTTGGAATTTCTCGGCTTTTCTGTATTATGTGTAATATGCATGTATGTATGTATTATACATATAAACCTTCTTCTTGAATCACTCTCTATTGCTGAAAATTGTATTAAAATCCGTTAAGTAGTTTAAAAGATCTAAGTGAACAGACAGCGGTAGCGACTTCTTTTTATACTATGTAAAGAAGAAGTATGGTCAATAAATAAGTAGTATTTGTAGACATTTTTAAATATAATATTTGTTTAATTATTTTTCCTGAAATTGTAAGAGCTACGTTTTCGAATTTTGGCTACGGAACCCAACAGCAGTAATGTGAAAAAAATTTGAATAATTCTTTTACCAAAGTAGTCTTTATTTAGGCATATAAGTTAAAAAAAAAATAGAACATTAAATAAAAGCTTGTTTTAAAAAATATTTTTTTTTTACTATTATTTTATCTTTTAGTTATTCGTATTCTTCTGAGAAAACCCTTTTATTTGATGCCCATATGTAATATATCTACCAGGGCGTAAAGAGAATGTCTAATACTTATTTTATGGCAAAAATATTACTCATAAAAATATTAACAAAAAAACCTGTATGTTACGTTACGTGCCGATGCAAGGCTATTGGATATTTTGATTATGGATATTTCGATACGTGAAATAAATATTTACCTTTTAAATATTCACATATTAAAATATTGTGGGCTGGCACCGACTTCGAAAATATCTGATTAGGTATCTATTCTAAATGACAACCCCCGTTTAGTTTTTTTTTTAATTTTAGTGCCTGGAAGTACGTTTTTTTTTAGTTTTTATTTTTCCATTTTTAGTGTAGACGTAATAAGCAGGTAATTTGTAGGATGATAGTTTTTTAATAACATATTCGATTTAACATTTTATAAAAAAATATATTTTTTGTTGATTTTATAAAAAACCGCTCGACCGATTTCGATAAAATTTATATGGGACACCCTGAGAAGTATGTATACCTTTGGAACAAAAAAAATCCAAATCGGTTCAGGTGTTTTCGAGTAATCAGTGAACATACATAAAAAAAGATTCCGACGAATTGAGAACCTCCTACTTTTTGGAAGTCGGTTAAAAAGGAATGATAAATAAATAAAAATAATTAAATAAGGTATGGTAGGCATATTATAATCATATATTTATAGAATATTATTTAAGGAAAGAATATTACATATATATCATTTGTCAGACAATAACAATGGTTACCATGGCATTCAACAGTTATAAAGTAACTTCATCATGTCGCTTTTTGGCTGTCGGTGTGAGCGCGCACCGTAAAAATTTTACTCTCATATTTTTTTCTAAACGTACCAAAAGAAGCATAACTTCAACTTCAATAATATAATCTCATGAATCTACGAATAAATTATAAGTCAGAAAGTGTAACTGCTTTAAAAAAATGATCCAACAAAAGTCGTGTCGAAGTAGGCGGGGCTCAAAAGTCATGTCAGCGCGTCATCAGTTCGGACTTTATTCTTACAACCGAGCACATGTCAAACTTTCGCGTACATTCAAATTTTTCTAATTTGAACTATAGTTATGAATCAACATGCCAGCTTGTTTTGCAACATTAAAATGACCAGAAATCACTTTTCACTAGTTAGTAAGAGGAAAATTATAATTATATTTATAAAAAGATGTTCAAATGACAAATACGTTGTCAAACCGAGATGGCCATAATAACTTTTTCTATTAACTTACCATCACTAGTTTCAGTGGAGGCGTCAGTCAGAGTGGTCGAGGGCCGTCGGTTCTGGTCGTGTAGGGTTTGCCGCTTCTTGCGTACCGAGTGCGTCATATTGCTCACATCTTGGTATTCTTGTAATTTAGCCTGCATACAAAGTAAAAACAAGTGATAAATTAAAAATTAAAAAAATCCCGACCAACTTGGATCGGTTTTCATCAAACATAGCTAAGAACACTCTCGACTAATTCACCTTTCAAATAAAAAAACAAAATCAAAATCAGTTCATCTGTTCGCGAGCTACGATGCCACAGACAGACACATACAGACACGTCAAACTTAAAACAGGTGAACGAAGTTGTACAAAATTCAGTATACAGATAGACCATGACCTAGAGTGACACATACTCCACTCAAGCACCTAGGGACGCACCCGAGTGAAGCAGGGCCAAATCGCTAGTTAATAGAAACGCAAACACTAGCACAAACTAGGCTCATCGGGACGTGGCCGAGTAAAGAAGGGACTATAGTTCATTCGCGGTAAGAAAATATTGAGTCATCAAGTACAACGGCAGGTAAAGGTGTATGTATACTCCATCATGTATGAAGTAGGAGTAAAAATTCAATTCAATTTCAATATTTCAAAATATTAAGTTTAATGGTTAAAAATCAACTTAATTAAGATTTGAGATAATAATGACTTTATTATGACTTGAGATAATAAACTTATATCTTAAATCAAAATAAAGTCATTAATAATATATTTAAGCCTGCCTTCGACTAGGTCATTGGGAAATATGACTTAATAATTGGGGCGTGGCTAGGCGGGTGGACACCGACGACTCACTATTTTCTTAGCGCGAATGAACTATAGCTCCTAGTCACAAACGGTCCCCAACCCACGACCCCCCGCTACGCACCTCCAAGCCGGCCTTGGCGTCCCTGAGCCGCGCGCACTGCTCGTCCCTCTCGCGCAGGTACTCGGCGCACGTCTCGCACTCCTCGTCCAGCTCCTTGTACCGCACCTTCAGTTCTTCCAGCTCTTGTTTACACGCGGATAGTTCCGCTCTGGTCGCCTCTAGCTCTTTGCTGGGGGTATAAAATATTAGTTTGGTAATAATAAGAATATAATCCATACTAATATTATAAATGTGAAAGTGTGTTTGTTTGTTTGACCTTCTTTCATGTCGAAACGGAGTGACCGATAGGCATGAATTTTGTGTAGAGATAGTTGGGAGGGCTGGAAAGTGACATAGGCTATTTTTACCGCGGGAGATTATCTTATTTCTACGAGAAAATACATTATAATACAACCCAAAATTTATCCCTTAAGGAGGTAAAAAAGAGGATGAAAGTTTTTATGAAACCTAAGTTTTTAAGTTTTTTTCTGTAGTTTTAGCGAGAGCGAAGCCGCGGGTTTTGCTTCAATAAAATATTAGTATTACATGATTTATAGTAAGTACTTTAATTTTTTTTTCTATATTTCGTAACAAAGAAAAACATTAGATACAAAGGTAACACTCATAGTAAATCCGAAACCTCATAGGAAATCACAATCACTAACCTGTCCTTGACGGTATTTTTCTCCAATGCCTTCTGCATCTTCGCCATAGTAGTCTTGAGACCGTGATTTTTGAAGCGAAGCTCTTCAATACTTTTCATCAATTTCTTATTTTTCTCAACCTCCGCATTGTATGACATCCTGTCCACAACCACCGAGTGGAGATTGGTCCAATCTGAAAAATAATGATAATGTATTGCTGAGATTCAAATCTTCGAACCTTACTGCGACCAACGCGAGAAATGTTATATATCACATGAGTAAATATCTCTTTATCATAATATAATATAGAAGTGCAGCTTCAAACTATCGCGCAACGATAAGTACATAAGACGGCGATATGACAAATTAAGCTTTTTTGAATTATTATTTTAAATTTAAAATAAATTTCAGTATATAAGCTCGTGACCACCGGATCGGAAGGCAGTTCGGCTGAGAGAAGCCAGCGAGAAACAAAACAGCGGCTCTTTTTTAAAATAATATTAGTTCACAATATTGCTATACAAAATTGTTCTCATTTACGCATCAATTAATTTATAGTAATTTCACATATATTTCATCTTCAGATCTATACATATAATAAAATTCTAACTAAGTCAAATCTGTACATTAAATAAATATTTTTTGGGAAATCTAATTGAAAGAGACATTATTATCGATACAGAGTCCGAATCTATAGTTTTTAGAATTTTTGTCAGTCTTTCTGTCTGTCTGTCTGTTACCGCATCACGAGAAAACCACTGGACAGATTTTGATGAAATTTGGTATGATGATAGCTGGTTATCCTGGTCAACATATAGGCTACTTTTTACCGCGGGAAAATATCTCATTTCTGAGAAAAAATACAAAAACACAAAAACTGCATTGTAAGAGTATACTAATACTATGTAAAACCTAAGAATTAGGTTTCTGCTCATCTGAACGCGGGCGGAGCCGCAGGCAATGCTAGTATACTATATTATACTTCAGATGTCCACAAGTCGAGCCAGTAAAACCGGTTTTGTCAACGAGCAGTGATTTCGTCAATTCGCCAGTGAGCTATCACACACACACGCCACAACATGTAAGTAGTATCTAGTATAAAGCTTTCTCTCTGTAGGGATACTTACTCATGTGGTTACAGTGCACTCTTGAGACTGTATAGATGTCGGTGTGTGCACATTACTTGTAATTTCTATCCCTTTCACTCTCAAACTATGACAGACGAGACGAATTCGACACGACCAAATAGAGATCCCACAGTCAACCATCCAACTCTCTCTCATTTAATATTTAATAATGAGTAACTTTCACATTTATAGTTAGGATTCAAAATTGATTACAACTTACCCTCATCAGTGTTCACTGCGGCGTCGGCGAAAGTAGCCTTCGCATTGGCCTGATTAGGATTGTTGTTCTTTAATTTATCTTTTAGGTCCGTTATAATATTCTGCAACAAAAATATATGATATATTAAAGTTTATAAAAATTCAGAAAATATGGTTTATTCTGTACTGATGAGCTGTAATATAAATAACTCTTCATTTTCATATTATAGCATTTACTCTAAAACAGTATATTGAGTACATTAACAGTAAATAAAAAATCAGACAAGTGCAAGTCAAAGGTTTTTGCCCTTTGGCTATAGAAACATAATAAAACAATAACGTCTCCATACTTCTATATACATAAAGCTCATCGTTAACTAATAAGTTAAAATAGAAACAAACCTCCAAAGCAACTTTATCTTCCTTCAGCTTCGAACACTGTTCATCCCTCTCCTTCAGGTACTCGGCACATATCTCACATTCTTCATCTACCTCCTTATATTTCACTTTCAGTTCTTCTAATTCTTGTTGACACGATTCGAGTTGTTTCCTCAATTGAGTCACTTCACTAAAACGATTTAGATATATTATTTTATAATAGGTATAAATGTTGAAGTTGTTAATTAAATGAGATTAATTGAAAAAAAAAATAAAAAAAAATCTATTAATTGAAACAAGATGGAGATCGAACGTACTGAATGTGTCATCAGAAAAACTTACCAATCGATGCTGTTATTTCGTGATGATTCTCGTGAATGTTCTAAAAAAAGAAAAATATAGAATGAATATATTTTTAAAAACGTTTATAAACTAAACTGAAAAATAACCTTTTGAGTTGGCATAAAAGAAAGGTACAAAATACATGGTCAACAAAATATCACACAAACAGAAGCAACACATAAGAAAAGTCTGTTAAGTAATGAGATTTGTCACTTTCTCACATGACTATATGACCTAGAGGGGACGACGAGTTTTCACTGATAGAAAACTACCTTAACTTACCGCCGAGTGTCGTGAGCTATTTTTTATTCCGAAAAATGCGTCTATCCATACTAATATTATAAATGTGAAAGTGTTTGTTTGTCCTTCTTTCACGTCAAAACGGATTGGCGTGATTTTTTTGTGGAGATAGTTGATAGTTGGGAGGGCTGGAGAGTGACATAGGCTAATTTTTACCGCGGGAGATTATCTCATTGTCACGGGAAAAGACGTTATAATACAACCCAAAAAAATATTTATGATCAGAATTACTTGAAACTTGGTATTAATGCTCTTCAATACAATTAAATAAATACGTGTTTTAGCATTTATCGGAATTCTTCAATTTTGCCATTTCTCCCTCCAGATGTCGCGATCATTATGATCCTCAGTATTTATTGTAAAGTTCTAAAGCGTGGATGGATTTATTTTTATTTTATTGGGCAGTGCCAATGCAAAGCAAATGGATATCATTTGTTCCCAAAAGACAAAAAACTGAACAAATTGTGGGCTAAAGCAATAAGATGACCAAAATCGGTGAAATCACAATCTTTATATTTAAGGCTATGTGGACACCAATTTACAGAAAGCGATTTTAAAACTGTCAAATCTTCCACAGATGCGTATTTTTTTTATTGTTTGTACTTTTATTACTACTATTGGAACTTTTACAGATACATAATATATAAACTAACATAATTAATTATTTAAATTGCAGACTTTAATTTACAACGACGAAAGTTAAAGGGCAATGCGGTGCCGTCTGTCTTTCTTTGGTCTAAGGTTTTACCACCTTATGCAGCTATTAGGGAAGAAAGAGTACGAAACAGAAATCTGAAAAAGGACCTTTTCCCACAAGAATTTTCAGATCGTAGTAATAATGATTGCTTTTTTTTGTTTTGTTTGAGTTTGTTTCTTTTTAGTTTTCCCTTTTTGTTATTAATTATAATAATTTCGTAGATGTTGCAAAAGGCTGTGGTATAATATGGTCCATGTTGTGAGTTGTAACACCTTAAAATGTTAAATATTTTTCTAATTTTGTGTTAAGTTTTTAGATAGGATGTTATAATGTTTTAACAACTGTGTGTCCTATAAATAAATAAATAAATAAATATTCTATTAACGACAATAAACCAGTGTGGATAGATAATACACACCTTGCGAATGCACACTACGGTGCAAGTCGTGCACGCTCTGACGCCGCCGGCGGCTCGCCAGCACACTGCTTGGCCTAGAATGTTCTTCTGTGTTGTCACTCTGGAATCATTATATACGAAAATATTTATATTTTACTAGCGATCCATCCCCGCTTCGGTCGAGTTCGTCCCTAGGTACGTTTTAAATTAAAATGGATACAGTATGTTATCCTTAAGAGATAGACATATTATGCCATCGTGGACTTTTCTCTAGACTAGTTTACGCAGCGTTTTCGTTGAAAGCTCCCAGACGGCTTATTTTTTTCCGACACGTCCAACATAATATGTATATCATTATATTTTAGTCAATTTATACAAAAATTCAACAAGTTATATACGAAGGGAACCAATCTATCCGTTGGTGAAAACAGCATGAAAATCGGTGCAGTAGTTTTTGAGTTTATCGCGAACAGACACACAGACGCGGCGGAGGACTTTGTTTTATTATATGTAGTGATGAATGAAAATCTTTATTATTACTATTGTATAAAATTGGCTTTTGTAACAAATAGCAAGTATTAACTATCGTTTAAAAATAAAACTATCTTTTCGGATCTTTTCTAACTGACCGTGATTGGTGAAAGTCTCTCCTGTGATTGTAATTGCTATAAAACATTCTAAACGTCTACAGTCACAAATCAAAATAAGCCCGCGAAAAGTTTCGAAAATATAGTTTTTTTGAAATGTCAAATATAAATTCAATCAAATATAAATTTGAAATGTCAAATATTCGCATAAATCTAAGGTATTATAGTTTAAAAAGCTGAGAATTCAAGCCTTTTAAAAATTGTAAATGTACTCGTCAAAAGGAATCAAAAGGAGCCCAATTTCGATGACTTAACTAGTAGCCAAATCAAGTGAAAGCGTTGTCCAATGACAATGCCGAAACCAATGTTTGATATAATTAAAAAGTTCAAGTACAGTTACTTACCACCTTGTTACCTTACAGCTAGTTAGTTATAATTGACTCTATGCTAATAAAAGTGTATTAGTATTTAAAAAGAATTAGACTTAAATATATTTCTTATAATGTGTTTAAGTTTATACTTGTAAATTTAAAGCAAAATATGTGTCTTGTGATATAAGTTTTTGTATAATCCTAAGCAGATAGCTCAATAGTGAATAAGTTATGATATGATTTGTCCGACGACACGATATTTGTTATATTATTTGTGTATTTTCTCTGTAAGTGAATTTTGTAATTATTTTGAGAAAATAAATGTCTTAAACCACACTTAATTTGCTTTAGATAGAATAAATGTGAATCAAATATTAGACGCTACTGTGGTTAAATTATTATTATATAATAGATTAAATAACTTACGTGATCATGTTTTGATGCGAGACTTTCACGTCTGAAATGTAAACACATATATATTAAAAATAACATGAAAATATTTTTCATCGTGATATTTATTTCACTTTATGTTGTTTAATTAATTACTTTTAAATTTATTTATACACTAGCGACTCGCCCTTGCTCCGCTCGGCTTTGTCTCTACGTTTTAAGGTTAGCATAGATTTTTCAGAGATATTTTCCCGCAGCAAAAAATATCCTTAAGTTGACCCGGATAATCTGCTATCATTATACCAAATTTCATTAAAATCCGTCCAGTGGTTTTCTCCTGATGCGTTCTCAGACAGACAGATAGAAAAAAATTCTAAAAACTATAGATTCAGCCTCTGTATCGATAATAATGTCTATTTCAATAACATTTTCCAAAAAATATGTAATGTACAGATTCGGCTTAGTTATAATTTTATTATATGTTTAGTTGACAAGGTATGAACTCTAATTATAGTTAAAATATATTATACATCAATTTATGATGTATTTTACGTATCGAAATATATTAGATTTGCTTTGCATCGGCTGGCACCGACTTCGAAAATATCTGATTAGATATCTACTCTAAATGGAAACCCCCTTTGAGTTATTTTTACTTTTTAATGCCAGGAAGTCATTTATAATAGTAATCATTAATATTTTTTTGTTATTATTTAACAGTATTTTTACTTACCCTTTGCTCTGTCTGATGGGCGTACTTCTTGCCGAGCTATCGTCGTCCACGTCCATGAAGAGATCGTCGGGCTTACCGCGAGATTTAAACACGGCTTCTATTTTTTTGTGATCTGTAAATAAAATAGACATTATATATTAGGTATTTTGTAAGTTTTTCACAATTGGAATTAAAATATAAGTAAATATCGATTATCCAGTAATTTATGTTATCTAATACTTTCTTAGAATTACGAGAATGTTTGAAATTTTAAATAAAACTATCTTTACTTTAACTATCTTTGCTTGGGTTTTTTTCGCGGATTTATATTTAGATTTTTGGTTCTCGACGTTTCGAATGTTTTACAGCAATCACGGTCACCGGAGAGACTCTCTCTCGCAAAAATCTAAATAAATTTGCTAAAAAATTCGAAACGGTTCATTTATGTTACTCATTCCAATTCAATGTTTTACACACAACCTTAAAAATCTTAAGATGCGTCAGGCGCGAGTGCATCGAATTCGCATAGCGTAGACGAAGTTGGGAGTCTGATATTAAGTCTATCTTACGAAATTTGAAGGTGCTAACGGCACTAGACGCAGCATCCTACTACTAATTAAACGCGAAAGTTTGTATACATTATGTTTGTTACACCGTTATGCTGAAATGACTAAACAGATTCGGATGAATTTCAGCACACAAATAGACTATGGCCTGGAGTAACACATAGACCCTTAGAAGCGTACCCGAGTAAAGCGAGTGTAGGTCGCTAGTAATCTATACTAACATTATAAAGAGGTAAAGTTTGTGAGTTTGTGACGTTTTAGGGGTATTCTGGATCTACTGAATCGATTTAGATGAAATTTGGTAAAAGATAGTTTGAAACCCTGGAAAGGAAAAAGGACACTTTTTATCCCGAAAATCATCCCTTATGGGGTGAAAATGGGGATGAAAGTTTGTATGGGGAATCAAGCTAGGGACAAACCCGAGCGAAGCGAAGGTGAGTCGCTAGTCTATACATATAAAAAAATTGAAGAGTCTGTTTGTAATGTTAAAATAACAGCTTTTTAATAGATGCATATTTAAGTAAAATATGCTTATAAGAAAAAAAAAACTATTTTTAAAATGTTTGTCTATCTCTTACTTCTGGATAATATGGCTTTTATTATAGAAAAAGAATTAAGGTTACGCGTAAAAAAATTAAAACCCATGAAGCTATAAGCATGAAGGTAAGTCGCTAGTAATGATATAAATTTTGTTACCTTGAACACTATCCGAGAACATTCGTTTCGAATCGTGAATGCTTTGCCGGCGTCTTCTTGTAGACTCTGCGATATCTATTGACAGTCTGGGCTTGGCCTCTACATCTGTTTCTAATTCCGATATGCGAACCTAAAAGTTTAGATTGCATTCAGCTCTTTTTAACGTCCCACTGCTGGGCACGGGCCTCCCTTCAGTACGAGAGGGATCAGGCCACAGTCCACCACGCTGGCCAAGTGCGGACTTCACATGTCTTGAAAACTTGCTAGGTTCTCAGACATGCAGGTTTTCTTCACGATGTTTTCCTTCACCGTTAAGACAAGTGTTAATCATGTTGGATATGATTCGCACATGAAAATATCAGACGTATTCACTCGGGTTCTCAAGTTTAGATTATATCAATTGAATCTAAATTGTTCTATAAAGCATTTGTCTTTATCTATATCTGTGAGGTTTGCAATTGTAAGAAACGGACCAAACATGAAAACTATTTATTTATGTAGATTAAAAAAACAGTATACTACCTACTTCTTGTATATACACACATGTTATATAAGTACGAAACAAGGGCTTATAGCTTATATGCCAAAACAATTTAAATAAATTACCTCTAACAAATGCTTAGCTTTAGTCAATTGATCGATTTCTTCCCTGCAGGTTTTAAGATCCCCATCTAACTTCTTGTACTGTGTGTCTAAGGAGTTCAATTTTTCGTTTAATTCTTGTATCAATTTCTCCTTTTCAAGACATATTTTGTCATCATCTTCTTTCTGTTTTCTTAATCTGAAAAAATTTTTAAGTTACTAAAAATAAATTCGGTTTTAACTCAAATTTCCCATGTCATATCTATAGACGCTCTATCCCTTTCCACAAACCCCGCTATTATGACTACCAAAAACTATATATAATAAGCTACGTTTCTTTTTTTTAAATACTATACTGCCATAAGTATACACATTTATTTAATTTTAGAAACTTATTTCCACACTAGCGACTCACCCTCACTTCGCTCGGGTTCGTCCCTAGGTGGATTCCCCATACAAAATTTCATCCCCATTTTCACCTCCTTAAGGGATGATTTCCGGAATAAAAAATATTCTATGTCCTTTCCAGGGTGTCAAACTATCTTCTTGCCAAATTTTATCTAAATCGGTCCAGTAGTTTTTGAGTTTATTCTTTACAAACATACAAAAACATCTTTCCTCTTTACAATATTAGTGTAGACTGGCGACTCACTTCGCTTCGCTCGGGTTCGTCTCTAAGGTATGTATACAACTTCTCTATTTATATCGGATATTATTCAATTTTTCATTGGTTTAAATTTCTTTTCGTGGTAACCTATTTTTTTTTCTAAAAAAAAGTAGCCTAAGTTACTTCTTATTACATCAGCTATCTGCCAGTGAAAGTGAATGAAGTGAAAGTCCCGTCAAAATCGGTCCAGCCATTTCAGAGATTAGCCGGAACAAACAAATAGACAGACAAAAATTGTAAAAAATATTTTGGTATATGTAATGTGTATACATTCATATGCATTTAGTAAATAGCTGTTATTTTGACATTACAAACGGACACTTCAATTTTATTTATCTGTATATAATTATGTGGTCAGTACCTTTGTGTTAAACTTACTATTAGAATCTCAGTGCACGCAAAAACAAAGTTTAATATAAATTTTAATCATAACTTCTAAAAAATGGATTTAGTCTTACCTATTTATAATTCCGCTTTGAATTTGAGCAGTCTTTTCATGTGTTTTTATATTGTTCATTAAACGAGTACACTCTTTACACTTCTCTTGCAATTCATTCTGCAATAACTTATTTTGTTCTGACAAAGTTCTTGATTCAATTTTCAACGTTTCAACCAGCTCTGAGTTCTCTTTAATACACGTTCTTAGTATCTGTATGTCGGATGTTAGTTTTTCCATATCGATTTTGTTTTTATTCAATTTAGCACACGCGTCAGAGAATTCGCTTGCGCATATTTCTTTTTCTTTTAATATAGTCTGATTTACAGTTTTTAAATTGTCAATTTCTTGTTGCGATTTAGCTACAGATTGCAAGAGGTCAGTTACTTTAGTATCATTTTCCAAACTTGATTTTTCATTTAGAATATTAATTTTACTTTCTAGAGAAGCAATGACGTCGTCTTTTTCAACAACGGTGTTCTTATATATAGTAATTTCTTCTTTTAATTTATTTATTACATTAATATTAACACTATTTTCTTCCACTTTCTTTTCATGTATTTTATTTAGGTCTTCGTGCAAAGAAACTTGTGAAAGATATTGTTGTTCCTTTTCTTTTAAATCTGCAATTAATTTTTTGTTCTCTTTGTGAGCTTTATTTTGCTGTTGGTCTTTTAATTGAAGGTCAGCTTTTAATTGTTCTAATTGTAAAATGAGACTGTTCTTCTCCATTTCTAGTTGTTGTTCCTGATTATTTTTCCTTCCCTGTAGAGAAATAATGTCAAAAATCGCTTTAAGGATATCCAGAGTGGGAAAATCAAAGTCTATGGTTTGAGTTATGATCCTATTCTCTAACAGCTTTTCGTAGCCGTTTCTTACAAGCAATTTTAAATCTTTTTCTTTATTTACAATATCTAAGGTCACCGCAGTACTAATCTCATCAATGTTTTCTTTGTGCCACTTTACCAACTCAAGTTCTTTCTCCTTCTCTGTTAACTGCGATTTCAATGAAGCTAAGTTTTCATTAACTGAGTCAATACTCGCAGCCATACGCTGCACTTCCTCAATGAGATGCTGTTTTTCTGTAGATATTGTTTCAACTAAATTATTATACTTGTTGCAGATCCAGTCAAATATCACAGTACTTGTAAAGCCAAACTCTTTGTCGACTTTCCTTAAAATTTTATCACTAAAGTTAAAGATAAGATTTTCAGAGTCTGTGTCTTCATTTATGACACTTATATTATTTCGAATTTGAGAAACAACGTTAGCCATAGTTTGTAGGTAAGAATCTTTTTCCATTAAATCTGCATTTAGTCTCGTTTGTTCACTGTTTAGTTTAAAAACTTTATTTTCGAGTTCGCTCTTAGATTCTTCGAAATCCTTTAGTTTATTGACTAAATTTTCAATTTCATTTGCATGTTTAACGGTAAAACTATCATATAACATTTTCATGACATCTATTATTTTCGTATCTCCTTTGAGGCTTTCTTTATCAACACCCACTTTGTCTATATAGTAATTTATACAATCTATTTTATCTAATGCATACATGTTATTCTCTTGTTCTGTTGGCATGTGTTCACATTTGCTGTTTGCCGTTGATTTATTAAATGAACACACAAGAGCATCGGTTATACTTTCATCTAAATCCATGGCATGACTGATGGAAAGGTTGCTACGTTCCAAATGATTTTTGATTGTAGTCACTTCCTCTTTCAATTCAATACAATCCTCTCTGCCTGCGTGAAGTTCATTTTGTAAAGTGCATATTTTATTATATCTCGACGAACTGTCCGAATCGCTGTAGCTTCTATCCAATTTTGCATGTGTCTCTGCCATTTTGTTTTCCAAAGAAATAATCATTTCGTCTTTTACCATACATTCTTGACATATTTGTTCTTCATCTTTCTTGCATTTTAAGCGCGTAATTTCTTCTTCTAATTGAGTGAATTTATTTGTAAGGTCATTATTTATTTCTTTTAACAAGTCATGCTCTTTTTTAAGGTCATCTACTTCGGAAATACTTTCCATTACTTGATTCGACAGTGAATCATTTTCTTCTTGCAAAACTTTTAACTGATTATTCTTTTTAGCCAAAGAATCAGTGAGAACTTCAATCTCATTTTGCTTTTTGCAAAAATCTTCTTCTAATGAAGTTAATTTACGGACTAAAGATTCGGTATTAGGCATTTCTAGAGTGAGATTACGATATTTTTCCTCAAGTTCATCTCTCTGAGATTTTAGATCTGTTAAATTTTTAGACATAACCTCGATTTCAGCTTTATACTTTTCTTCTATTATCCTTACTTCATTTTTATCTTCACAATCACCGCACGAGTCTTTATTCTCATAATCGTTCGTTGCAATGGATAGTGAGTTGTTTAAACTATTGCTTATTTTAATTGGACTACTTTGAGCATCTGTGACAGATACTTTTACTTTATTTTTAGAATAATCTTCAACAAGATAGCGTAATTTGTCGTTTTCGTTCTTAAGAGATTCTAATGTTTCTATAATTTTGATGCATTCGGATGTTTCTGGGGTGATCTGAGGATGTGATATATTATATTTAGTTATATCATCAACATCTGTCTGAGTGGCTACTTCATTGACTGTACAAACTTGAGTTGCATCAAAACAAGTTTGATCGTTAGCTAATAAAGTGTTATCACAAGTTGTAAGTGTCAAGTTTGTATCTAACATTAAAAGTTCACCATCCATAGTAGACTCGTTTTTGAATGTAGAATGCAGTGACGCTGTTTCTAAAGCATTCGGTAGAGAATATCGCTTAAAACTGTCGTTACATTTGTTTAAACAACTTTCAGTTTTAAGAATAATCATTAGGTCTTGCAATTGTTTTTTAAATTCCGGTATATCCCTTTGACATACTGTGTGGAATCTACTATGATGGTGCTGTAGGAACTTCAATTGGGAACTTAACGACCTATTCTCTGCGTAAGTGGTTGCAGTGAGTGTGGACAAGTTTGTTCTGTGATTAACTATTTTTTTCTGTAATTCGTGTGTATGCTCTAAAAGTAATCGTACCTCCATCTGAACTTCCTCCTGTTCTTTGATATGGTTCTCATTGTCATTCTCCAATTCCACAATTCTATGCTTCAATTTAGTGTTATCAGCCTTTAAAATGGTTAAATCGGCCATAAGTTCGTCACAGCGGCAAGTGTTCATGTATTCATCATCCTTTAATTCACTACAAGAATGGGAACTCATAGATTTTTCATCTTCAAGGGGCTGAATTACATCTACTATTTTGTTGCAACATATTGTCAAAAGACTAGGGGGAGAGTTAAATTCGATATATGCATTTGATTTTCTAGAAAAGTCTTTCTGATCGTCTTTTAGTACTTGTTTTTGTAAGTTATTCACATATTTCTCGTGTAATTCTAACTCTGAACACTTTAATTTAAGCTCACTGTTTTCTGTTTCTAAGCAATTAATTTGCTCTTTCATAGAATATTCCAGGTGTATAAACTTATCTTTCCATTCTTTTGCCCTACTCTCTATAATTTCTATCTCACTGGACTTACTCATTAAGTCTTGTCGTAGCTGATCCAACAAATGCGCGCTTTCTTTCAAATCCTTTGTCATATTATTAGTTTCTCCGTGAATAACATTCAATTCATTAGATAATGAGACATTGTTGTTTTCCAAATTCGTAATATCTTGTATCAATTTGAGATTTTCCTCTGTCAGTTGTTTTATTTCACTTTTAGCTTCAGCTAATATTTCTTCAACGGTATTACATTCTTTGTCTTGACCTGATTTTATAATACTAACGTGGTTGGCTATTTTATCTAAAGTAAGAGCAATTTCTTCAAACATATTTTCTGGACCGTCACTTAATTGACAAGAAATACTGTTCTCAATGTTAAATTCGGAAGTCAATCGAGTCGCCTTCTCTAATATATTTTTTAACATTTCATCTCGATTATGGACTAATTTATCAATTTGTTGGGAACATTCGGAAGCTTTACTACATTTCGTTTGGAAATCACTTATAGTTCTCTCATGTTCTAATCTTAATGCATTAAGTTCTTTATCTTTGTTTTGAATACATTCATTAAAATAAGCTTGTGACGTTTTCATAGTTGTTATGAGATTCATTACTTTACATTTTAATTTTTCACATGTGTCTTTTTCTGCTGTCTTTACTATATTATCATTGTTTACTTCTGATACATTTTGGTACTCTGCATAAAAACTATCCACAGCATTATTAAGATCATGTATTTTTATTTGAATATTATTTAATTCTTCCTGTTGTTGATCTAACAATTGTTTAACGTTATTTTTTTCTGAAATAGCTTCTAAGGCAATGCTCTCGAAGGATGTTAAGTTATCACTTAACGTACTGAGCGCTGTTACTATATTATCCATAATTTCTGGAACTACTAAAATATCATCCGTAAACAATGATATTATTTTTTGTAATTTTTCTAATGTAGATTTGGCTTTAGCTATATTTTCCTGTGTTTCAATATCTTCTTTATTTAAGCTTGTGATAATATTTTCTTTAATTTTGATATCGTTTTCTAAATCAATTATTTTCTTGTTTGCAATTTCAATTTCTTTTCTCGAATTTTCTTTTTCACATGTAATTTCACGTTCTTTTTCTGCTAATTCTGATGTTAATTTTTCACTGTATTCTTTTAATCGATCGACTTCAAGCGCTCGCTCTCCATTTTGTTTCTCCAACAGTTCTTTATCTTTCTGGATACCTGACAATTGGATTTTTAATTGCAATTCCATATTTAATAAATCTTTTTTCTCTTTAACTAACTTATCAATGAGATCGGTTTTTTCGTTGTCTTGTGTTATTAGGCTATTAATTTCATCTTTAAGTAACGCTATCTCTTTTTTCTTATTATCTAACTCCGCAATAAAATCTATATTCGATACGTTTTCGGTAATCTTAGTTTTCAGATGTTTGATTTCCTCATCCCTCGACTTGAGTGCAGTTTTTAAAGACTGTAGAATGTTTTTCATATTTTCATGATTAGCAATAAACATTTCTTCATTTGCTATCATAGTTTCTATATCGCTATCATTCATTACATTCTGATCACTATTATCTTTGACCACTAATTTGAGTTGCAACTCTTGTATCACACTGTTGTACGATTCAATATCTGCATTAGCCGTTTCTAATAATGACTTTTGGTTTTCTATTGTATTATTTAGGTTATCAATAGAAGATTTATGTAGAGAGTTCTCGTGTTCAATATATGAGATTTTCTCTTTGTAACTTTGTATGGTATTTTGTAAATCTTTGTTAATATTTTCTAAGCTATCTATTCGTAATTTTTGTGCTTTTAAGTTGGCTTCTAAATCTAAAATGGATTGGTTCTTTTGTGTCGGTTGACTTTGTACGCCTTTGGAAGACTGAGCTAGTAATGTTTGTGTCGAGTCTATATTTGTAATACTATTGTCAAATTCGCTATCCACTAGTAAAATATCTCTGGACATATCCATAAAATTTAATTCTTTTTCTATGGCTTTTGACGATATTTTACCTAAAAAAAAATATAGAATAAAAATATTATGACAAATTCAAAATGCAGGAAATTTTTCATTATAATTATTAAGAAGGCTATTGTAATTGCGCAAAAATCAACGCTAGAGTTCTTAACTGTTGTGCTTATAAAATAAAATAAACTTAAAACACTTGAAAAAATCGTTAACTATACTATACTCTATTTTTTATGACTTATATACCTATTACTAGGGATTCACGCTCGAACCGCTTGGGCTCGTCCCTAAGTACCTTTAACTGTTAATATAGATTGTTCAGACATATTTTCCTGCAGTAATCCTATATTTTTAAAATTTCTGATTTCGTTTCTGATTTTTGATGTGTAAATTTCATCAAAATCTGTCCAGTGGTTTTCTCAAGATGTTTTCCCAGACAGACAGACAAAATTTCTAAAAACTATATATTCGGCCTCTGAATCAATAACAAAGGGTATTTCAATAAGTATTTCCAATAAATACTTAATGTACAGATTCGGCACAGTTTGAATTTTATTATGTTTATAGATAACCTGAAGTACAAGTGAATTAAAATAAAAAAAACATACCAATGACTTCGCGCTTCTTTTTTAATTCGTGTTCCTGTAGCAGTGACAAAAGTTCATCTTCTCTGCTTTTGGATTTCTTTTTCAGTGTCTCGTAACTGACTTCCCAATCAGTCAGCTTCGTGTTGTAATCTTTGCAAGCTTTTTCCAATTCCTCCTGCAATAGTCATAACTTTTGAGTATATTATGCAAAAATAAATACTATAATATGTATTTTATGTACAATAAACATGTACCAGGTTTTTTTTTGTCTGGGCTAGATGTCTGATGAGATTGTTTTGGTAATACACTTAACCCATAAAACATAAAATAAAACACTCGACATGAAAAGACGCCTAATATTTTTTATGGTTGATATATGAAAAATAAAAATATAAAGTGGCAATATCCACCAGACTACTATCATTTAATGTATAATCTCGTTAAATATCTCTATGTTCTTCAATCCATCACTGCGTAAAAGTAGGACAAACCAACAGACACACACTTTTGCATTTACAATATTAGTTAGGATGTTTGCATGTAAATGGAAAAAGCAGTAAACATAAGATTCTTATAGAGCAAAGAAAACGTAGGTAAAATACAATAAAATTTACTAAATTAATGCAAATACATATATTATATTAGCGGTGCCCGCGGTTATGCCCAAGTAATTTATTTATGTATAATTCTATCAATAAATAGCCTGTCATGTACATGTAAAAGAAATTTTAAATTCAGACTGATAGTTCCTAAAATTACCATGTTCAGACAAGCAAACATTAGTTTTATATATTAGTATAAAGAAGCAAAAGTACAAATATTACAAAAACACTTACTTTAGCAATTGTTATTTGTTTTATTTGCTTTTCAGCATTAGTTATGTTACTTTTTAATTTCTCCATTTCTTTATCTTTCTCCTCGCTAAGATTCCCCAGTTTGATCAATTCATCTTCGAGTTCAGCTATTTTTAACGATTTGCTTTCCAGTTTCTCCATCAATTCAACCTAATTATAAATATATGTATATGTATTAAATTATATCTTGCTTCTACTTAAAAAAAATGTTCAACACCTCAATAACATGAGTTATTTCATAACAAAATTAAAAATCCATTTGAATAGTTAAGCAAACTATTTTAGGGATTGATTAAATATTACAATTAAATTTAAATAAAGTTTAAAATTGATATTTAATTACAATAAAAATCGTGGTTATCTTACAATGTTAGGAGTGTAGATTTTTTCTCTTTCTGTTAATTCTACAATGTCCTGTAAATTTTTCTCAGCTTGTTTAGCGGTCTTTCTCAAAATGCAAGGTGGTGTTTTTGAAGAATCTAAAATATTAAAATCTATTTATTAATCAAATAAAAAAATCACGTAAATTCACCTAGTTTGCCATAGTAGCAGCGATTCTCAAATGGTGGTCCGCGGTACCCCGGGAATTCCGTGGAAAGGTAACAGGGGTTCTGAGTTCCGTCCAAGATTTAAATAAAACGTTGTCAGACATGTAGCCTAAATTTAATGCTATTTTAGACATACGAAAAAAAAATCATTCATCATTAAATAGTTAGGTAATGTTTTTTGTACAATAAATATTATTATAAGTAGGTATTCATATTTTTCATTTATGATTTGTTCTTTCAAGTCAAACAAGAAAGTATTCTAACTAGAACACAATCAGTTTAGTTATTATCAAAATGGGGATCTGTTAAAAAAATTATGATCAATTAAGTTTTGTGGCCAAAAAGAAATTGGTAACCACTGCCATAGAGTATGGTATTTAGGTGAGAAGCAATAAGCTAACACAATATTACAACATACATATATGAATCTTGTATCCGTATTGTTATGAAACTAATAAAAAGATAAAAAAAAATAAGTCTTATTTAATTTTAATGTGAAATAATGTTCATATAGATTTTATTACTTAGAATACTTACTGTAACATTTATGGTAAGGTGAACAGGTTTGAACGTCTGTAGAACTGTCGTCGTCGTCGCTATCTAAAACATAATAATATAAGTAAAATATTTTATGTTATAATAAAAACGGCTGAACAGATTTGGAGGAAACTTAATAAACAAATATACTATGACTTGGAGTAATACATAGGCCTCTGTCAGGCACCTAGGGTATTCACCCGAGCGAAGCGAGGGTAAGTTGCTAAGATTTTAAACATCGAATAAATATGTTGGGATATTAATACACAGCACCATCTACTTCCATGGTAAGCCACGAGGCTTGTGTTATGGATACCAGATAGTTGATACACTACACATATATAACTTTAAAAATATACACATTATAAATATAAACACCCATGACTTAAGTACGAACATTCGTGCTCATCACACAAATGAATGCATAGCGGGACTCGAATCCGCTGGCGCAGCAAGTATGAGCTGAGTGAAATGTGTCGTCAACATGGTGGTATATGTATGTTCGTGCGATAATGACCGCTTTTAATAAATATCTTTCTCAGTCTGCAATCATGAATTACGTCGACGCTAGATTTTCCTATCGCATTCAGCTTAAAGTGCTTTTTCATTATATATTTTATATCGAGTCATACACTCAACCAATCACCACTTACACCAGGTGTGAAATACACCTTCGTCTCTCAGTCATAATACACTACATACACCCTTTCCACTTCTTGCACACAACACTTGCGCTACCCCAATTATAATTCATTGTAATTCTGTTAAAAAGACAAAAATAAATCTTTGAGAACTACTTTATGTTATTCATTTTAAAATCAATGCAATTTGTAAATAAAAACATTTCTAAAACCATTTTACACATATTAAGTAATACTAGCGTTTTTACGCGGCTCTCCCACGTGATGATATCTGATCACGGTAGTTAATTTTACTGAGACTAGCCAACTGCGTAGAAGACGCGCAAACACAAGTGGGCTCTCTATGGGACAATACGGTTTATGTGCTCTCCGAGGCATCGGTCGGAAAATTTTTGCCAAAACCAATTAGCAGTATGTACGTACTCCGCTGACCCCGAGTAATTTAGGAAATAAGCAGGAATATGATGATGATTACAAAACATATATGTGAGGGCTCATTTAATTTGAATTAGCCTGAACCTCGTAAAATTTATTAATTAATAAAAAATTAAAACTAAAGAAAGTCACGACAAAATAAAAAAATAAAAAGAGGTACATACAAAGGGTCTGTAGTGTTCATATACGAGTTATTCCATATGCAAATGTCTGAAAATAAAAAAAATGGTTGCTGGCCTGTTTTAGATTTTGCTCTAACTTTGAGGGACTGTTCCTTAGGATATCTTGAATAGTAAAATTTTTATAGCTAAAATGGATTAAGCATAAAAATGTCATTTCTTGAAAGTCTAGATTCGGATAGGCGGAAACGGGTGCATATAAAAATCAAATAATCGTAAATTTTGTTCTTTGGGGTCCTAAGGAACAGCCCCTCAAAGTTAGAGCAATATCTAAAATTAGTTAACTTTGCCGATCAGACGTTTTCATATGGAATGACTTATATTCATGAAAAAAAATAGAACATAATAATATGTACATACCAAGTTCAATGACCTCGTCGCTAAAGTTGACCTTCTTGCTGCCGGGCGGCGTGACGGCGCGCTCCTCGCACACGCTGGCCAGGCTGCTCGCGCTCTGTATGGGCTGGAAGTCCGACACGCCCGGTATCACTAGTGGACTGCCAACAAAATGATACAAATATTTATATAAAAACAGGAACAAACCTATCTCACGGGAATCGTACATTTTTACAGGATAAAAAGTAGTATTCCAGACTATAATCTATCTCTGTGCCAAATTTCATCCAGATCCGTTCAGCCGTTCTGGCGTAAAACAGTAACAAACGTCCATACTCACAAACTTTCACATTTATAATATTTATAAAGATGTAGATTGAATGTTAAGATTATATTACTGAAAGGTACTATTTTCCATAAAAACAATGTTTCTGGATTAATTTGAGGATTTATTATGATCTTTAGTTTCCGACGCGACGCGACGTTTCGAATTCTTTACAGTTTACAGCAAACATGATAACGGGAGAAACAAAGGTTTTAGATTCAAATGTTTATATTCTCAAATAATCACATAATTCTAAGAAAGTTATGCTATTTACTAGGTATTACTGAATTTGCAAACTATGGTTAAAATATCAAATTCATTTAAAATAATATGCAACACATGCTGCATTGCATTGCATTTAATTTTACATGAAAAATATTTCAAATAATAAGTAAAATTCATAAATGCTTACCAACTAGCACACCAAATAAAAGAATTCTTTTTATTTAAATCATAAATGTCAAAGAGACTGACACTATTTTCTTCTATCACATTAATTGAAGAATGGCCAGTTTTAGCAGTATAAGTTTGGCTTTAAAAAGTTTTTTTTTGTTAAAATGTAATTTTCTAGTCAGGTTTAGATTTAAAAATATTCTATTTTAACTTAGGTATATTTTTTTGTGTAAGTAAAACTATATTTGAGTATTGTGAACTAATTTTCAAGATTCTTTTTGTTAATAAATAAATTAAAAGCGCAACCCATATAAATTATTTAATGAAAGTTTTTAACTTAACTTGTTCTTTTGTATAATATACACTAGGTTTTAGCTATTTTTATGATTTTATTTTTTAAAGAATAGAATCTCAAAAGCGATGTCTGAATAATTATTCCAAATAACAATCCTACAATTCCATATACTCTTAATAATATATAATACCTGATAATATTTTTATTACCTCCATTTATGTATGTATATTTGTACGTATGTATTTACGCATTTAAGTATGTATTTAAGATATGTACATTTATACGTAGCAAGTACAACGCCTACAATTTCATATGTCTAGGTTGCCTGGAAGTGATCGCTTATAGCGATAAAGCTGCCTGTGATCGTCTATATGTTTATTTTTTCTCGTGTATACATATTTCATTTGAAGTGCACAATAAAGTATATATGTATATCTATCTATCCATCTATTGCATTACAAAAGCCTGAGAGATTTTTAACGATATATATATTAAAAAATAAAAAGTGCGTGTGTGTGCTATTCACACAAGGTAGAAGTGAAACTTAAGAAAAGTAACCTACGAGAGAATGAGATGAATATAGACTATCAGGAGTAGGATAATTATAAGTATATTTTTTTTAATAATATTTTTACCAAGTTTAAAAAGTTATTTTACATTTTGACATAAATATACATTACATATTATTCAGTAATTAATTTTATTATTTTTTACTTCCTGCGTAATGTAGAATACATATCTCAAATAATATAATTATGTGTCTCTTTTTAATGTCGCATTTCCGTTTTATCGAGTTTCAAATCACAACGATTCTAAAGAAGTTTAACTTCAAAAATTAAATCTTTTAATTTGCAAAAGGGAAAAAAATAAGTGATAAACAACTTACTTGTATTTAAGGCTAGGAGTGCAGAACTTTGGCATAGCCGGTACCGGGTCTTCTTGAATCGGATGTAACGTGGATATTGTCATACGTCTTGGTGGAATCAATCTTCTCCTTGCACCGCTAATCAAATCCGTACTTGTTCTTTCGGCGAATCCATTTAAAATTAATTTTTGTAATTGCGTTATTTGCTTTTGTAGATTGAAGTTATCTTGCTAGAAATAAAAGTTGTAAAAACACATTAAATTCAAATAGTTGTAAGTATACTAATAAATGTCAAATTCTGAAAAACCAAAGAAGAAACAAAGTTTCAGCTCAATCACATAAACTATAACCATAAAGAATAACATCCACTAACATATTTTTATATGTATGTGTAGAAGTATTTTAATTATACACAATATTAATATAAAATAGCCCACTCACAATCATCATACATATCATCTACATATAACACGTCAAGTCATTTAAGCAAGAAGGAAGCAATAAATAGGTACGCATGGGCCCCGTGATTCAAGGCCCCCCAGCGGGCCACAAAAGATTATTTTATTTCAAAACATTTTTTTAAGGGCAGCTTTCGGGATTAAACTAAATTTTACTCTACTCGTGCTTTCGTGAGTGGTTTGAAACAAGTGAGAAGTTCGAAAACTATCTCTGCCATATTCAAGTATGAAGGTGACTTGAGATTAAAAAAGCATTGCAATTTCAGTTTTGTTCATTTATAATAAAACCCACTTCTCATTCAACACTCGGCAGTCACATTTGTTTTCATAATAGGCAAAGGAGGACTTCCGTTTTTTTGCATTGGGGCCCAAAAAGGCTAATTAGCTACTGGTACGCACACACACGTACGTACGCACGCACGCACACACATTCGTATAAATAATAATAATAGCTCGATTATTATTATAACATAATATGTACTTAAAACTAATGACTACTAACCTCAACATTCTTTTTGCCCTCAAGCTGTGTTTTTAATAGAGAGAGCTGCTTCGTGAGGGACTGGATCATGCTCGCGTCCGTGGCGACCGCATTCACCGCCGGGGTGTTCTTTATTGCCTTCGCTCTGTTCGCGAATCTGTAAAATGTTGTTTAACATTGTTACTTATGTTAATTTTAATATCCACATTAATCCTACTAATATTATAAATGTCAAAGTTCATGAGAATGGCTGATGTTATTCTCTCATGCCAGAACGGCTGAATGGATTTGGATGAAAGGCACAAAAATCACTACATAGTATAAAACAAAGTCGTTTCCCGCTGTCTGTCTGTCCTTATGTATGCTTAGATCTTTAAAACTACGCAACGGATTTTGATGAGTTTTTTTTAATAGATAGGGTGATTCAAAAGGAGGGTTTTAGTATATAATTTGTTAAGTTTTTGTATACATTGGCTAAAATATAACGATATTTGTTGGAGGTGTCGGAAAAAATAAGCCGTGGGAGCTTTTAACGAAAACGCTGCCTAAACCCTTTGAGATATAACAAAATAATATATGGTGGAATTGTGTATCTTATATAGGTTTACAGAAAAGTCCGTGATGGCATATGTCTATCTCTTAAAGATAACATACTACATCCATTTTAATTTAAAACGTACCTAGATTATATTCTGGAGAAGCACATAGGTTACACAGTGAAAGTCCCGTCAAAATCGATCTAGCCGTTTCGGAGAATAGCCGGAACAAACAGACAGACGAAAATTTTAAATAATGTGCTTTTCTTATAAATACCGAATATAATTCCATATGCATTTAGTGAAAAGCTGTTATTTTGTCATTACTAACGGACACTTCAATTTTATTTATCTGTTAAATTATATAAACAACATTTAACACTTACTGTAATGTGGATATTGTTTCTTCTACAGCGGCAGGAGTCACAGCACAAATAATACTAGTTTTCGCGTTACCACCTAACGAATTTTGAAGTAGTCGTGTCAACTTGCTATCACGATAGTTCACGTGCCTGAAAATAAATAAAAATCTATTTTATCATATGAAAGATTAATTGCCGATATAACCCAATTATATCAGAGTGTTATTTATCTAAAATTGTCAATGGAATTTAAGATATGAGGTGATATAGATAAAGAGGATTTATGCAAAATTTATTTACATTTGTCTGTGGTCTATGTGTGTCTAACAGATTGCCGCGGTGCAGAAAAGTTAAAAAAAAAAATTGTTTGTGGTGTTTCGTTTTAGACTAGTCACAATATAAAAAAAAAATTGTATGCAGTGGCGAAATATTTTCGATTTTTCTTAGGACATTAACACTAAAAGTTGGAAACTACGAAGTGTATGTAAATATTATGATTTTAATATACTAGGAATAGTGACGTATCTATTAGTTTCTTTTGTGATACACGATAATCTGCGGGAATCACTTATAGGGACAGAATGCACATGTAGGAATTTTCGTTAGTATTTCCCAAATTTAATTCTCATATGGCAACATATTAGCATATTTATTGCACATGTACATAATATGATAGAAAACTTTTAGAATTGTACAATGAATAAAAAAAACATGGCTAATGTCGATTCTCGAATAAGGTATAAGAATGCGCTATGACATTACTACGATTCTTATTCGGACAGGTTGTCAGACCAGTCGGATTTTCACCAATTGTGTTTTCAAATATGACAATTCAAGATAAAAGTCTGAAGTATCAAAGTGGTAACTTTCACAGATTCTGCGATAAATAACGATGTATAGATACAAAATTGCTAGCATATTCCTAAGTACTCACTTGTGACCTGTCAGAGGACTTTCCGAAAGCTGTTTAATGACTAATGCCAAAGCAGACAATGATCTGTTAATGTGGGTGCCTTCTTTGAATCTTATGCCGGTAGCGCCAGTTTGTCCGGAACGTTCCGAGCCCGCCAAGTCCACCAGGTTAAGCTGAGACACATTTACTGAACCTACTTCCTGTTCACCTTCTATATGATCACGAGATTCTATTGTCTGCAATTCATTTAAAAAAAATTAACACGTTATATAATTAATATTTTTTTAGATTTATGCAAATATTTGACATTTTAAATAAAACTACTTTTGGCGGATTTAATACTGTAAGGTACTTTGGTGCCATTTAGAATTTGTTTTGTAGGTAGGCACTGTCTGTAAAAAATATTAGTCTCCCCCATAACCATGATTGCTGGAAAGCATTCGAAACGTCGAGAACCAAAATTCAAAATCCGCAAAAAAATCCGAAAAGATTGTATTATATAAACGTTAAATAATTATTAATCTTTAGGTTTACTAGGTCTACTGCTTAATTTGTACAGATACAGAGATCCTGGGTTCGAGTCTCGAGTAGCGTTAGGAAAAGTTTTTCCGGGATAAAAAGTAGCCTATGTGTTATTCCAGACTATAATCTATCTCTGAGCCAAATTTCATCCAGATACGTTCAGCCGTTCTGGCGTGAAAGAGTAACAAACATCCATACATACTCACAAAATTTCACATTTATAATATTAAGTAATACGGATTATTAGAAAAATTATGTATTTTGTATGTAATTCTAGAGACTTACCGTCGCTTCGCTCGGGTGCGTTTCTCGATACCTAATAATAGCCTTTGTTAACCAAGGTCACATTCTCTTTGTTTACTACATCTAAATCTGTCCAGTCATTTCCGTGTTAAGGAGTGACTACTCACAAATATACACATTTTACACACACACAGACAGACGCACGCACGCACGCACTCACTCACGTACGTATAGTGTTTTTTGTTGCCTAACATCATGTAAATAGCAGGCATGTTTAGTATTACCTTATAAAGCAATTCCATTAAATACTTTATTTATATGAATTTTAAAATTAACATAATGTTGGTTTGTTTATTTATAGTAACTACTTACAATTTGAAATATAGAATGAGATCTGCTACTTTCTTCATTCATATTTGTGGATCCCGTTTGTCTATTAGCTTTGCCCTTAAAGAGTTAACAAAATGTAACATTAGTCAATTATAAAATACAGTTATTTATTTAATCTATTCTGAATTATACAAATCAAAAAGGTGTATAAAATATTAATTTAATATGGATTTATTTAATACCAAAATATATATATACAGTGGAACCTCGATAACTCAGATTTCAAGGGAAATGCTAAAATTTTTTAATTAATGAGTTTTCGATATAATGACATATACATGGCACAAACAATAAATACGCCTTAAGTTTTAGGGTACTGTACAAGCAACTATAAAAAATCTGTTAAGTCTTATGAGATAAGAACTGATTGATAGTTTTTTTAAAGCTTTTTAGTTTTTAGCAATGAGCCCAAACATAAACAATACACCCAGATGTCTTTCTTAGAAAGTTTGAATTCATTCTTTGCACATGTGTATAGGGTACAAACCATAGATTAGAAGCATCGAACATTCCTTTTGCATTTTATTGCAAAGAGTTCGGGATATTCAAAGGAAGACTTCATAATATTTTACCAACATCGAGTTACAGAGTCTGTGTTTTGAAGTTCGAGTTATAGAGTATAAATATGTACCACTAATACCTCACAGAGAAATAACATTTTGTTCGAGTTACAAATCTAAATAATTCGAGATACCACGTATTTAGGGTTTCAGCAGAAGGGAATGACTATTTTTTTTGTCTTTCTTACTGAGGATTACGACTTAATGAGGTTTGAATTATCGAGGTTCCACTGTATTTGATACTAAAATAATAATTGGTACATAATGAGTATTAAGCAGGTCAATGTTACAGTAGACAGTAAATAAACAACGAAACTAAGTATATTGCAAACTTCGCATATGCAATTTCTGAAGGTCAATGCAAAAGCAGTAGCGATTCAAACATAAATTAACATATTATACATATTAAGCATTTTGTATAACATGATGTAATTATACTATATAATGATATTAGTAAACAGTGAATCATTTTATAATAATATGAATTTAAGATTTTAAAAATATTTTAACCCAATATTTATTGTTCTCAACGTTAAAAATATTTAAAACTTATATTTATGCTATTGTTAAAATAAACAATGATTACAAAAGTTTAATTTTAAAAAAATCTTTTCTTATAATTGATAAAAGTCTATGTGTTTGGCTCAGTCTGTAGTGACCCTATTTGCTGTGCCTGCTGTCGCGGCTCAAGTCCCGCTGGGTGCATTCAGTTGTGTAAAAAGCACGAATGCTTATACCCAGTCATGGATGTTTATATTTATAATATGTATGTATTAACCGTCATATATATGTAGTGTATTAACTACCTGGTATCCATAACACAAGCTTCGTAGCTTACCATGGAACTAGATGGTGTTGTGTGTTAATGTCCTAATATATTTATTTATTATTAAATAAAAAAAATGATTAGATTATTTGTTTTAAAATTAGATATTATGTATTTCTTTATCCTCTAAAATATATGTAATATTTACCTCTCTCATAATTTCAAGCACTTCTTCAGGTGAAGTGGTAACCTTATAAGTGGCATCTACCTTTAGTCCTTGAACTGTATCTTTGATTGTTACCGTTTTCTTCATATCTAGCAAATCAATTAAGGTCTCATTATATATCTCTACATAAGATACTCTGAAAAAAAAACATAACTAACATAAGTCTAATACACTTATTGCTGAAATCCCATTACATACTATTAAGAAATTGTATTTTGTCAATATTTTAGTTTTATAAAAAAAATATTCATACAATTTCAATCTCTTTTTATAAAATATATTAAACCTAGCTTACTCAAAAACTTAAGCTTCAATAAATCTTATATCAGTACTGCAGCGAAGGTCAAGGGGCCCTCCCTTGGCCTTCGCTGCTTGGTTTATATATCTTATGCTTATGTGCTTGGTTTATATATCTTAATTTTAGCTTACTTCTTTCGTATCATAGTCAAGACTTAGGTATATAATAAAAATAATCATAAAGTATACGAGAACATTCCAAACAATTACCTGACTAAAAAGTCTCTATCTGGTACTTTTTTAATAATATCAAATAAATTAAGGACAGCTAGTGGTATTAATCCGGGTGCATCATCTGTCCCTGTCATGGTGTAAGTTTTGCCTGAAGATGTTTGGCCGTATGCGAAGATGGTTCCATTAAAACCAGCAGTTGCAGCCTCCACAATAGGTTTCGCAATATCATTGTACACATCGCTCGTTTTAGTATCTTTGTCATATACTTGGTCTGAAAAAGTGAATATAGAAAAAAATAGCAACCTTCACTATGACGTACAATAGGTACATATTTGGATAGCATTGCATTATGAAATAAAACAAACATTTAAAAGTGCACATCCCACTCACTGTACGAATGATAACTACGTATTAGAATATATTTACCGAAAGTAAAAGCTGGTCCACATTCTCTACCATTTTGGTCTATTTGATAAAGAGTATTATTGTTTACGCGCCATTGGTAGGAGAGCTTGTCTTCAATTTCACGAGGAATGAGAGGCCGGACTTTGACAACTACTTTAATATTATCACTCATCTTAAAATTCTATTCCCTTCTTAATGACTTAGTCTTTATCCTTATATTAAATTTCTTTAAAAGATAGTACCGGCTTTACTCAGAGAGAACATTTTATTAACTTTTCACATGAGCGTATCACAGTCCACAGACCGTCACCAAAATAACCAACGGATAATTTCAATTTTATTTAGGTGGCATAGACAACTATCACTTTCGCTAGTCACAGATTTTTATATAATTTGTTTATGGCTTAAGTTCAACACTTAACTTAAATATCCATCCATCCATCCATATTGAAATTTAAATTTTAGTGATATAAATTAGTTCTGCGTTTTTTCCGTACAATTTTTATTAGAAGTTTTATATTAGTAATAAAATCAACGTGAATATTATTTAATAGAAAAATTACCTTAAATTATCTGTACCAAAAGTCATTTCAACATTGTCAAACAGTCTAATGTCAAGTAACATTAATAATGTCATTTGTCACTTTTGCCCATGTGTAACTATTTGTGAGTTGTAAACTTTTGTTTTGGATATTATATTTGATGAACCATTAAATTGTGTATCAAAATGCAGCACGATGATGTAAGTGTAAAATACTTACTCTTATTCGTATTTATAATACAAATTTAATATATTTTTTAAATCGTACGATTGTTTTTAGGTTGTATGGGCCATTATCAACAAGACACATTGTTCTCATAAAGTAACGTAAGTACTTCGTACTCAATTAATTATTTAAATAGTGTTATTTTATTTCCATCTTTATATAAGTATAACGTTAAATATTCTTTTTTGTAGGACAAAAACTCAACACTTTTGTAGAAATGAATATAACCTCACAGGTTTGTGTAGTCGGTCTTCTTGTCCTCTTGCAAATAGTAAATACGCAACTATCAGAGAAGAAAATGGTATTATTTATTTATACATGAAGACTGCTGAAAGGTAATATTATTATGAAATATCATTTTTAGATTTTATTTATCACTTATATTTATAATATTACCATGTGTAATCTATATTTTAATTTGCTTTTTTAGGGTTATGTTTCCAGCTAAACAATGGGAAAAAGTGAAGCTTTCAAGGAATTTCGAAAAGGCTATTTATCAAATAAATGAAAATTTGCTTTACTGGCCTGCTTTTATAAAAGCAAAATGCAAACAAAGATTTGTAAAAATAACACAATACTTAATACGGATGAGGAAACTGAAATTAAGGAGGGTGTAAGTACCTTATCATTTTGGCTTCAGTAGATAAATATTTATTGATACTTACATTATTTTATATTATTTGTAAATATTTTCATCATTTATTGTTGTATATTGTATAAGTCATCATAATTTTATTAAATTTTAATATGATTAGTTATTCCTACTTTTAAATAAAATAAAACAATAAAATACAATAATTAAAAAAAAAATGTGCTGAATAATTACAGTGTAGTAAGTAGTAGAAAGAAAATGTTTAATAATTAAAACTGAAAAGCATTAATCATCATATATTTAGTGGAATTATTTTTCCTCACCTTTGACATAAAAAAATTGTAGGTTTTTATTTTATGTGCTTAGTTTTAAGTTCAAAGTTGTTTGAACATATTGCTTAAAAATTTGTATTTCATATTTTAGAAAAGAATTAGTTCCAATACAACGCAAAATAGAGAGACGTGAAAGAAGAAGAGAAGAGAAGGCACTTGTTGCTGCTAGGATTGATAATGCTATAGAAAAACAATTGTTAGAAAGGTTAAAGAAAGGGACTGTAAGTATACTTAATTATTATTTTTAAAAGGCAATTGCCATTCGTTAGTCTCGCTAAACCTCGAAAATAGCTGGACTGATTTGAATAATACTTTTTTTGTTTTGTTGCGGGTGTGTCAGTATAAAAAATATGGGAAAACCCAAAAAAAAAAACAGTTGGAAAATGAAAAAGTTCAGAACTGTTTATTTTGTATCTACGTATATATAAAATACTTATATAGTCTATCTATTCTATACTAACTGTTAGAACAAACCTCGGGTGAGCAATGCGTGGATGAGTCGCTAGTAGTAAATAAAGAAACTAAATATACATATTCTTTTAATTTAAAATGAACAAATATTCTTTTATAACTATTTTTTTGTTTATTAATCTCTTTTCAGTACAATGATATCTACAATTTCCCACAAATGGCATTTGATGCGGCTCTCAAAGCAGAAGAAATTTCTGGAGAAAGTGAAAGTGAGAAATCAGATGAAGAAGAAGAAGAGAGAGAGATGGAGCCAGAGCTTGAAAGAGAATTGGAAAAGCATATTGAAGAAGTTGATGAATTTGTTGAAGCTGACTCTGATATGGAAAGCGATGCAGTGAGTTATTTTACAAATATAAATATGTAAAATATGTTTGAAAAATTTAAACATGAAGAAATAATACATAGTTTTACATAAATAAAAGACAACAATTTGTTTTTTTTCATAGTTCTATTTAATTTAAATAATATTTAATTTATATGTATTTTAAAATTAATGATATATTTTTGTTATAAATTAATTTTTACATTATAGGAAAGTGAATCAGGAAGGAGAGAAAGTGCCGATGTTGGAAGTGATTTTGAATCTGAGACATCTGATATTGAGGTAAAAATTAAACATTACATTATTATATAATATATAACAGTAATAACTGTTTTCACCATTGCATAAAAAAAAAGTAAAAAAAAGTCTAAAATAAGAAGTTCTAATCTCACTTAAGATTTTTATCTGTGAATTACAATTACGTGACGTGTGTGATATCTGCCAATCCATACTCGGCCATCTTAGTGAACTAAGGCGCAATGCACCCCTCACATTCAGTGGCCATTCTGTGCTAAGTTGATGTAAAAATAAACAAATTATATATAAATAAATAAGTTATGCGTATAATTCCTAAATATTATAATTTTAGCTAAGCCACCATTATTAAATAAACCAAAATGATTTTTAACATTACCTGTTATGTTATAAAATACTTTATGTATTTTTCAGGAATTAACTGTAAAGGTGCCAAGTAAGAAACCTCGGGTGGAAATAGAATATGAAACAGAACCTGTAGCTAGTGTTTCAAGAAAGAAAATAAAGAATTGATTTTACATTCTTTTTCAATATGTTTTATTTTGAAATGAAAAAATCTTTACTTTTACTTGGAATTTAATTATTCATACATTGGGCCATTTTGGGCTCCTTTGATTAGTTTTTACGTATCCCATATAATACAATTGGTCAAAAGCGTATTAGTTTTTTTAAATTATAATTAATTTAAAAGTAAAACACTATATTTCTTAAATTCCGGACGTTTAGAATGCTTTACAGCAATTATAGTCTCTCCCGCGACAACGATTGCTGTAAAGCGCTCGAAACGTCGGGAGCCTAAAATAAAGAAAATCCGTGAAAAAATCTGAAATGTTAATTTTATTTAAAATGTCAAATATTCGCGTAAATCTGAGAGAATATTAGGCCCTGTCCGCACTGCGATATTTCACCGTGCTATTTTTACTATAGTAATGTATTATATTCCGCGATCGGAATTATACTTATTATCCACTGCGAATAAAATTTCGTACGATTTTTGTCTGTTCGATGTAATTTCCGACTGATAAGAACGTCTTAAAATGAATAACAGTTTTTTTTAATTTAGCTGTTAATACTGCAGCGTGACAGACCTATCAAAAGATGTTATGAAAAACACATACATTTATGGCCTTGAGAAATCCGCACCGCATCGCGTTTAATTTGCGTCAAATCATTTTTAGATTTTTTTCCTGCGTGAATTTTTAACTGCAAGTGCGGTTACTCCTATAAGATTAATTGTGTTACAGAATTACGTAAAAAAAACGTGCGGTGAAATATCGCAGTGCGGCCAGAGCATTATGCATTACACTAAAGGACACGTCTGAGGAGACGAGATAGTATATGTATGTCAATATATAAACTAGATATGTTAGAGGTAACATTCCAAGTTCTCTTGCATCCTATGGCATTAAGACATATTTAAAGTCTTTATGGAATATGCATCATAAGAGTGTTAAAATGTACATAGTAAAATAATTAATTGATTTTTGAAAGGTATGGCACAATAACACACTTGCACAAATGCACACTTACACAATGGCACACTGATTCGTAGTAGGTACCCTCAATGTGAGTTCACAGTGATACAAATCACACTTGTCCAGATTTTTTAAATTTGCATTTGGAGCGGCACTAGGGATTTGGTTGGAAACTTGGTGTTTAAATTTTATAAAGTCATATCGATCTAATTTTATTCAAATCATACATATATGAACTTTGTAATAAAATCTTCGTCGCTTTTAGTTTTAAGATCCTTCAATGACTGGAACTTAGTTTAGGGATGTTAACTTTTACTGTCACAAAAGATATCTAATTACGGTGAATGATTGGTTGTGGTGAATTATAAATTTTCTTAATTATTACTTTACGTCAAGTTTTCTGGAAATTAATTTGAGTACCTACATCAGTTTTTTTTAATAAATAACTCGCGTAGATATAATTTTTTCGGCGTTGGGAAATGCATTATCTAATATTATCTGTTCAACACCTGCTATGATTTACTAAAAAATTTTTTATTAGGGATGCCCCAAAGCAAACTGAATGTGGTCATTAATATTATAATTATAATGTTTTCAAGATTAATTAAGAAAACATGATTTAGTCACAACACTAACAGTGTTACTATGTTCGTAAGTTAATACACTCATACGTTAATTAAGAAAGTTGTTCTTTAGAATCGATGCCCTCAGTTGATCCTTCTCTTTGACTTATTGAAGTGAATTTAAGACGCAGTAAAATTCAGCAGGGACTTGATAATATCGTAAATACATATATTCGTTAAGGCAAATAATTTGTTTAAATTTATAAACTTCAATTGTTCGACCTAATTTTGATATGATGATGTTCTCCTGGCCGATTCCGGCCACGGCGGCCAATCTCATTGAGACTAGCTAACTGCGCAGGAGATATTATAGTGCACAAGTGTACGCGCAGACACAAGTGCACTCTCTATTCCTGTCACTCTCATACTTCGGTGGGACGACTGCTCGACACGGCCAGTGAGAGTTAGGGCGCAGGACCGACGGCTTTACGTGCTCTCCGAGGCACGGGGGTGAAACACCGCCAACTTCCCAACTCTAGGCTATTACTGAGGCTTACTATACAGAAAGACTCAATAACTAAACTTGGCCCGACTCGGGACTTGAGCCCTGGACCTCCGGGTGTGCAGCCGTACGTACATGCTAGCCACTACACCACCGACGCAGTTTGATATATTGGGTATACGGTAGAAAATGTACATACATACACAATTCTACACTGCACTTTTTCGACGTTCGCTGCATTAACGGATTGAAATAAAGCAATAAAATGTATGACAACGGTAAGTCGCTAGTAAAATAAAAAAGATGAAAATAGGAAAAACTTGACTGCGTAAAAATCGAACTAAAAAGAAGCGAAATACGAGTAGTATTATACAGTTGAAGACATAAAAATGAGAATGGAAAGATGATGATGAAAATGAAATGATGATGATGATGATGAAAATGAAATGAAAGATGTACCTATGTGGAGATCGCAGCGCTTCGCACTTTTTCAACCGTCGAAGTCGGTACCAGTGTACTTTTTAGTGTTTTTTAATGAAATCGGTTTTTTTTTATTTTTAAAATGTATGACAACGGTAAGTCGCTAGTAAAATAAAAAAGATGAAAATAGGAAAAACTTGACTGCGTAAAAATCGAACTAAAAAGAAGCGAAATACGAGTAGTATTATACAGTTGAAGACATAAAAATGAGAATGGAAAGATGATGATGAAAATGAAATGATGATGATGATGATGAAAATGAAATGAAAGATGTACCTATGTGGAGATCGCAGCGCTTCGCACTTTTTCAACCGTCGAAGTCGGTACCAGTGTACTTTTTAGTGTTTTTTTTAATGAAATCGGTTTTTTTAAATTCTTACTCTGCCTTCCCCACTAGGAAAGAAGCATGAAATTATGTTTCCTTTATTTTTGTTTGAAAAGTCAAAATAACAGCTTTTTACTAAATGCATATGGAATTATATACATTATATATCAGAAAAACACAATTTTTAAATTTTTTGTCAGTCTGTCTGTCTGTTTGTTCCGGCCAATCTCCGAAACAGCTGGGTCGATTTTGACGGGACTTTTACTGGCAGGTAGTTGATGTTATAAGGAGTAACTTAGGGTACTTTTATTTCAGTAAAATAATTAGGGTTCTGCTCAAAAAAATTAAAATGTTTTTAATGTAAACGATATGTACGCGACAAGTTTATATCATTACAGCTATATCTTTCCCAGTAAATTTTCAGAGAATTGAATAATTAATTAAGTTTTCAATAAATTATGCTCTCAATTACTGCTGCATTGTTTGGTAATTTACATTGTGATTTAACACGGCGATAAATTGCCGATTCAAAGAAAAAAATTGACGAGAATAATGTGGAGAATACATACCGGTGCTATTAAATCGTACCTATGTAAAGAAATGATAGAAAAACTTGTAAAATAGTACATAAAATAAATTGAATTTTCTAAATTATTAAAAAAAATAAACTTTGATTTTCTGATTCCTCTGTAATTAGTAAAAGCGATAAATAAAAGTAAGTTTAAACTTAACTGTAGCAAAGATAACAAAACATTTTTATTGCTACCACAAGACGTGCTTAACTCTAGAGTTTGTTTGTACTGGAACATAAAGCATTCGGAATCGGTGTGTGGTCCTCGGGGGAGACATTAGGTGAGCAGGCTACGTGGAAATAATGTATAATTACACACCCTTTACATTTACTTTTATACAAACGTAAGTGAACTTAGGTAACGCTATGGCTACTTACTGTAAAACCGTATGAAATGACTAATGACTGTGCAAGGTTTTCAAGTTTAAAACATTAATATAAACATTATTTATTACCTATTTTATTATTCGGTCTACTATTATAAATGCGACAATTTGTATGTACATATGTGTACATTTCTGCCTCACGCAGAAATAGGTGGGTTGGATAAAATTTAGCTCCCACATAGATTATCAAATACGCTACTTTTAGGCACTTATAAACGCATCCTAGTAGAGTGAATTCGCTAGTATCATAATAAAAGAGTAATTTTTTGTCCAGAAACAATGAAGATCATTTGGGCTACAATGACACGTTATTTTTTATTATAAAACTAGCATAGCCCGCGGCTCCGCTCGCGTTCAGATTACCAAAAACAAAATTCTTAGGTTTTACATATTAGTATACCCTTACATTGTAGTTTTTGCATTTTTTCTCAGAAATGAGATATTTTCCCAGGGTAAAAAGTATCCTATATGTTGACCCGGATAACCAACTACCACCATACCAAATTTCATCAAAATCTTTCCAGTGGGTTTTCTCTGATGCGGTAACAGACAGACAGACAAAAATTCTTAAAACTATAGATTCGGCCTTTGTATCGATAATAATGTTTATTTCAATAAGATTCTCCAAAAAATATTTAATGTGCAGATTCGGCTTAGTTACACTTTTATTATATTTATAGATTATTAATGTTGTAATTTATAAGTATTGTTTAGCGTTGGGCCAATGTTAAAAAACACTGAAACTTCATCAAGAATCATTAAAACAATCAATCTATGATACTTTTAAATGTTTTGCTTAACGGAGATATAGACAGTATACTCATTACTTATTATTACCTGTACAGATACTAAAAAATATTTAGCAATTTATTCACAAGGTTACTGTTTTTTTAGGGAACTCGGTAGTACACTATTAATAGTATTAATATTAATATTAGTATTAATGTAGTTGTTATATTTTTATTCCATGTCCATTTTTCGTAGAAAAAGCTGTATAAATAAACACAACCTCCAATTCATATAAAGCAATATTTCCTGATAGAAAAAGCATTTCTATTTGCGTTTCCTCGTACCTGCGACCGTTTGAATGTCTGCCATAAAACAAGAGGCTTTGTTCGGTTTGTAGACATCGCTTATTTATATGTGAATCCCCCATTAGCACCTCCCCTAGTGTCTGGTAGTTTGCGATTTATTATTTACATTTTTTG